GTGGTATATAGAGGAGATGTCAAGCGTGTTGAGGAATTCTGGTGGAAAGTGAACAGCCTGATCTGGATTGATGTCCGTGTAGTCGACACTTGTGTACGTTTCAGCTTTATCTGAGTGGAACATATCGGTAGCAAGAGTGTTGATTTTGTTGATGTCAACATTTAGAGGACAGAGAATCGCTCTGTCTTCAAAAATGTCAGGGGAAAATGTTGGTAAGTCGATATCTGGAAAGGTGGTGCGTATCAACTGTTGTTCATAGCTGTCGTTGATGTTGTCTCCTGTTGGGTGAAGGATGATGTTGTCTGGTATCTTAACGTAATCGTGGTGGTTGCCATCGCTGTACATTGTCTCTGTGCCGTTGCCAATTCTGAGAAGGTAACCGATGTATGGTTGATGCTCGTCGTTGTTTCTGATCCTTAAGTTTTTGGTGAGCTTGAGGACGGTGATATGGTTCCAGATAGTTGTTGATTTTTTTAAGGATGCATTTATGACGTCGGACTCTGATCCACGTAAAACGATTGGGAGTATCTGTCGGAAGTCGCCTCCAAATACGATAACTTTGCCGCCGAACGGTATGTTTGTTGCCTCTGTCAAGTGGCGAAATGTTTTGTCGACTGCCTCAAATACTTTGTTGTGAAGCATGGGCGCCTCATCCCAAAAGACAGCTGCTGCATTGATGACGGCTTTACCAAGGATACTATTTCTGGTAAGGAAAGTTGTTGTTTTGTCGGTTATGTTGAGGGGAATGCTGAATGCTGTATGGGCTGTATGTCCTTGGTGCAAGATTATTGAGGCGATTTCTGAAGATGCGACGACTACGACCGGCCTTTGTTGATGTCCGCGTATGTACTCGATAAGAGTATTATATAAAAAGCTTTTTCCTGTTCCTCCAGGGCCGTCGATAAAAAATAGTCGCTTAAATGTCCTTGAGGAGATCGTAGCGATGATTGTGTTGAAGACAGTTGCCTGTTCAGGTGTTAACAGACGAAGGTGGATTGTTGCTAGTTGTGCATATTCCTGTACTGTTGGTTCATGGTGAGTACGATCTTGGCTGGTAGTGTTGTTCCAGGGATAATTGATAATATTGTCGTGTGTGTTGAGGCATGGTTGGGTATTTGTCGAGGCTCGATTCCATATCGTTGAGTAAACTGTTGATGTGGAAGAGTGCATTGTATCTGGCATCAATTGTGGCTTGTGGATCGTCAGGACTGTAGAGTTGACATTGTTGCGCCTTATGAAAAATATTAAATAATAGTAGAGTAATATCATCAGTAGGTGTAAAGCTAATAAAACAAAGAGCGGAATCTGTTCATCCAGGGATGGCGAGTACTTGTGTTCTTTTCGTTTATTGTGATATATATGATTATAACTCACCTTATAGAGAAAGTCGGCAGACAGGTCATTGGCATATAGAGACCAGAGCTTCTTTGGATCGGATGGGCTGCAGCAACAGAGGATCATTGCAAATAGGTATTGGAGATGTCGTGGGTGTTGTAGCTCATTTGCTTCTCTTAAGCAGTTGATCCATTCAGCATCGTTTGTCAAAAGACCCCGTGCTTGAGCGGCAGCCCAGAAAGAAGGATAGATGATGCCTTTGTACGTCCTGAGTTCCTCAAAGCCTTTAGCGCCGGTAACATGCATGAGTAGCACTTTAAGCATGTATCGTTCTCCATCCTTTGGGTGTACGGTGTACATGCGTGCTATGGTGTCGTGTCGAAGTCGTCGTTTATGCCAAGATCGGGTCTGATGATCAAAACAATAATGCTCGGGTAGTTGGTAGTAGGTGTATTGATGGGCGTTGTTGTCGTGAGCATTGAGGGTGAAATATGCCATAAGCATACTGTCGCTATTTTTGTTGACGGCATGTTCTAGTGTCGCGCCCTTTTTTTTATGGTGACCAAGTGTTGTCCTGGTAGATGCACCTGCAGTCGAATAATGCTAGGTGAGTGTCCATGCATGGGCAGCTTCAGCAGTCTCCACATTGCCTCACAGGCTGAGACGTATCTGGCGTCAATATATTCTGTTATTTCATCTCGAGCGGACGCGTTGGCAACTCCAACCTTGGAAGTTAAAAAAGAAAATATAAAGCATAATTAGATCTACTATGGTAGGTAAAGATATAACATTATTTAACGTAATAAAAAAAAAGTGAGACAATACCTTGGCGCGATCATGTCCTTTATGAACGTATTTATACAAATACTTCACAGCCTTGACTGAGTTGCAGATCTCGACATTGATATGAGCATCGTACTTACAGTGCTTAGAAAAACTGATTCAATGAATCACAGTTTTTGACATTCATCAACTTTTCTCATTCCCATCCTAACCCTCTACTCTCAAGTCTTGCTCTGTTGTTACTCTCACTCTTTCTCATTGTTCACGTGATATCTCAACCAAAATGACTTTGTAGAATCGTCATCGACATCGCTTTAAAATAAATAACTTCATTGAATCAGTTTTTCTAATTGGCCGAATCTGTTGCATGCCCTTCATCTGCAGCGGTCATCAGTACTTGATGTTGCGTCCTTTGTTCTGAATCACCATCTCCAGGCGGTCGGGCATGCTCTCGTACAGTTTGTGAAGGTACTCCGGCGGAATTCCCCTCCAGATCGCCTCCACACGTTCCCACAGCCTGTCCAGGTCCTCAGCCGCCTCTGACTGCCGATCCAACTCCTTTTTGATGTATGACCAAACGTTCTCGATGAGGTTGAGGTCGGGCGAATTAGGTGGCCAATCAAGAACCTTGATTCTGTGCCTCGCAAAAAAGTGTATGGACTTGAGTGCAGTGTGTACGCGGGCATTGTCCTGTTGAAATATGAATTTCTTGTTGTCCATGCCTAGCCAATCGCGGGACTGACGAACACGCCTTTGGAAAACGTCGAGATAGGCATCCGAATCCATATTGCCCTCGATCCAGCAAAGGTCTCCGACGCCAGAATATCCAATGCAACCCCAGACCATTATTTTCCCTCCACCGCCTTGTTGTTTCGGCCGAACTTGGTGAGGCAGGTATTGTTGTTGTTGGCGTCTGTGGTAGTAGTACTTCTTTCCGAAGGACCCAATGCGGCTGAAGATACACTCATCAGAGAACATTACGTTTTCCAATCCTCGACCCGCCAGTGATGGTGTGCTTCTGCAAATCTGAGCCTTTTTGTGATCTGTTCCCGTGTGAGATTCGGCTTGTCTGGTGCTGAGTAGGCCCTGATTCCTTCCTGATGTAGATTCTTCTGTACAGCGGTGAGGTGGACATGCTCTCCTTCGGTTGATTCAACAAATCGTTGTCCATCCTTTAGCGATGTTAAGTCGCCTTGAATGAAATGGCGCGCGAGATTCGTCCTTGTCTTTGTTGAGATTTTCCTAGGTCTGCCAGGATGAGGCTCAGGGATGTTTTCCTTTTCCTCGTTCCTGATCCTGATCGCTGATGAGACAGAGATCCGAAGGTTGCATGCAACTGCCCTGGTCGATTTTCCTTGTCGAAGCTGTTCCACAGCAGTCTCTTTAATGGATCGTGTAAGAGGTTCATGTTGATTGTTTGTTGAGCTGGGAATCGTTCGAAAGGGTAAAGAAGGAGGAGCTGAAGGTGTGTAAAGGATGAATCAGAGTGGTCACAAAACAAAAGAGCGATAATAAAGAGTGAATGGATCTCTGATGACGAATTAGAAAAATTGATTCAATTGACGTCACGATCTAGAAGATCTAAGCAATGGCCTACGCTACTTATTTTCTGATTTCGCATACGCAATACGATTAGGAGAGGGAGAGGTAGATTCCCGACGCGGTTGGAGGTTGTTTGTTGAGATGGACGCAAGAAAAGTTGATGAATGTCAAAAACGGTGATTCATTGAATCAGTTTTTCTAAGCACTGTACATTCTCATCCCATAGTCGCTATGGATATTGTCGAGATCTACAGAGATGTAACAAACACCATATGATAACTTGGACGTGAAAGGCCTCCATAGGGGGTCTTAGAGTAGGAATAAATGCTGAGATAGCTCGCGGAAATGTTCCAGCGAAAAGATGGTGAGGTTCTATGTACTGCACTTTTTTTCTTTTATCTTTGGATTTGCTGAGAAAATAAAGATTGTTACGTTAGACATGAAGTGGGTTTCCCTCTCTTGAAGTACAATACTTATTACCAAAACAATGGTCGCAAACTACCCCTTTTTTGGCCACCAATGTCTTTGCCACTGGATGTCCTTGCCACTGTTTTCATCTTGCTCACCGTGTCACCAGGAAAAAGGGTGTTCCTCAACGTGTCACGAAAAGAAAATAAAAGGGCGGCCAAAAAGAGCGTCTGTCGCCCTGCAAGATCTCGATCTGTCATGACAAAAAACATGACAGCTTCGCAAAAGAGTGTCCCATCCAGTGTAGAGAAAGGCTTATTAACATGTTGAAACACTTGGACAAGTTTTATTGAAGGGTGATTTAAATTTTTTAGCCACAAGTGAGCCACAATTATTAGCCACAAGTCGATCAGTCATGAAGGGCCCAATTTGTCCCCCAAAAGTCAAGCTATGTTCGCGTCTTGGCAAAGAGGGGCATTTTACATTAATCTTTCCATCGAAAACAACCACCGGTTCGATATATGCCCAGATGGATATGTATTTCACTTGAATAAATGCCTCTAATATCTTTATTTTCTTCTACATTTCACAACAAAAAAACAATACCCTTTACAACCCTTTCCAAGGCTACACTTACCCTATTTGCAGCTTCTTTGATCCTTCTCCTAACGCAGCAAGCCAAGGCTCATTCCTACGCCGACTGCATTGACTGGCGGTTCAAGGACCCTAAAAATCCCTCCTGGTCCGACAAGAATGGTTGCTTGCTTTGGTTATGCCCGCCGATTCCCTTTAAAGGCCAAGCCATTTGCTAAACTTGACTCCGATAGCCCCAATCGCCACTACCACAGCAGTCACAAAAAAATCCTAATCCTAACCACTCTTTGGCTTGCTCAGATGGTAAGCAGGGTGAGGAAGCAGGAGCAGATGAAACTATGGCCAATCCAATCTCAGCAGCGTATCATGGCAAAGATAAACATGGCCGTAAGACAGGTGTTCAGACTGTCTCCAAGCCCGGTGGAGAGCTCTGTATTCGCTGGCCTGCCAAGAACCATGCTATTCCTAGTGAGAAGAACCAACCTGTAACAGTTGCTTTGTCCAAGATGAATCCTCAGAAGGACCTTACACAGCTTCAGTTTTTGGATAATATTATTGCAGAACTCAACTACAAGAATTGCACCGACAAGGGCAAGGATACCGATATTTGGCCTTGTGGTTGTTGTTTTAAATTGCCTACAAAGCTGAAACCCGGAAACGTTGTTATGCAGTGGCGCTGGAAGCTTAACAGCAACGAGTTCTTTACCTCCTGTGCTGATATTAATATTGAGGGACCTTCCATCACTGCTCCAACTGTGGGTATCCCTTCCAAGACCACCTCCACCTTTCACACCCCCTCTTCAGCCCCTTCAGCCTCTCACACTCCCTCTTCAGCATCTTCAGCTCCTTCAGCCTCTCACACTCCAACTTCAGCGTCTTCAGCTCCTTCGGCCTCTCAAGCTCCAACTTCAACGTCTTCAGCTCCTTCAGCCTCTCCCACTTCCACTTCAGCCTCCCCCATTGCCATTTCATTCTAGTTTCGCCTCTCGTATTATCAATTCCATAGTGGTTGTCGATTATGTTTTTGCATTCACTTTGATGGCGGGAAGAATAAATAAAACTTTATTTCCGCTACACGCCACACTGGCATGATACAGATTGCTGAAAATAGGGTGAAATGTCTACAATACGTTTGGCGAGCGAGCAGAAGGTGGTCAGTTGTGTAAGCGGTGAAAATAGAGAATGAAACTGAATGTTTTTATGCCTTATGCCTATGCCATTTTTTCATGTAAATACCTACCCCCACTTTCTCACTTGTTGTTTCAAGCAAGCCATCCAGTCTGACCATTTTTCCAAGCAAACCATCCAGTCATACTAAGCCTTTCCTTTAGCAACACATTCTTAACTCCTATTCAATCTTTAAGTCACCATGTCCTCAAAGCAAGAAACGTTGGAAGAATTGATAAAAAATACAGAAGCCATGTATGACGGCGCTGTCAGGTCTCGAGCTACTGAAAATGAAATTGCATCTTTGAGGACCCAGCTCAGGATTATCAGGGAACGTCGCAAGCCTAACACAATGAACATCGAACGAAGAAAACAAGAGCAGACTGCGAAACTCATTGATGAGTATGAGGCCAGAGTTAAACAATTTGTAACTCCCCGCGGAAATAAACAGAGGATGTGACCCCTAAAAAACAAAAATAAATAGCTCTGCAAGTGAATGATGGACTGTTGCAAGTGAATGACGGACTGCTGCAAGTGATTGAACTCGATTCCCTCCAACTGCTTGGTGTGGCAGACAAAAAAAAAGTCCAACAGAAAAGGGTGTCTCCCGCCCTGCAAGAAAAAGGTGTGTTTGACTAGTCAGGAAAAAAAAAATCCAGCGCAAAAGCGTGGAAACAAAGCACTTGCTTCCGGTGACAATGGTGGAAACAGAGCACTTGCTTCCGGCGAAAACGGTGGAAACAACGGACGCATTTTTTGCATCCAGAAAGAAACGAACGCTTTTTTTGCGTCCAGAAAGAAACGGAAAAAGGGTGTTAGCGTTACCAAAAAAAAAAATAACGGGAAAAAGGGTGTCCCTCAGCGTGTCAAAAAAAGTAACAGCGCCACTAAAAAATATTCGCTGAGTGTTCGCCGAGTGTTCGCCGAATGCTTACCGACTGTTCGCCGAGTGCTTACCGTTTGTTCGCCGATTGTTCGCCGAGTGCTTACCGATTGTTCGCCGATTGTTCGCCGACTGTTCGCCGTTGTTCGCCAATTGTTCGCCGAGTGCTTTCCGATTGTTCGCCTCTGTCAGCCAAAAACCTTCAATGTTTTCCCTCGCGCTAACAGCCAAAAAAAATAGTCAGCAAAAAAGGGTGTCTCTCACCTTGTGCAAAAAGGTATTTTCTCGCCCTGTGGGCTCTGCACAGAGGAATCAAAAATGGCTGCCCTGTCATGAAAAAAAGGACGCCTTACGGGAAGGTGCCACGACAAAAAAAAGACAGCTAAATGGATGTTTCTCGCACTGAGAAAACTAATTCATTCTCACTGTGTGCGAGGTGCAACTTTTCGTGCTTTCATTTAATGAGATAACCAATCACGATCTTCACCTGATCGGTAATTGTAGTTTTGTTGATTTGGGTTATTTCCCCTTGTAACTTTTCTGCCAGCTGTCTTAGTTCATTGCTAACCTTCAATGAAACAGGTTTCGTCTCTTCATCCCTCATGGCCTCCACCAGCCGGCTCAAGTTTGCAACAATCCCAACCGTAGCCGTCTCTTTTGGAGAATTCTCGCGCGCTTGAAGTTCGTGCAGCGGTTGGATCACATCCGTCTTCAATATCTTCCCACGGTTGAGGAGCAGGTGGAAAACGAATGATGCAAGCTTAATGCCCGACCATGGTTTCCATTTTCCTCTTGACTTGAAGTCCCAGAGAGTGCTTAAGGTCACTGGCATGGTGCTGTAGCCGAGAAAACGTGGGTGCGCGGCTGCAAGCAACTCGTACGATGACCCTTGGTCGAACTTGGATCGCGTATGACGTTCCAAGTTGTTGTTAAGGTCTTCGTCGCCATTCTTCAGAATCCATAGGTGTGATGCTGCATGAGGGTAGAACCAGGGATTGTGAGGTCCTACGATAACCTTGCCACTTGTCACCACAACTGCCATAGTCACCAAGGCGTTCCAAGCTACCGTCCCAATGATGATCATCTGCGAGCTGTCATAAGTCAGGTTGGCCACCTTGAAGTGCCTGATGCTGTCCGGCTCTCCTAACCTCGGGATGTTGTGAGCATCCTCACTTTCACGACGCCCGTACACCTCGACCTTGAGGCAAAGAAGGACCTCATCGCCTGACTGGATCAGAAGACTTGCCAAACTCCTTGATAGTTCCTTGCCATGACCCGAGAACCGCTTGGTCCAAATTTGGTCCTTGTCTCCTAGAGCCCTGTAATCCTCGATGTTCACTAACGAACAGTAGGCGTGAGATCTGAGTACGAGCTCCAACTTCGAATCCGTAATGTCTTTTTCTGACCGGCGCTTCAAGGGACGAACGTATGCCTCCGATCCGTCACCCAATCGCTTGGAACTGCCCGCTGGAAGGTAGGCGAACACCTTTTCACCTCCTGGCAGCGTGATCACCGCTTGATCAAAATGTCGTTGACGAATCGAGCAGTTGTCGGGTGCCCGGTGTTCTTGATGAGCTGCGCGTCAAGCTCGTCGAAATCCTCTTCCTCCTCAGGCCAGGACTTGCAATCCAAAATGTGGCTTGACAGAGTCTTGGCGCTCGCCATGCTGATCTCACACACAGAGCACGACAGGGGAAAGGACAGGTCCTTGAGACTCGGACATGAAAGCAAATGGGTCTTCATTCCCTTCCGACTTTGGAATGACCTTGGACACCAAAGGCATTGAAGATGTCTAATCCGTTTTCTTGGACCATCGTGGGATTCATTGACGTGAGTTCGAAGAACCGCTTCTGTCGTTGAAAGTTGGCCACAGAGAATGCAAGTGGGGTCCTTCTTCTTCGGAGCGTCTTGATTTGACATGACAGACGGAAATAAAGGTAAATCACAGAACAATCTCAGAGTTAGCATCAGAGTTAGCATCTATTTCGGCTAACCAACCTTACAAAAATCGGCAGAACTAACCAGATAGACGGCTGTCTTGCGTCATTTCGGGAATATGAACAGTATCGACTGTTTCCTCAATGCCTTTAACAGCAACGGATGCTACAAAATCATCCACTGGAGCACCATTGACAGAGAAAGATCCTTTAAAATGCGACACAAAACAACTTGAAGGCGTCTAATGATTTCCTTATTTTTCCTTAGCAAACTTACCAGGCGAAACTGAGTAACTAAAAGATTCATCACCGATGAGAGTTTCATCCCCGACAACGGCAGAGGACTCCTTCAAAAGAGCAGAAGCAGCGGCTCCAACTGTAACGATGTTAGCCTCAATGTAACGTCAATTGAAGTATACATGGTTCTGATCATTGCTTGGAAGAACTCTTACACTCAGGATGCTGGACGAGGGAAGCGGCCAAGGTCAAACCCTCTTTGGTGAGAACTATTTTTTAAAGGAACCAAACAACAAAACCTCGTCAGGCAATGAGAGAGAGAAGGCTTTTCGTTCAAAAATTGTTCGAAAAAAACTTACACTTTGGGCAACTCAAGGCGTAGTGGTGACTTTTCAAGAACGATCTTCTGTCATTAAAAATCGTCTGGCAGTCCACGCATTTCAAGACAGGTTTCGACAACTCCCAAATCGGCGTCGCACAGCTTTTCCAGGATCCTGAGATAGGCTTGTCAACTTCTTTATGATGTTGTGAAATGTGCGTTTTTGTTGTTGGAATACTGGCAAGGAGGGAAAGAGCATTTTACTTCTACCTCCTCGCTGGCAAGATTTTTTTCTGAAGTTTTTTTCATTGCAGTGTTCGTGGACGAGAATTGAGGAAGAAGAAAAAGGGCGGGGAACAAAGTCAGGAAAGGAGAAAAGTGGGAATCAAGAGCGTTTGGTCAAACATCTTCGTTTTTGTCGTGTCTGTTTGCGGGATTATCTTGTTGGGTGGCAAACCAAATCCAGCCCCTTTTTCTCGTTTGTTTGCGGGAAAATTGGTTGGGCGCCCTTTGTTGCGGGAATATTTTTTCTCCCTCTTTCTCGAACTTGTTGCTCACATCCCTCTACTCTTTCATTCATCTTCAGGTGCACGTTTGAAAAATGTTTCAAAACACACTTTTCGAGTCCCTCCAAAAAAAATCGAGCATCATCGAGAACACCACGACTCCTTCGAGAGGCCGTACATTGCTCTGAATGGCATGATGTTCAGATTTACTAGACATCCGGACATGGAGAATAGATTCATTTGCATGTGCGGTCGTACATTTTCAGGTCTTAGATCCATTAAAGGTCATGTCGACGCAGCCTCTAAACCAGAGGTTTGCACTGTCATTAGCCAACGTTCAGTTGAGCTGGCACTAAAGGAGGAGGAGTGCTTCAATGAGAATGTTTTTATTCACTTTGTGCCTCTCTCGAAAAGCGAGCTTTTCAAAATAAAGTAGCTTTTGTCTTTCATTTCTGTTTTGTCTACCTCTTCTGCCTCTCTACATCTCTCTCCGCGGATCGCTTCTTCCATCCCTTGCTACACATGTCCTCTCTTTCACCTCTTACCATAAACACATTACCACTCCAACACAATCAAAACATGTCTCATACTACCCTCCGGAGCGCTTTGACCAAACGAAAGGCCGATGGAGATTCTTTCACCGATGGTCGAAAGAAAAATAAGCCTCTTCGCTATCGAAGGTGTTATCATCCCCACACCTTCACTTCCACCACGGCCCACTCTTCAACGTCACAAGAGCTTCTCAATTTCTACTAGCAAGGAGGACGACGCCGACCAACAACGTGACGAAACTGTCAAGACCGACCATCAACCTGACAACACTGCTGACCACACTGTCGACGCCGACCAACAAGCCATGCCTTCCTTTTCTGTCCCTGACGATCATAAAACGTTGAAGATAAAGGTCATCGACGCCACCTACATCATCCCTAACAAGATTATGGAGGTTGATTATTATGATACCGTTGCGGATCTCAAAGACCTGATCATTCTCTCATTCCTTCAGGAGATAACGCTTGACCCTCGCAGAATCCGTCTGACTTTCAATTCGCACAATGTTCGTGCTTCCACCTCGCCTCAGGGACGAAGATCGCATGGTTATTTGTGGATCCGTGAAAACACGCTACTTAAGGATTACATACTTCATACACCATGCATGAACCATGATCTTCTGTTCACACATGAAAGATTTAATTTTTGGTTCACTAAAAGTACATTCTTCACATCTTCTCCGATCCGTCCTTATTCTCCTTACATCAAACTACGTCGAGATGAGGCTGTGGTGCAAGGCCTTGAGCGTCTCCAACTGTCGTGAGTGGTACGGGAAGAACGAGACAAAGTAATCCAGTGCCTCAACCCACTTCCTCAACGACTGCGGCCACACTCGAATCGACGTCTCCTCGCTGCCGTCATCCCCTTGTGCGCGGTACAAGGGATGAGGCTGTTGTTGTTGGTGCTGGTGCTGTTGCTGGTAGTTCCCGTTATGGGTCTGCATAGTAAACCCATTCGCTCCAGTCTGATAAGGCATCCTGTCACCATTCTCCTCTTTTCCACCTGATCCCGATTGGCCCCCAGGAACAGCGGTGCCATTGCCGCATCCTGGTCCTGATCCTGACCCTGAACCACCGCTCGTCGACGCCGTTGATGTTGCGCGAGGGTCCTTCAGATATGCTGGCGACCAAATCTGGAAAATTCGGTTGCCTAGCAAGCTGCAAAACAACAGACTGGCCAGCTGGAAAAAGTTCTCCCCTGTCTTGATCGTACTGTAGTAGACCAGTTGATCGACAACGTAGTGGTACTTGAACTCGAGGTCGATCAACTTGCGCTGCGTTTCCTGTGCCTCTGCGCTCTGGTAATGGGGATGATGCGAAGGTTGGTGAAAGCCTGGAGTAGTTGCTGCCAGGGGCGACGTGCTCCGTCCCAAACCCAACATGCCGACAACAGGTCCAGAGTTTGGTGGCGAAATAAGTGTCGTCAGGCCGCTGCTCAGCAACAAAGGAGACGAGTGGGTCGATCCGGGACTGGAGCTACGGTCAGGTCCAAGTCCAATGGATGACAGGCTGAAACCATTGCTTGCGTTCGAAACCAATCCGTTGCCTGCACTCGTTGCCGAGACAGCCCCAGGGAAGCAACTGTTGCCCATGTTGACCAGGACTGCATGCGAGTTAAAGTCGCTGAGAAAGTTGACGACGTGTTGCTCAATCATACCGAAGGCATACGAGCTCTTGTACCCAGAAGACAGCTGAAAATTCGAAACGTTTCCAAAACTGAGTCGAAGTGGAATCCAGTAGTTCTCCAGAGGTCGGTTGCGGTTGTAAATGGTGATGTTTTCCTGAACGTATTTCTCCTACGATATTGAATAATTAAATGTAAATACTACGTAGACCCGCAGATATCGAGTGCAGGCGCTTGAAGCAAAAGATAAACAACTTACCCTCCTAAAGTTGTCTGCGTTTCGGAGAAGAGCTTTGGCGTTAGGGACGACGCGGATCTCGTGCTTGTCTAACCCATCGATGATCTTGTCCGGCTCTGGATACTCCAGGTTGAAGTACATCGTGTCGTTCACGATCTCGTATTCAAGAGGGATTTGGAGCAAGTTGAAGATGCTCAAGGTCCGGTAATCCTCTTTGAATGAGATCTTCCATTCGTCCGTGTTCTCGACTGATCCAGACGATTCACGGGAGAAGCGCCCTATATATTGTTAAATATTGAATATCAGTTAGTCGTACGCCATCACAACAAATTGTTAACCTCGTATATTCCGCCTGCCATTAGGTATAAGCCTTACCGATGAACGAAACGGAATCTTGCCAGTTGACGCGGACAGCAGGCATGTAGCACTCTGCAGTGAGGAGAACGACTTGCTGGTAGTCTTTGACAAGACGGCAGTTGATGTAAATCTCAACGGTCTTGAGCTCCAGCTCATCTGGGTCCCGGCTCTCGCCGCTGTCAATTGCCGCCTGTATGGCTGCAGACGGGCGAGGGAAGAAGCGGATGTAGACACGGACATGGTTCTCCGAGGGAACAGTCAACGTCTTGAACAGCTTTGCAGACGTTCGTGATGTTGAAAACAAAATCTCGGTCGTATCCGAAGGCGACAAGTTCGATTTGAACTAATCATGAAATATTTGACAAGAAAAAATCGTTAATAAATGAATCGCATAAGCAATGGTATCAAAAATCGAGAGAGAGAGAGAGAGAAAGAGAGAGATATTCAAAACTTACGGTAAACTCCATGGGGACACTCTCTCGGTTGTAGACGACCATGCTCCTGGCGGTGTACTCGGATCCATAGAAGAGATTCTTCATGTCGATCGTCGACGAGTTCTTCTGGTCGATTCCGTTCACAAACACGTCAAAAACTCTGTTGTTCGCTTCGTTGCCCTTGGCCGCTCGCCGGAGGTTCTGCCGTGCAACCACCTCCATCGTAATTCGGATCGTCTTGGTGTCACCGGGGTTGTCCACGTTCTCGATCAGCAAGTACGTCGAAAATACGTTCCGGACATTGGTGACAAATCCCAGTGTAATCGTGTGAACAGAGGACGATCCAGCCGACAGCTGCTCCTCCGAAGGTGGCTCAAGTGTTCCGTCCGGTCGGCTAATCTTGATCCAGTTCTTGTCCAATGCAGAGATCGTCTTGATCCTGTATGAAACCCTATCATATCCAGGGTTCTCCAGGACCAGTTTACGGATGACGTTAGCTGATCCCATATCCTGCTGTCCAAGATCCAGTTCGTAGCGACCGCCAAATGCCTCACCAGAGTCGATACGCTTACATCCTCGCAGCGATATGACAGGTTGCAACGCACTCGCGTCCACTTCAGTCGCCCCGGAGGACTGGGCTAAATTGGGTGAACTGCTAGTCATGCTCGCCACGGCGGGTTCCTCCAACTTGTTCTGGCGGTGGTGGGGGTCGATTCGTTCGTCCTCGATGGCTTGCTTCTTGGTGGGTTTCCGATGCTCCCGATTGTCAGACACGAGACTGATCAGAACGCGTTGCTGCTGACCCAGCTTGGAGTTCAAGTTCCGGATGTACAGTTTGATGTCCTCCGAGATAATCAGATGAGGGTCAATGAGCTCCACCACCAGCTTGAGCTGCTGGCCTGCCTCAACTACACCGCAGTTGCTGCTGTCCAGAGGTGTTACCCTGATGATCTCGGCTGCTGGATACTCCATAGGGCCCTCCAGCGTCATCTGGAACTCAAGTGGGAAGGTCATCGACAAGTTTGACACGGTGATGGTCGCTTTCTGCACGTCTGATCCCATGCCGTCTTCCGACACATCCTTGGACGAAGAAAGAGCCGCAGTCTCGGGAACGGAGAGTCGTTCGTCGTCACTGTCATCCTCGTAGTCGGATGACTGCATCAAACTCCTAAAGACGATCCTTTGAGTCGACAGCGAAAACATGGATCCTTCCACCAAGGCGCCGCGAATAAGGATATTCTGAGCAAACCGCTTGGTAGTCGTCTCCTCCTCGGCAGTCATAGGCTTTGTTGAGACCCAGAGGTTGCCAAACGTCAATCCGTCGGGTGTACAGAGGGCTGCAGTGTCACTTGGCAAACGGGAACCCTCCTTCGGGAAGGCACGGATACGGACACCGATCGATCCGCGTGAGCTGAGGGTAATACTGCCACGGAGTGGCGAGTTCGAGAAGCGGGAAAGAACGTCCAGATGCACATAGTCGATTACGTCCGGTGAAAGTGTCGCTCCAATCTCAAACTTGACGTCCTCCAGTGACTTGTTCGTGATCGAGAACCAGGCATCGCAAGGAAGAGCAGAGGACGGTAATGGATGGGTCAATGGAGGCAGCACCAGAGTGCCGTCTGTAAGTCGGTCAAATCCAAGTTCGAACTCTGTCAGAACGGCGCTCACGTTGAACACGGGTTCGTTCAGAGGATTATGGAGGTTGAGGATCCGGATGGGGAAGGTACGGCGTCCGATCTCAAAATTCTCGATCCTCCTGGGATCCAAAAGAACCTCGATTGAATCCGTGCCACGTGAGCGGATCTTCCTCTTGGTTCCAATGACGGGATAATGAGGACGAATGCCTTCCTCCTCCGTCACCGTCAAGCGAATAGGGGCCAGATCCATATAATCCTGAAGGACAAGCTCGTAAGAGAGGGGGATCTCGCTGGAGTTCTTAACCTCAAAGTTGATCTTGACCGGGTTCCACGAGTTGTAGTGACCGATTTTCCCGAGATCCGTCGACAACGGCACCACTTCGGCATAGGAAACTCCGAACGAGGACGACAATCCCAGCACCTTCATGACTTGATCCTTGACGCGATCTACAACCATCAGCGTACCCGACAGAGAGACATTTTTTCCTGACTGGAGTTGCTGAGCATCGTTGGTAGACAATTCTGGCGCAGGACAAGAGATGGCCAAATGAACCTTCTGACCAGGGACAAGTCGGATGATAGAGCCACAGACATGGAATCCGTCGATTGCCTTGTTGGCTGCTTCTGAAAGCGGTTCCGACGAAGATGGCGGACTTCCGTGCTCCCAAATAGTGTCCGCAGTGATGTCGCACAGAGGCACAAGTTCCATCACCTCGTCACCACCGTTCAACAGCTCAACCCAACGGTCGTCGACCCGAGCATCCTCCTGTCCACGTTGGGGTTGAAGTGCGACCAAGGCCCGACTCTCCTGTCCGCCAGTATCCTCATCTTCAGCAACACTAACGTAGACATCCTCCCACGACAGAGTAGGAAGGGCAAGACCCTCTCGAGGAACGCCGGGCTTGGCTTCCAGATCATCCTGCGACTCATCTACCGACATGGGACAAGTGTAGCCTGGACCGTGCAAAATCGTCGAGAGTCGACCAGGATCGACAAACAGGCGAACCTTGATGTGGATCTTTTGAGAGCAGTTGTTCTTGTTGGTCACCAAAATCGTGTCGGTAAATAGACCAGGGGTAGACGCAGTGAATCGGAAACTGATCCAGAGACGTGAACGATCAGTTGGGGCGACCTCAGATGGATCGTTGTCGTCATCGTCGTCATCGCCGTCCTTGAGCTGATCCCTGTCCATGTGGTCGTGCGTTCCAGATCTCCTAGTGTCGACCTCCCAGCCGTCCAAGATTCCGCCCGTCCGGTCCAGAATGATGTTGCCAGAGAGCGACTCAATCTGAAAGTCCAGCGGCAGACGACTGGACATGTTCTGGAGCGTGAATGACCCGTACACAGGTCGTCCTACTTCTGGCGTCCATCCAAGGTTGAGGAGTGTGTCCGAGACCGAGAGGATAGATCGGCCAATGACAGAGGTAAATTTAACTGTCTGGGATAGGACTTGAGTGAGGGTATCCTCCGTGTCCTCGACAGCAGCAGAAGCGTCTGAAATGGACACAGAAAACTTGATGCCTCCGACCAACGTACGGCACTCGCTATCTCGCTCCTGTGAGGTCGAGCTCAGACCACTAGAGGAGGTGGCCGCCCGGCGGCTCGAGTTTCCTCCAGCGATACCTCCAAGCAGGTTGGGTTGGACAGCAACCCAAACAGTGACCATGCTGCGCTTCTTCAGGAGCGTCCGGGTGACCTGACCCTTCTCCGCCTGCTCGTCAAGGTAAATCCCCACTTGCTGGGCCAAGTTGGAAGCACACGCGATGTAGACGTCGTCATCCGTGACGTTCTCGACCAAGAGCGGCGTCACTTGGGAGTACTTGCGCCCGGTGTCGACATAGCAGTGGCCAAGGTCCAGCTTCATGGACTCGTCCAGGGAAGGAAAGGCCAGATACTGAGCACGATGAGAATAGCAAGTGAAAACAAAGTCGTGCGCCGCCTGTGTGACAAGGTTGATCACCCGAAGGGAGTCCCGAAGTCGTCCAAGGTCGTGAGTCAAGTAGCCAAACATGAGCCGCTTCACCTCCTTCGGCTCCAGGGACCCAACCAGTTCATGCTCGTCCAGCACAAATCGCGAGACACTGCCATTGGCGCCGGTGTCAAGTTCAATCCGGTATGGCAAAGGACTGTCGGAGGTGTTGGACAACTTGAAATAGAAAGTGCCCTTTTGATCGAGCTCGACCTTGCCTCCGTCAAACTCTGACGGCGACAGCACAAGGTGTTCGGCTGGGGGTTCTGACTCCTGGAAGGGCGTCTCACCCTCGACATCAGCGGAGCTTAATGCCTTTTTGACGACGCTCTCTCCTACTTTGATCTCCTTGGCGACGGCAGCCTTCTTGGACGCCTTCTTAGCAACCTTGTCGTCCGCAACTGATCCAGGCGAGGTCGACGTCGGTGGCTCTTCAGCAGCATCTTCCTCGGTCGGAACCTGGGGCTCGACGGTAGCAATGAACATCACCTCGCGACAAATATCCCTGTTCTTGTGCTCGTGGACGTAGATCTTTCCTTGTAGACGGATACGTTCCTTGTCAACGATGGCATTGGAGGCATACACTGGATTATTACGCAGTGCTGTGAAGTAAGCCGAAACAGACTTGGTCTTTCCTCCCTCCAGTGTGAACACAATCGAGTGATCCGTCCGCCTGAACTTCGGCGCGTCCTTGACCGTGGGTGTGTTAGCAGGGGTAACTGAGGTTGGCGTGGTCGAAGCTGTACTCTTGGCAATAGAGTCAACAAGTGGAGAGCTGAGCTGGTCTGGTTTGAACAATTCCTGTATCTTCTCCTGAGTAGGTGTCGCATCATCTAGTGTTAGAGATTATTTTTGGTAAAATAACAAACGCGTTAGATTCTCTACGCATACAATACCACCATCAAACATGTCCTCAGTTGTTTGCTCTTTACCAGCTGGTTTGGGCGATTCCACCTTATCTTCAACACCGCCTTTCCGGAGAAGACTCAGTCGAGCAGTGACCTTCTTGACCTTGTCGTCGCGGCCCTTTCGCTTGGCAATCTTGAGTTTTTGTTCTAGGATCTCAATCTCGTCCTCCATCTCCTTGGTGACAACAGCCTGGCCAGCGGGGTCATCCTCGAGAGTAAACTCAATTTCGCCACCGAAGTGCGTTCCAGCAGCGAGCGGCATCATCTCGTGGGGGTCGACACGAACCTCAAACGTCCTGGTCTGCTTGGTCGAGTTTGTCACCGTGATTCGCTTGGATTCCGTTTTGCAATTCACAGAACATGTTCCAAAGTCGACCTCTGGACAATCGATCGAAAAATGTTTTGGCTTCCGGATGTTGGCCTTGACACTCAACACGCGGCCGCTCTCGGGGTCCTGAATATTCTCGATTGCCAGCCTCTCGTGATACAGGCCCGACAGCGACGGCTCAAAGATGAAGTCGACCTCCTTCTTGCTGTAGCCGCGGACGACACCACTCTTGCCGTTACCGAGAACAATGTCACCTGACGCAATGGATCCAGACTTGCGGATGTGGTAGAGTAACGGCTCCTTGCTGCGGTTCTGGATGACGATTGTTTTGGTCCGCTTCTCCCCCTTGTCCATGTTGCCAAAGTTAATGTTGTTCTGGCCTAGGTCCATGATACTCCTGACAAGCGACGATCGGACCATGATCTCCCGTAGAGGAATCTGGCTGAGATCCCCATCCAACAGTGGCCTAAACTGGGGGTTGTTCGCAACAGTCTCCTGGTCAAAGTCCACGAGTCTCAGATAGATGCGAGCGTCTTGGTTCTTGGGGATACCCTTGATGTGGTCGCGGAAGGTCGAAGAAGGTGTGAACAGGACAACGAGCTGATGTTCCGTTTCTGGAGGCACGCTCACCACAGAAATTGGCGCCAATTCTCCACTGGCAATGGCGTTCTGGAGCTCTCTCGTCAGCTTCATCTTCTCCTTCACGTATCTCTCCTCGTCAGCGGGCTTGTAAAATAGCATGGATCCTCCTGTTGTCGAGCTGGCGTCCATCGCTGCCAAAACACTCTCCAGCGTCCTTTCGCTTAACAACGACTGAACCTGTTGCTTGCCGTCCCCACCCGCTTGCTGCGTGGCTTCGCCCTGCAACGTCTTTGGATCCTGTAGCCGTTGGGATGTGGTGGAGATCGCGTCCGATCGTTTGGAAGAGTCTGCAATGGACACACCAGAGCTTTGTTGAGATGTGGCGTTCGAGCGAGGAGACCGGGATGACGTCTCTGTGTGGCCTGGTCCAGTAGTCTTGCCAGGCCGGTCTATCGTCGACTTGCTCTTGGGCTTTGTGGCTGGCTCCAGCAGCTCCTTCATGGTAGGGATGCGCCTAGTGATCTTTTTCACCTCTCGTGGTTTGTTGGTTGCTAGATCCAGAAAACCAGCAGAAGAGCTACCGGCACCCTGGGACACATCTCCATGGAAGAGGATCGCCTTTGCCTTTAAAGCGAGAGTCGAGGCGAGAGCTCCTCCTCCGATCGTTGCGGGAGTTCCTGATTCTGACGTCCCATTAGAGTGCTGTTCGCGTTGTTCCTGTCGTCTCTTGAACAGGGACGACTTCGAACCATCGTTAGGGGCTGCCCTTCCCGGTCCCACAATTGACAATCCACCTAATTTTGTTCCGATAATTCAAATTTGTAGTTTTAGCTACAGTGCTCTCGATTCATTATCACCCCATGTTCAAAAATAAAGCACACAGGCATTACCAGATCTTGTCATTGGAGAATGCGCAATGTTGTGAACGCCGCCTTGAGAGGTGGGTTGGATATCCTGATCGTTTGAAAGCAACCCGCTGACCTTATTCAGGTTCAGGTAATCTCGATGCTCTCGGGCACGCTCATACACGGACAGCTCTCCGCAAAGACTTGTTGTCACCTCCAAGGTCAGCCAGTTCTTGGTGAAGTTTGAGATAGTGATGGTCCGCAAGCTGATACCTCCGACGACGACGTTGCCGAAATCCAGAAAGTTGGTCCCGCCTGGATAGAGAACTCTGTAGAATAACGAATGGAAAGTGACCCGGTTCTTGTCGATATTGGTAGATCGAACCTCGATAATCTGGTCGTTCGCCCGATTCGTAAAGTTGAATAGTGTGAGCTGCTTTCTGTAATCCGGGTTGACCTTGCGCGGGTAGATGTCGAGCTTGAGTTCCGTGCTGGATTTAGGTGCCAGAGTGATGGCGCCCGATGGTGAGCAGTTGAGGACCTTGCTCTGGAAATCCAGCTGGACAACGGCTGGGATCTCTGATTGGTTCATAAGCTTGATTGGCAGCGACTTGAGTGCTCCAACGTCAGTGTCTCCAAAGTCCAACGACTTGGGCTCAAAGGTCACAAAAGATGTACATGCACGAGCCTTGCACTGAACAATCTTGCGATCCCTCTGACTGTTCTCGGAAAAGGGCACGGTCGAGGTCAGACCGCCCCAAGGAGCGTATGCGACAATGATGCGGAAGGACTTTCGCAAAAGCTTTCCTGCCTGAAAATCCTCGATGGACGAGTCACGAGCAGGGCGGTAGGAGACAATGACGGTTCTCTCTTTGCCTGGCTTGACAAACAGCTCCTCGATCCGAGTCGTTGACTGGTTGCCTCGAACTGGCGATTTTGGTGCATGGATCTGAGCTTGAATCAGCTCTTTCTCCCGCTGAGCTCCGGAAAAGGAGATGGATCGCAGGCTGGGTCGCTTCTTGTGGTTGACCAAGTTGTTCGCTGTCAAGGAGTCCTGAACGCTTGTCGTATCCGCCTCTGATTCGCCGTCATCCTCGATCCCTTCCATTGGCGGGCGTGCAAGATCTTGGCCTGCAAGATAGCTGGCGACTGTAGGGTTGATGGGGTGGACATTGTCGGGGAAAAAACCATCGGAGAGGACTGGGGATGATGGCCCAGACTCGACCAGCAAGCCTTGCTCGCGTCCTGCACGATCCCCTTTTGTTCCTGCTGAGTCGGCCACGCTGGGGGCAGACGATGTGAATCCGAGGGCGTTGGGTGACTGGGGGCCATCTTCCATCCAATCTCGAAGGCGACTCCGACTAGCTTGACCGCCCACGCTGCTGTGATCCGGATGGTCGGTATTGGCTGAGGATTCTGACCGACGGGAGCTCTCATACCAGCTGGACTGTATATCGGGATCCAGGAGAAACTTGCCCTCTTTTGACAGATCCGATGAAGGGTCAGAACCCTCTGTCGCGGCCTCGGTTTGGATGTCAAACACCACCTCTGCGCCTTCGACCTTCAAATGGATTTCCGTCGGCGTCAATCCTGTGTTGGTGAAGGTAAGCGGAAGTCGTGTCCAGACGCCCGCGCAGCAGTCACCGAAATCCATCGTACTGCCTGTCGATATTGTGAGGGTGTCCTCCCCTCTCGAGACTGCCCTCACTGCTGCATGAATAGTTGCCTCCTCAATGTTGCTGGCATCATTCAGGTTCTCGAGCAATAGGTCGAACAAAAAGTCGCCATTTTCTTTGGGTCGGAAAATAACGCGGATGCGTCGGTAGCCATAACTGAGAATCGGTTTGGACTGGACTGCATTAGAGTGTTGACCTTGCTCCTCGACATGTTCCGCTGCATCTTCTGCGCCGGTTCCACCATACGAGTCCTCGTAGTCGACAAAACGAAGCCAATTCTCTCGAGATGAGCTGCTGACATCCACTGTATTGAGTTGCCAATAGAGGGGAATCTCGCTCCGGTTCCAGATGGTAAAGTCTTTGACGTACTCCTGATTGGCGACGCAGTCTTCAAAGTTGATGCCAGTTTCGCCAATGTCGGAATAGAGAACCGATCGGCACACAGTCGAGCGAAATTTGACTGTGTGCTGGTAGTCGGCTTTGTGTGGTGCAGTGCTGGGTCCGATGGACGAACTGTTCCCGGGCTCCAGCATGCTTCCAGTCACGGTTTTTCCTCCTCCGGTATGAGTTGCTGAGGTCGTGGCTCCAGAAGAATCCGAGTTCGGGTCGGACGTGGCGTGGGTGGAGGTAGGAGATTCTGATAACTCTGATTCTGGGTATGGTTGCGTTGGGGCGTTCCCCAAAACTTTAGATCCTGCAGAGACCGTAATAATCTTGTATGCGAAAAAGAAGACTAAGCCGTTCACCTCAAAGGCATCGAAGCTATCGGTCTGTTGGTCGTTCGAGTCAAACTCCTCGGCGTCGATATTGCTGCCAGTTGCGAGTCCATTGGCCGAGATATCGCGTTGCCGGCTATCGTCATAAATCTGGACACCATCTCCAAAGGCGCTGCCATTGCCTGAGTTGTTGTTCGCTCCATCATTGGCGTTCGACGTGCCTCTCCTGTTCTTGCCCTTGGGTTCCGGTAAGAATCCGAGGATGATGTATTCGGTCTCTCCAGCAGCGACCGTGACCTCGTCGATAAGATTGACGTAATTGAAGAGTTGGTTGAATTGCAGTCCGGTTGATCCAGCCTCAGCTGCCGCGGCCGTGTTTGTCGATACGACTTGAAGCGGGCCTCCGGTTGTGTCTAGAATAAAATGTAGGATACAAAACATTCGTGTCAGTCGATCAAATAAGAGACGAGATGGGTCCAAAGGGAGCAAAGAAAGAGCATCAAGGCCAAGGGGAAGTGAATAGGAAAAAATAAAAGAAAATTGGCCAATGAAAGGAAGGCATAGCATCGACGGGCCAATCAACGTCTACTCTGAAGAGTCGAACAATGTATTTGGCTACTTCTAGAGAATGTGGTGCAATCACCACGATAACCCCAGATCATGAATAATAGGAGGAGATAACGAGGAACAACAGCGAGAACTTTTTGACGCGTGCTATGGTATGGGGATGTGGGTGTGTCTGTGTCTGTGTGTGCGTGTATGTGTGTGTGGGGATGAGGTGTTTGGACCACACAGATCATTTGAAATATGAAAATATGCGCACACTCGACTCATAGACAGCATTGGAATTCATCCCACAAATATAGAAGCCAAAGGATGCAAAACTTTTTTTTTTCTTTCATACCTGGATCGAAGGGCAAGTTTTCGTTGGTCAGCTGGAAGGAAATCTGAGGGCCAAGACTGGATCTCATTTTGACAACAATATCCGCCTGGGACGTGTTCTTGATCCCGAATCGACGCAACGAATGGAGTCCATTGAGATAGACGTTCTCCAGGACAAGTCGGCTGGGAAAGTTGACGAGTTGAAAGAGTGGAGTAGAGGCTGGTGGCATCGAGTTGCTGTGATGGAGATGGTGGTGGATATGACTCTGCGACGGCTGACTCTGCTCTGGAGTTTGCCCTCCAGCTCCTTCCTGACTTGACGACTGTCCTGATGACACAGAGGACACGGAAACAGCATGTCGTAATGAGTTGGACGAGGGAATAGGATCATGGTGTGCTTTAGAGAGATCTAATCAACATAAGGGCAGTGGGTTGGAAGGATGTCATGGTGTTAGTGAAAGGTGGCGGAGGCTTTATTTATATGCTGCGGGAGCAGTTTCCCAAGGTGTGAGATGCATGGTATTGACAAGGGCGTATTTCATACTTGTGGGGATGGCTGTAGAAGGCTGTATATCGGTGTCATCGCTGGTGGTGTTGTGGTTGTTACTGTTGTTGAGATTGCTGGTGGTGTCCTGGGGCACACTGGGATTCATGGCCGGTTAGGGGAGTCGGGTGGGTATGCCTTTTGAATGGAAGAGAGTGAGGAATGAGAAGAGATGGAGAACTGGTCAGGGCCAGGGGGAGGGAAGGAAAAGGAAGAATGAGGGGTAAAAGAAGAATAGTGTGCAATAGTAAAGAGAAAGGAGGGTAAGGACGGATGTGAATTGACACCACGAAGGGTTAAAGGAAGGAGGAAGGGACGAGGAGGAATGAGAGAGAAGGGAGGAGTGAGGGTGGAAGAAGAAGGGCAAGAGGGAAAATTAAAAAAAATAAAAGGGTCGGAGAACGAGAATAAAATTTGACTCGGGTGATGATTGATCGAATGAAGGGAGGTGATAGATGTCTCACCAGTCAGACACTGCTGACTGGACTGATAAACAACAAGGAAAGAAGCTCTCTCTGGCACTGAAGGTGGTGGCAAACAGATCCAGTCGAGTCTGCGCGGCAGGGAGAGGAGATCAGTTGGCAACGACAACGGTCCACGCAGTCTTTTTTTTTTTTATAAGTATAAAAAACACGACAGGGTGTTAGTGCAAGTCAATAAATGTAGGAGAACAGCATGGCATTTTTATTATTTGTGTCTGCTTTTCATTATTTGTCGTCTGTGTGGCCACGTCCCCGTCTTCTCCACATATTGCACACAGGAAAAAATGGTCCCCATGCCAATCAATACATCCTCGAAGGGCGAGCTTGTGCGATGGCGCACCCTTCCGTGCCACTGTACACTCGAGTGCTGCGCGCTTTGCTTTTGGTGATGGTGTCCTGCTTTCTTTTATTATTTTTAATAGTCCTTTTGGGGTGCTTTGCAGAAAGGATGCTGATGGCTAATCGATGAGCCTGGTGGTGGCGTGTGTGTCTGTGGTTGCAATGGTTGTGCACATTTGATTTGTCAGGAGTGGTTTCTTCGAAGGTAAAGGTGGCAAGTTATTGCCTCCATTGGAAAGCTGAAAGAGAGAGTGTAGAGAGGAAGAAACGCGTGTGTTGAAAGAGTGTTGTTGCAGATGAGTTAGAGTTATGAATAAGAAAGAGAGCGTGGGTGTGCGAAGAGAGTTCAAGCGGTAGAAGTGTGTCAGTTGAGAGAGAAAGGGAGAGAGCGCCTTGCTTCTTCACAGAAAGATTTTTTTGTGAGTGCTGTGGACACGGGACACGCGACCATCCATGTCCCATGCTTCTCCTTCCCTCCTTTTTTTGTTTGCGTTGTTTATTTGTTTGTTTGCTTGCTTGCTTGTTGAGTGGAGTGGGGCTGGAAGGCAGGGGGCAACTACCCTTGCAATTGTGCACCACTGAATGGTCAAACACCACACGAACAACAACACGCATAACCCTATCCCATATCCATACCGGAAAGAAAACAAAAAAAAAAAAAACAAAAAAAAAAACGCCATGACGCGTCCATTCATTGACTTTGAACATATCGCATCGTTCATCTGTGATTTATGATCATGGCGACATGTTTTTTTAATATTTGAACTTATTGACAATATCTGTCTAGGGGGGGACGTAGATTGGAGACTCAGCAAAAAAACGAGAAAGAGCAAAGAGGAGGCAGCTCGATGAACCGAAGTATCAAAACTTCATGGGGCAAGCAAGATTCGAAAGAGTCATTTCTTTGAATGAATAAAAGGAGGTGTATGTGCATGCATGGGTTAACAAGGCATAGCGAAATAAATGACATTCTCCGTCTTATCCCCAACCACCTTTTCTTATTTTTTTTGTTCGATCTGACTGCATCGATTATTGGCAATATAAACCCATGAACAGTTGAGCAAAGTGGGTCAGCTAGTGAGCGCCCCGAGCAATCAAGCAAGTATTGTTATCTTCCTAGTTCTGGCACCTTGTTACACCAATCATCATAGGCAGCCAAAAAAAAAAAAAAAAAAAGCTTCTTGGCGCAATGACCACTGAGCATCATTATTCCTTGTGACTGATGCGTGGTCAGTAGATTGTTGCCACAAGGGGCACAAGACACAAGGGAGAAGATGGAAAGTGGCTGGTTGGGCTGGCTTGACTGGATTGGACTGGACTGAATTGAACTATTGAACTGGCCCCTGAATAAAAGAAAAAAGAGCCTTTTGTGCCTGATCACTGATCACTGATCACTGCCTCCCTTGCCAATAAGGGTACCAATGAGGCAGATGTCCAGGCTAGCCTAGCCTAGCCTAGCCGGAATGGGTGACACTGGCAAGGCTGTGTGGTCTTGAGAGTATAGTCATGTTTGTTGTTGTGGTTGCTCCTGTGTCCATGGATAATGAACAAAGATTAACCAAGGAAGGAAGCAAGGAAGGGCAACCGCTTGTTCAAAAGAGAACGAGAAAAGTAGAGAAAAGAGAAGAAAGGGAGACGCGATAGAGAGAGTGTGTGTGTGTGTGTGAGAGCAGAGAAAAGTGCGCCACCGTTCTTTCTTATTCATTTTTCCATGTTCCGAGTTCTTATGATTTCATATGTGTGTGTGTGTCTTGTGTGTGTGTCCGTCCATTCATCCCCCTTTTCCTTATTTCTTTTTTCTTTTCACTTTTTTCACACTCCTCTCCTTCCTTCTCTTCTTCCTTTTCCCTTCCCATTCACTCACAATCCCCCATCATCTTCCCTTATAATTATAATACATATTCTTCTTGCTGTCGATCATCCCCCTCCCTTTCATCGACACCAGCAACAATAACAACCCACTCTCTTTCTGACTCTCACTTTAAAAAACCGGCCGCCAATGTTGAGCTCCTCTGCTCACTTCCCTTCCTCCTTCCTCGACTCCTCCAACACGTCTTCTACTGCTGCTACCACCACCACCTCTTCCTCCACCCATACCACCCCCGCTACGACTCCCTCGTCCGGTCGCCTCTCCTTCCTCGGCCCCACCAAGCGAGCCCCCTCGGACCCCTTTGTCATGAGTATCGTCGCCAACCAACAACAACAGCAACAACAACAACAACAACAACAGCAGCAGCAGCAGCAGCCTCAACACTCCCCCTCTGCTCTAGCACCACAGCTCACCCCACCCACCCCGCAGAGCTCCTTTACCCCTCCAACCACGCGGCCCCGGCAGCTCCTCCACAATGTCATCAACACCCCTCCCCCTCAAGCATCCCTTTCCCAGACCCAGCTCCATCCTCAATCCGTCCGACCACCTTCTCCTGCACAATTCCAACAGGCTGCCTCGCCACCGCCGCCACCCCCACCTCCTCCCATCACAACAACCAACCTCAACAAGGCCATGCCACCCATCCCCGCCCAAGGTTCATCACACTACCCTCCTATCCCAAAAGACCTCTCAACCTCCTCAGCAGGTGTTGCCTCCTCCTCATCCGTGAACGTCACGTCGGCAGGCGTATCCTCAGCCTCTGCCTCCGTCTCTGCCTCTTCTTCTGTGCCTAGTCCAACAACGGCCGACCGAGAGGGATCCGCCTCTCTTGCAAATCTACGAGTACGTTACTTTTGCCTTCCCTACCTTTTTTTGCTACCTTTTCTTTTCTTCTTTATTATTGTTCTTTGTCCCGCCTCTAGACAGCTAATTGAACCCATATCTCCCAATAGGCCAATGTGAGTACAATGAGTCTCACCTCCCAACAACAACCACAACCACCTCACATGGAAGGCATCTCAGCTGCGGATTGGACCATGGATAGAGTTGTCCAATGGCTTAGGGCAAGACCACCTTTTGCGTACCTGGAACCACTCTTTGTTGGTAATGAATGACTCTACCTTTTATATCAATTGATCCATCATCGGTCCAATGTCAGCAGAAATGCGATTAGCATGGCATCGTGGACACCATGGGGCCAGATCCGATGTAGCTCTCTAACATTTCGCTTTATCCTCCTTCATACCCCAACTGCAGAGCATCAAATCTACGGCATGACATTTGTTGGGCTGACAAACCCTACCCTCAAACAGTTGGACCCCAACATCTCGTACTTTCAGCGCAGGATATTACTTCGGGAGATCAAGGACTCAGTCGAAGGCACAAGGACGGCTGCCTCGGTGTCATCAATAGGTGCAGAGAACATGAACACGCCCTCGCCCGGTTCAGGATCACCTATCCTTCTTCGTCTCGGATCAGGGTCGCGACCGATGGTCATGTCACCAGGAGGTTCTGTCCACTCACCCTACGTCAATGCGTACCACGTCAACAACAGCAGCGGAAGCGTCGTCCCTCTGTCCTCTGAGCTCAGCACTGTCCGCACGTCATTCGATCAGGACCCTCAGCAGCCACTCTCAGCAAAAATACTCCGGTCTCCTACAGATGAATCCACGGGATCGGCTTCAGCAACTCCCCTGGCACTTCAACCCGCCTCCAGCCTGCCACGACTATCATTGGACGCCATAGAACCCCTCGAGGAAATAACCACGTATGAGTTCACGCAGCCTCAAACCCGGCCAAGTAATTCCCCGCGGCCCATGAGCGACCCAGATCTGAGGCTACTTCCAGGTCGGTTACCAGCGCACGTCACTATCGAAACCACGGAATTCAACCACAAGACCCCCAACATCGCACCACGTCAATCATCCATCGCCTATTCTGCCATCAATTACCGACCCAACCTGAATGTACCGCCTCAGATTGTACCCAGAGGAAGCTCCAGGGACTACTCATCAGCACATGGCTTAAACGTACCCCAGTCCAGCAGGGGTATGTCTCCCATCTCCCCTCCTTCGCCCGACGGAGGAATCCACCCTTACTCCCAGCGCCACCAGGAACCAGTGTATGGCGCCAAGGACGCACCAGGGAGCTCCAAAAATGGTCCCTCTCTCATCGAGCGACGAAACAACCCCGTTCCACATATTCAAACTCATCTCGATCCTCAAGGCAGCGCGCATTATCAGAACGGGCAGCGGCCATCCTACGACAATAGAACTGATCCTTCAAAATCAGGAGGAGGACCATATTTAGATGCGCAAGTCGTCGGCGGAACTCTTGGCTTTGGTCGCAGATCCAGCCACAAGCGGAACCACAGCAGTGCCGATGTCATCCAGTACCCTCCACTCACATCTGCGCCCCAGCCCGTGTCCTTGCCCGTGGCACCACCCAGAGTACGCGTTTATCTCCACTGTTCATTCATTTCCTGTCGTGTTACACTTTTATTAACAGCTCTGACAATTTCTTTTGTATATCTGTCCTCTTTATAGACCAAGAGCATTCAAGTCACTCTGGACAACGAAAACTTCAAGTATGTCGACATTACAGGCATTGATAATGCTGTCGTACTCAAGGAAAAGATCTTTTCTCGGATGAGAATTCTTGCGGAGAAGAACAAGTACGGCATCTTTGAGACTACGGAGCTCGGAAGTCGTAAGTGCCAAATATGAAGAACCTCAAGGTGCTCAAATCTTTTTTTTTTTTTTTTTTTTTTTTTTTTCAGTGGCAACTAAAGTTAAAAATATTATTTCAAATCCATCCTTTTCCATCATAGCCCTATTGGACGACCCATCCACGAGAGGTCCGCCCTTGAACGAGAGGCAGCTTATGGATCTAGTGCTAGACGCTGACAACAAAGGATCCGTCAAGTTTTTGGTCACGCCCATCATGCCTCTTATCCTCCCACCCGATATCGATATTTTGAACCCAAAGCGAGGTGCTATCGCTGCAACCCCGTCTCAGTCCTACAACCACATTCACAATCACGACCGAAACTCGCCCTTCCAAGGAGCATCAGCCATCGGCGTGCCTCAGCAGGACATGGCAGGATATCACCAGCGCGAACGGACGACAGACTCGAATCATCACATCTTTCAGCCAGACCCTTACCTGGCCTTTATGCAACCTGTAGATGATCTTTGGAATTCGGTTCATCCTCACCAGCCCTTCCCAGACTCAAAGCACCCCCACAATACCGGTCGTCACCCAGGGCAGGGCACAAGCAATCAGGCAAACACATCGCCTTACGGATCTTATCAGCCTCAGATGTATCGATATGTTGACAACCCCGCCCATCCACACTTCCAGGCAGATGACACCCGACGGCCTTCAATCGGTACCAACAGCGCTCGGACTTCGCCACGAGTTGGCCCCGTTATCAACACAAACTTGGCTAGGATGCAAAAATCAGGAAGCAACTCGCCCGGCATCGAGGGATCGCCTCTCAGTGGCAAGCGCACGTTACCCAGGAACCCCAACCTTTCGCTGGTTATTGGCAGTAACACGGACCAGGACGGGAAGCTAGTCAACCATTATGCCAGGACAGCTGATCGCTCAGCCTCTCCTGGCGGATCAATGGGCTACCCGCAGCAAAACCGCATGGGAACGGGTTACGACAGTGGCAGCCCTAATGCCGCCAGTTATTACAATATGACCCGGGCCAACCATCCTGGATTTGGAGACGCTCCTATGGTAGGCCATGCCAACTATGTCAACTTTGTCAACAGCAGTGGTTTACCCGCGTCGCCTTTAAGCGCTGGTGGCAAGCGGAGCTCGTACCAGCCTGCGACAAAGTACACGTCATCCCACTCCAACCTCAACTCCCCTCGTTCGATCGACGGAGGACCCACGCCCGAGCTGCATATCATGAACAACCAGGAGGAAGACGACGAGTCGGAAAACTTTTGGGGAGAGCGTCCTCCTCTGGACTTTTTGCTCGAGAACTTTGGACGGTTCTTCCAGGACCACGACTTGGATCACCCGATTATTGAGCTGCACCCACCAACGCCATTTAACGGATCGCCCATGGTACCGGCTCAAACTATTCTCGGATCCTCGGGCTCTAACCATGGCTCGTCGAGTGCGCTCAAGAGTCACGGAGTCAGCCCGGCTATGACGGACGGATGGGGTTCGAACTCAACCATGTCGTCAAGCCAGGGTTCAGTCTCGCCCCACTCTAGCTTTGCTCCTGGCTACCGCGGTAGCATTGTGCACAAAAAGTCCATCCGTATTGTCGCTCAGGAGGCCAAGGACCGATTCTCGCGGCAGTACTCTGGATCCAAGGTGATGCGACGAAAGTCGACCAAGATGTGGGGCAGTCGTTTGGCCGAGGTGATGCCCACCAACTCGATAACGCCCTCTGTCGGTCTGGGTATGCATGAGTTTGATGAGGAGCTCTCGCCCATTGCTGGGTCCCCAGCGGTCGTCACTCGAGCTTCGATCGCAGAGTTTGTCAAGGAGGCCGCCCAAGAACACCACATCTTGCCGGCGGAGCTTCCTGTCACCGAGGAACACGACTTTTTGGAATCCCAGGAGAGTTTGCCGACGTTGGGTGGCTCCACTTCTCTGATGGACGTTTCTGTACAGCAGCAGCAGCAACAACAGCAGCAACGGGTTGTCCAGGTCGAGTCAGGCAAGGTCATGGATCAATCCCGCCAGGGCATTTACCAACACCCACAGAGTGGAACCATCAAGACCTTCCAGTATCTCAAGGGAGGACTCATTGGACGAGGGTCGTTTGGAAAAGTGTATCACGCCTTCAACCTGGACACCTGTGAGATGATCGCCATCAAACAAGTCGACCTGCCGCAGACTCTCTCGGAACGCAACTGTGATCGACTCAAGACATCTGTCGAAGCACTGTTTTCAGAGATGGAGGTTCTCAAGGATCTGGATCATGAGAACATTGTCCAGTACCTTGGTTTTGCACAGAACGAGGAAACGGCCAACATCTTTTTGGAGTATGTCTCAGGAGGCTCGATTGAGTCGTGTCTCAAGCGAAGTGGACCCTTCCCAGAAGCAGTTATCCGGAGCTTTACTCGACAGATTTTGCTCGGTCTTGAGTACATTCACAGCAAGAAAATCGTCCACCGAGTAAGCATCTCCCTCCCTTTGTACCCGCACATAGAGTATACTGTTATTTATGCCTTGGCTGACTTTTCTTTGTACTCGCTGGTCTTGTAGGATATCAAAGCGGCTAATGTGCTGGTGGACGAGCAAGGAATCTGTAAGATTTCAGATTTCGGTATTTCGAAAAAGAATGCCCAGAGTCAAGGCGGATACGACGAGGATGTCGGATCATTGCAAGGATCCGTCTTCTGGTAAGTAACAGAACCCTTTACTTTTGTTTCTATCATATTCTACTAATTGACTTATAATTATTACCTCTTACCATTCATTAGGATGGCTCCTGAGATGGTGACTTCAAAGGCGTATGGTGCCAAGGTGGATATTTGGAGTTTTGGATGTCTGGTCCTGGAGATGTTTACCGGACAGCAGCCGTGGAAGGGCTTTGCACCTCAACAAGCCCTCTTCACTGTAAGTTATCATATTGTTGTCCCTATATTACTTTCCTTATTTCTATGTGAAGGTTGTCTTGTTTATTGTCATATGACTGATCCGGATCCATATTTCCCCTTTCCTTGTCATTTTTTTTTTCTTTTTGCCTTATTCTAGATCGGAAGCAGCAGTGCTCATCCACCGATCCCAGAGTCGATTTCTGAAGAAGGTCAACGGTTCCTGGGACTGTGTTTCATTACCGATGCCAACCAACGACCCACCGCTGCAGAACTCCTCCAGGACGCCTTTGCAGTACCTCCAGTCAACTTTAACTTCAACGACTATATCGAAGGAAAGATTACTGATTAAAAATGTGCGTTGTTGTTTTTCATCTTTCACGATAATGTCTCTCTGTGCCCTCTTGTTAATGATGGAACTGTTGTTTTGCTTTTATGGTCAATATGACAATAAACGCGCGGTGCCGCTGATATATAGATATTTGGTGAAGGTTTAATGAGTATGGCTATGTTACAGAATGTGTGTCGTGGCAGAGTGTGAAATAAGGAACAAAGAACAAGAGGTATACGGGATGACGAACAAAGTAAGGAGGGGGAAAAAAAAACAGTAGTATCAAAATCATGTCAAGGCAGACCATGGGGTCTCAAGCAAAATGGTCTGCCTTGCGAGAGATGTGCCACCGAACGACTTCCTCGTAAACTGTCCACGAGATTGCAGAATGAATCGACTTGCGCACTGTCCTGACAAGGATCCCGTCCAAAAATCCAATCGCACCCTCCTCCTATTTTGGGGTTATTGTTTTCGTGAAGCTGTATTAGTATCCAATTGAACAAAACTTGTGTAATAACAAATGACCTACATTTTCTCCAGGTTCAAAATCAATGGCCGTACCAGGAGCACTTTGCGTGCGGCTTGGAGGACGTTCCTGTACTCGGCAGGCTTGAGCTGCATCCTTGTCTTGAGCATATCAAAGGGATGAGTCAATGTTGTCGAGAAGAATCCGGCAGTGACACCTGCCACCATATGGATCGTAGGAGTGCTCACGTCAAAGTATGGCGACGTTGTCCGCAAATCTATAGGACACATGGTCAAACAGTTAATAATTATTAATTATTCATGGTAACATCCATGTACAAACTTGATCCTAGTAGATCCTGTCGAGGATCGCCTCCAGAAGACTTACTTCCAAGATAGGTTTTGGCCTGTTCGTAGAAGAGGACATAGAGGCCTGCCAATGGAGCGTCTCTCATGGCAGTCGCTCCAAATCCTGCCCACAGACCTACAAATGACAATGAAGGGAGGATATGTCCAACGTTAGTTCCCAACTTTCCCACGGGCATTTAGCACAATTGTTCGCCAAAGCAATTGAGGACACTATGCATACCTCGGATGCCTTCGGTTCTGAAGATCGATGTGAATGCTCCTGACATGCTCTTGTAGTTGTAAAGGTTACTCTATAACAATCGAAAACAAATATCCGATTAGCTTTCACGTAAATGCCGAATGCGCAGATCATGCGCAGCAAAAAAAAAAAAAAAAAAAAAAAGAACACACTGTTTCCGTCTATCTCCTCGACTCTCTTCAGCATACCTCGTATCGCACTTTAATGACGGTGGCAGGCATCATGACGAATCCGATAGCAGCTCGGGATGCACCTCCGGCAACCAAGTTCTCGGTGTTGCTGAGTTTAGGCAATGCGCTGCCTGAAGCGTTGTTTGTTTCTGATAGATCAGCACCGTTGTTGATCTTGCGCCGGGCAAGGAGTGTTCTTGCCTCGTTCAAGACTGTGAAATACATGGCGGCTCCCGGAACATTTCTACAACCGATTCGATTAAAAGGGAGACGGCAATTATTGTTATGACGTTTTCGATCGGATCGAAAGTGACCTTGCACAACGGAGGGGTGAACAAGGTTTCTGGGTGGGATGCATGACTGCGTGGAGTAGAAAATATCTCTGTGCTTGATTTTTCTAGGAAGAGGATCCCGAGTGGAGGAATTCTCTTTTTTCTTCGGACAATTGAGGGAGACCATCTCATTCTCATTCAATTGACTCTGGCTCTTGTCACGTATGCTGCGTGTTCGTATCATACACATTTTCTCCACACAACATTCGCCGAGTTCCTTATTTCCGAGAGCCGTGAGAAACGGTCAATGGATATCCGATCACTTAATCGGCCAAAATGAAGACGCGCGTACCTGACGATGGTGGGCGCAGTTCCGCGCCAGAGACTGAGAACTGATCCTTCCTTGACGATCCCAAACACCGTCTTCCAGATCGTGCTATAAGTCAAGGCAAGGCAGGTTGAAAGACAAAGAGGGGACGAGAATTAGTGTCTTTCGGTAAAAAATAAAATAAAACTTTAACAAAGCACTACTGCACGCGTGCGTGTGTAAACAAAAAGAAAAAAAAAAGAGGCTGGTACCTTTCCAAGGGAGCAATGGAGAGACCAGCCTGGCCGCCCTGCTTAATGAAAGCGAGGTGGGCTTGCTGCTGCTGTTGGAGACGGGTCTTGATCAGGTCGAGGGGCTGGACAAAGATGCATGCACAGAGACCCGAGACTGCTCCGCCGATCAGGTGGGTGACGGGGTCGCTTGCTTTCTGCTTGGAGGGCATGGTGTGTGTTGTGAATGCTGGTGCGTGTGTATGATTGAGAACAAGAGTGTGTGTGTGTGTGTGTGTGTGTGTGCGTGTGTGTGTTGTGGATGAGATGAAGGAAGGAAGGAGAAAGACGGGAGAGTAACAGGTTTGGTCCTTTCACGTTCGATCGAGAAACCGGCGAAGTGCAAAGTGACAAGCAGGTCGATAGGAGGAAAAAGGCCCACCCTTCGCCTTGCAAAGGGAGAAGAGAGCAAGCAGGCTCTCACTCTCCCTCACTCCTCACAAAGGCACAGAGGTCGGAACTCCCACGGAGAACTTGGAATAAAAGAGCAGTCTCAAATCCATTGAGCATGTTAAGGGGAGGTGATCAGACAATTCCCATATCCCATGAACACATGAACAAAGGGGTAGAAAGTTGTTTACAATTGAGTGGCTTAAAAAAAAGAAAAAAAAATACCTTGACTTCAAGCCAGGTTGGCAAACAAAGGGGACTCATGAACTTGTGCTTTGGTTGCAAAACTCATTACCCTTTCCTTCGTTGACTTCGACCGACACTTCTCAGGACAAACTCCCGGCACAGCTGCATACTCCAGCTTACATTGCCCTTCCCCCTTTTCTCTTCCCTCCCACCTCCCTTACCTGTCCTCTCTTCCTCACTCATACACAACTACCCTAAAGCATATCATAATGAAGTCCGACTTCAAGGCATGTCCATACCACACAACATACCCCTTACCCTCTGAACTATCTCTCTACAAACAAACAAAACTGCTGGAATAACACCCGCTACCATTTCACTTACATTCGCCTTATGTTAGTTCTCCAACCTTTGTGGAACTGTCTACAAGCAGGGAAACCTCGTCTTCACACCTGACGGCAATTCCATCCTCAGTCCAGTCGGCAACAGATTGACCGTCTTTGACCTTGTCAAGTATGTCTTCGATAGATATTGAAGCATGAAGATCGACGCCTTTAATAGCCAACCTGCCCTATACTTACCTCTTACTTTTACACAACTCTCTACAATAGCAACAAGGCTGTTACATTCCCTTACGAGAACAGGAAAAACATCGACAGGATCGCCCTCAGCCCTAATGCCACTCTCTTGATCTCTGTCGACGAAGGTGAGAGCTCAGCTCTAGACATTGGAGCATGGAACATAGACTGTGGATTCAAAGACATATCATTGGAATGCTCATTAACACGGCCGTTGCTTACTATTAGATGGTCGTGCATTGCTGGTCAACTACAATCGCCAGATTGTTCTCCACCACTTCAACTTCAAGAGCAAGGTCCACGATCTTCAGTTCAGCCCGGACGGAAAGTAAGCAGCAAACCCATTCAGAGTCACTTAGACGACTTTTGATTCGAGAAAGCTCGAGTATCTAACCGAACGGAACCCTTTTTTGCTGCGCGATAGGTACTTTGCTGTGACACATGGAAAGCAGGTTCAGCTTTGGAAGACCCCAGGATTTCACCGCGAGTTCACCCCTATTGTGCTTCACCGCGTTTACACTGGACACTACGACGAGGTCACCTGCATCACCTGGTCGCCCGACTCAAAGTACTTCCTGACCACCTCCAAGGACATGAGCGCCCGCGTCTACTCCACCAACCCCATCGAAGGATTTGTCCCCTTCACGCTCTCAGGACACAGAGATACAGTCATTGGCGCTTGGTTCTCAAAAGAGCAGGATACCATCTATACAGTCAGCAAGGATGGAGCTCTCTTCGAGTGGCGCCACCAGTTAATCAACCCTAAGGCACAGGACTCTGACTCTGAGGACGAGTCGGCCATGGAGGTCGACGATGGTCCCAAGAGGTGGTCTGCTGTTCAGAGACACTTTTTCTTCCAGGATCACGCCAAGGTCGTCTGCGCAGCCTACCACGCTCCCTCTGCCATGATGGTCGTTGGATTCTCGAACGGAGTCTTTGGAATCTGGGAGCTTCCTTCCTTCAACAACATCCACACCCTGAGGTAATAGGACGCAAGCTGCGATGGTTTAAAGGAAGATGATCGCAATGAGATACAAAATGCTTAGACAAATAATTACGACCGATACTAATCACTCTATGCACTTGTTTAATACTATGGCTCATGGTAACAGCATTTCCCAGAAGAAGATTGATTCAGTTACCATCAACAAATCAGGAGAATGGCTCGCCTTTGGTGCCTCCAAGCTTGGCCAGCTTTTGGTCTGGGAGTGGCAGTCCGAGTCGTACGTGCTGAAACAGCAGGGACACTTTTACGATATGAACTGCCTTTCATACTCTTCTGACGGACAGAGTGTAGTGACTGGAGGCGATGATGGCAAAGTCAAGGTCTGGAACACGGTCTCTGGATTCTGCTTCGTCACCTTCTCAGAACACACTTCCCGTGTCACCGCTACAGAGTTTGCAAAGAACGGACAGGTCGTCTTTTCGGCATCGTTGGATGGCACAGTCAGAGCATTCGATTTGGTGCGCTACAGAAACTTCAGGACATTCACTTCCCCCACCCCCGTTCAGTTCTCGACCTTGGCTGTTGACCCCAGTGGAGAAGTCGTTTGCGCAGGAGCCCAGAATACATTCGAGATCTACGTTTGGTCTGTCCAGACCGGCAAGTTGCTCGATATTCTTGCAGGACACACAGCACCCATCTCTGGACTCGCTTTCTCACCGACTGCTCAGTTCTTGGCCTCATCTTCGTGGGATCACTCTATTCGCACATGGGATGTCTTTGGTCGTGGAAAGTCGGTCGAGAGTTTCACACATTTGTCTGAGGTCTTGGCTCTCGCTTTCCGCCCTGATGGCAAGGAGATCTGTGGCTCGACATTGGACGGTCAACTGAGCTTCTGGGATGTGGATAATGCTCTCCAGACGAACGTCATTGACGGACGTCGCGATATCTCAGGAGGTCGCAAGGCAGAGGACAAGATCACGGCAGAGAACTCGACATCCGGCAAGCACTTCAACTCGCTCTGCTACACTGCTGACGGATCCTGCGTCATTGGAGGAGGCAACAGCAAGTACGTCTGCATCTACGACATCAAGGCCAACATCCTGGTCAAGAAGTGGCAGATCTCCAAGAACTTGTCGTTTGACGGTACTCTCGAATTCTTGAACTCGAAGAACATGACGGAGGCTGGAGCTATGGATCTGATCGACGACGATGATGACATGAGCGACCTCGAGGACCGTCAGGATAACGCCCTGCCCGGTACAAAGGATCTCTCCAAGAGGAATGTCCGCCCAGAGATCCGCACCAAGGCTGTCCGGTTCTCACCTACTGGTCGCTCCTGGGCTGCTGCTTCAACTGAGGGTCTTCTTATCTATTCGCTGGACGATACCCTCCTGTTCGACCCCTTCGATCTTGAGATTGACATTACCCCCGAAACGATCTTGGAGACCTTGGACGAGAAGGACTACTTGAAGGCACTTGTGATGGCATTCCGCCTGAACGAGCGCCAGTATATCCAGCGCTGTTATGAGGCCGTTCCTCCCTCGGACGTGCGGTTGGTCGCAAGGCAGTTGCCCTCAAAGTACTTGGAGCGTTTGATGAAGTTCATTGCAAGCTACATGGAGGATTCGCCTCATCTGGAGTTTCACTTGATCTGGTGCACCAGTCTGTTGATCAGCCACGGCAAGTACCTCAAGGACCATTCGGGCGAGTTCCTGACCGTCTTTAGGGGCTTGCAAAAAGGAGTGGGAAAACTGCACGAGGACCTTGCTAAAGTGTAAGTTGAAGCGATAATGCTGTGCTGTTTCTTTTTTTTTTCTTTCTTTGTGGGCTTGTTCCTGTTGTACATGGAAAAGTATGCTGATATCCTTTTACTTTTTGTGTATATATCTTGGATCACATAGGTGTAACGACAACACATACACGTTAGAATACCTTTTGTCGCAGGCTCAGAAGAACTAGATTGATCTATCTCCTACCTTGCCTCCACCATTTTCATCATCATCATTCATCCACATACACAGCAACTACCACCTTTAGCATTTTTCAGTCAATACAAAAAACCAAAGCACGCAACTCATCACTCCACAGGTCCTTAACAGGTGCTATGAGTGAGTGTTCGACGATGTATGCAAGGAGGAAAGGGGCAAAGAAGTAAGAGGGATTAAAGAAAGGTCAAAGAGAAAAACAGGAGTTGAGAGGTTAAAGGGGGAAGAGCATTCTGACTATGACGAGTGTTTTGCCAGAATCTACCTGTGTCTTGCCAGCAATACGACTCCTGCTGTTGTCTCCTTGACCTTTTTAGTCGCCATTCCGCTCTTGACCATATTCCTTGAAAGGTCCATAGATCCTTGGTGCATGATGCAAGTAAAAGTCATCACTAGATTGACCTCAAGCGCCCCTGCCAACGCGACAGTGGACTTTTCAAATACATGTAGCTCATAGATATCCACGTTTGGACGTGTCATTGGCTGAATGAGACGACGCGTGTGCTTCAATCATTTGTTCGCCTAGAAGCGTGTCGCGCGTAATACCCTTTCTTGCTCGTCCATGGATCAACCTGGATAGCTGCTGCTTACCATTCTTCGCACATTGCCTATCATCGTCCATTGCAACCCCTTCATTTTCTCTTGCGAGTGTCTCCCTCACCCTCTTTCTTCCTCGCCCTTTTGCGCTTGGCCGTTTTCCTCCCCTCCCTTATTCTTCCCTCCCTTCTTCTCTCCCTCTCCTTTTCACTCTGCGACCTACCATGTTTTCACAACACCAAGATCTCGCTTACTGTCTCCTTCAAAGTGTCTTTGTCTTCCCCTAGGTCAGCACTAAGGTCTTTCCCTTTCACCCTGGCTACCAATGATTACCCGTGGGCGCACCTGCAAGCCGCATCACGCCAACTGCCGATTATGCATGCACTCATAGGCACAAACAAAGGAGAGATTATTGAGCTGCAGACCCCAATCAACAATGACCCTTACGTCCTTCTCATGCCCTTGAAAAGTTCGCATGGAGATAGCAAAGATACAATTGTACCCCGCGTTTTTATTTTTGTGCGGGCTTGTGTATTGTTGGCGCCCACCATTGCCCAGAGAATGAAGTGTAATTGTGTGGTAACAGCCCCCTCGCTCTTTTTTCTTTCTCTTTTTTTTTTTCTTTCTCACTTCTTTGTTCAATTCGCTTGAATGCTCACTCCAACATCGACACTTTCTCTCCCCTCACTCCAATTCTCCCCACTTCTTCTTCCGCGCTCCCTTGCCAACCCTCTCACATTTCTTCCTGTCTTTCTTCCTTTTTTGTTTGAATTGTCTGTTGTCTACAAGTTTGCTTGTCCCTAGAACGAAGAGAGATGTTTTGTTCCTGCGGCGATAAAAAAAAATCAAACTGAACTAGAATGAAATGGTACATATCTTTTCACGTTTCCAAGACACTTCTTTATGCCTTTTTTTCGAGGTTTCTAACGATGAGTGACACCGCCCGATCCCAGTGAGTCGGCACCACAACACAATGGAGCGGAGGCGCATACCACCACGGGCACCCTTGGTTGGATGCATTCAACTCAATCTGGTGATCCTCCGGGTCTCCTTTGCAATTGATCGATATCACCACACTGTGCACCATTGGCAACAACGCTTTTGCCCGTTTTCTTTTTCTCCCGTCCACACCCATTTCTAACCCGCACCCACCACTCTCCCTTTTCCTCCGACCATTGTTCTACGCACAACAGACATAGCATCCATTGGACACAAAAACAACGCCTTCCTACGCTCACCCCCCTTCTCTGCACCCTTTTTTACTCCTTCAACATCGACTTCGCAACCAAGAGGACCCTGCGCAAATCATTATTCTGAGCCCCAAAAAGCACACACACACACACACACACCAGCATGTACGCCCATTTGACGATGAGGCGGAAAACGTCAACCTGTCTCATTACAATTGCTTTCATCACAATCGCCGCGTCTCTTCCAGTCTTCGGATCAGCATACACCATCCATCGACCATCCATCGACTATATCCACCATCAAAGTTTACTGCATACTGCAGAGTCTTCAACACAACTACATCTGCACATGTCAAAACACTTCCTTCCGTGGGATTCTATCCAACCACCACCAGTCCAACAATTACTGAAGCGGGATCCCGGCGCCACCGCCACACCTGTCACCCCTCTAGAGGACCTTGTCAAACGGCTCTTGCCAGATGCATATCACTTCCTTTTCCAATTCACGCTACGACCCGATCTACCAATCAATTCTGCTACCAACATTCATGATACGTTCCGAATCTACAACAACCAAGGGGGAAGTCCAAGAATCGCAATTGAAGGAGCGACACTCTCGGCGTTAGGAGCAGGATTGAACTATTATCTGAAGCAGGTGTGCAAGGTCGAGATGACATGGAGTGGCGACAGGTTTGACCAGCTGCCTGTAGTGCCGCCTTTGATCCCTACTGAAGCTGGAGTCGATGGCGTTGTGCGGGCCAGCTTTGTCCCGTGGCGGTATTACATGAACGTTGTTACTTTTGGATACTCATTTGCATTCTGGGACTGGAACCGTTGGCAGCGTGAACTTGGTGTGTGTTGTGTCTCTTGCACGTTCGTGATCTCACAGTTTCTCTCAGGTTCTCCAAACGTCCATCTTTTTGACATCTTAACTAACCAAGTGTTACTGTCTTCTGCATAGATTGGATGATGCTGAATGGTATCAATATGGCGTTGGCGATGGTTGGGCAGGAGTACGTCGTTCGCAAGTTCTACGAGACTCAGGGACTTTCGGACGACGACATTAGCGACTTTTTGGGAGGACCTGCATTCATGCCTTGGCAACGTATGGGCAACACACAGGGATCTTGGGCTACACAAAACGACACGACTTTTAAGAACGATTGGATCAATAGTCAATGGGTGCTGCAAGGACAGTAAGTCTAGACGTCCTTTTTGACACAACAACCCCATATCTCATTCCGTTATCGTTTGTTAACTAGAATTGATATGCTAATTGGCTTCCATCTTGACTCTCATAATAGGATCATGCAGAGGATGCAGGCGTTCAACATTACGCCGATTATGCCTGCATTCCAAGGATTTGTCCCTCGCAAACTGCCCGAAAAGTTCCCCAATGCCACGTTTGACAAGTCGTCCGTCTGGGCAGGGATGCCCAAGGAGTTCAGTCAAGTGACGTTTCTCTCCTCCACCGACGCCCTCTTCACAACTCTCTCTCAACAATTCATCCAACTCCAAAAGGAATTGTACAAGGAAAAAGGGATCGATATGGACGCCAAGTCTCAAAACTTTTACCTATTGGATCTGTACAACGAGATGATCCCGACTTGTACTACCCCGGAATGTCTCAAGGCGACTACAGGAGGCGTTATGAAGGCGTTCAAGGTTGCGGACCCCAAGGCAGTGTGGGTGATGCAGTCGTGGTTCTTGTTGAATCGGGGTCTTTGGAATGCGCCTAGGATCCAGGCGTATTTTGACGGAATTCGGGAAGTGAATAATGGGAGGGATGCATTTGTGGTGGATCTGTATGCGGATGTTGCGCCGCTTTGGACGACTACTGAGGGGTTCTATGGCATTGATTGGGGATGGAGCATGTAAGGGTTCTTCTTTCATTGTTCTTTTGGCATACTGGAGAATAACAATGGTGGCATACTAATTTCAATGCTCTAATTTCTATTTCACTTACTAGGTTGAACAATTTTGGTGGCGGACAGGGACTCTATGGTACCCTCCCTACATTGCTGACAGAACCATTCAAAGGATATCAGCAACCTGCAAAGTCGATGCGCGGAATGGGTATCACCATGGAAGGAATCAACAACAACGAGTACCTCTACCAGCTCATCTTTGACCTTCCCTGGGAATCCGTCGAAGCAACCTACCCTGCCGCCTTTGTTGCTCCTACGCCCAAACCAGGCGCGTTCTCTCTCCAGCAACAAGCACTCAACGGGCAGGCGCATCTGGAAGACTACATCAGACGACGCTACGGGCCCAACAAAACTACCCCCGCGATGCTGGAGGCCTGGACGACTCTCAGTCAGACTGTCTGGGACTGCAAGACTGGACAGATGTCTCAGTCCAAGGCAATTATTGACTTGACGCCGGCTTTGAACATGGTCAGAGGGGGGTTCATGACGAGCATCATGTTTTATGATCAGACCAAGGTCGTGGGCGCATGGAGGCAGCTGGTTGAGTCGACAGAGACTGAGGAGTCGAAGAAGAGACGGCGTCAGCATAGTTTGATCCAGGACTCGATCGAGGCTGTTATTATGGCGTCCAATGGTCGTTCTTCTGAGATACCACAGTCTCTGGATTCACCGTCACTTCTGCAGTCGTTTGCCAGTTGGGTCAGAGGTGCCTTCCAGCACACTTTAGGTCAGTTGAGACCACCATCCGCCAGCCGTCTACAAGGAGAGATAGACGAAGGAAAAATTGTGAAGGGACGACTCTCTGGTTCGGTGAAGGAGGTCAAGGCCGAGTTCGCAGGTTCAGCGTTGTCTGTTAATAGTTCTCTCCCACTGAACGTGTCGAGCTTCCAGTACGACCTGGTGGATGTGACGCGTGAGGTTCTCGTTGGTATAGTACTTCCTGGACTCCACCGCGAGCTAATCGATGCCTACAAGGCCAAGGACCTGGATCGAACGCGCGCCTGGGGACAACATGTCCTGGAAGTGATCCTCGACACCGACCGTCTCCTCTCAACCCACAGTCATTTCATGGTCGGCCCTTGGATCCGTGACGCCCGAGAGTCCGCAAAAGTTATCGCCGACTCCCCCACAGCATCCAACCCCGCAACCATGAACCAGTACCGAGACTACCTAGAGTACAATGCCCGTAACCAGATCACATGGTGGGGTCCCAATGGACAAGCCAGTCTTGCAGACTATGCGTCCAAAGAATGGGGTGGGCTTGTGAAGGAGTTTCAGTACCCACGGTGGCAGGTCTTTGTGGACCGGTTAGTAGATGCTGTGAAAAGGAGATCGACGTTGGATTATAAGACGTTTTTGGCGGATTCGTTGGAGAAGGAGGCGGGGTGGATGAAGGAGACGACTTGTCTTGGTGGGTGTTATGATGACCCTGCGTCGTCGAGTGTGGTGGTGGACGATGAGGCGACGAGCAAGTACCCGGTTGAGGCTGTGGAGGATGCTGTGTTGGTGGCACAGGATATGGTGGATAAGTGGGGACTGGTTGCTCTCCGTCTAGCCCAAACATCTAGGAAGTAGTTCCATCGACATCCTATCTATACATTCATTCTCTGGGCATTAGAATACAAAAGAAGAATGAGGTACCTTGCATGTGTATGGCAAGTAACAATTGCCCAATCTTCCCGGTGTTTCTGTTCTGAGTTTCAATGGTTGTCTCTTTGTTCGCTACAGCCCTCTCTCCTTCTCTCCCTCTCTTGCCCAACTCCTTCTCTTTGTTCTTTTCTCACCCCTCGCTTCCTTTTCCTCATTCCCACCGCCGATGCTATGACCTGGTGGAGCAGTAGCACCCCAAAGGCTTCCTTACCTTCGTCTTCCATCTCCTCTTCAGGCACACAGAAAAAGAAGACGAGGAAAAGATTTTTGTATGCCATCCCATCGGTCTTTGTCGTCATTATCACGTTCTCGGTTCTCTTCACCGTTTTCTTCTCCTACTTCTCTGTCATTCACAACGACAAACCTGCATCACTAGCAGCAGAAACAGCAGACCCCAACAAGTTACCATGGACCCCTCCCCCTTTAACACCGACAACAACAACAACAACAACAACAGCAACAACAACACCGGCATTAGACTTGCCATCGACCCATGACGCAACTTTCGTGGTCCCATTGGAAGAACTGGTGAAGCGGTTGTTGCCAAAGGCGTATCATACGCATTTCCGGTTCACACTTCGACCAGGATTGACGACCGACTCTGCGACCAACATATATGATACCTTCCGCCTCTTCAACACCAACAACGGCAGCAACAACTCAGTAGGCGCAGAAGGAAGAGGTGTAACAATCGAGGGAGTCACTCAGTCGGCGTTGGGAGCAGGATTGAACCACTATCTGAAGCATGTTTGCAAGGTCGAGATGACTTGGAGCGGCGATCGGTTTGATCAATTGCCTGTAGTGCCGCCTCTGATCCCTTCCGAGGCTGGAGTCGATGGGGTTGTGCGAGCCAGTTTTGTTCCGTGGCGGTATTACATGAACGTTGTTACTTTTGGATACTCGTTTGCATTCTGGGACTGGAACCGTTGGCAACGAGAGCTTGGTATGTAGGGATACCTTGCATGTCTTTATCATTTTACCGAGACAAATTGTTTGAACGAAACACTTAACGTCCTTCTTCTTGATCCTAAAATACTTAGACTGGATGATGTTGAATGGGATCAACATGGCGCTGGCGATGGTCGGACAGGAGCATGTGGTGCGCAAGTTTTACGAGAGCCAGGGACTTTCGAACGACGACATTAGCGACTTTTTGGGAGGACCTGCATTCATGCCCTGGCAGCGTATGGGCAACATCCAAGGCGCGTGGGCTCTTCAGGAGAACACTACTTTTAATAACGATTGGATCGAGAGTCAATGGGAGTTGCAAGGACAGTAAGTGCTTCAGGGGATTATGTACATTGCAACTGGAAATATGCGTGTTCGAGGAATTTATTTAATTGACGTTTATATTACCTCTTCTAGGATCATGCAGAGGATGCAGGCGTTCAACATTACGCCTATCATGCCCTCGTTCCAAGGATTTGTCCCTCGCAAGCTCCCCGAGAAATACCCTGACAGCAAGTTTGTTTTCGCGTCCGATTGGAATGAGATGGGAAAGTTCTCCAAAGTCACAACCATCCTGCCCACAGAACCGCTCTTCACTACCCTCTCTCAACAGTTCATCCAACTTCAACGGTCAATGTACAAGGACAAAGGGATCGATCTGGACAAAGGTGCTCTCCAAAACTATTATCTTTTGGACCTCTACAATGAGATGCAGCCTTCTTGCACGGATCCGGCATGTATTCAGGCTATCACGGCAGGAGTCATGAAGGCGATGAAGGCCGCGGACCCCAAGTCTGTCTGGGCGATGCAGGGTTGGTTTTTAATCCATGAGTATCCTTGGCAACCACCACAGAACAAGGCGTTCTTTGACGGGATCAAGGAGGTTAATGATGGACGGGATGCCTTTATGATTGATCTGTATTCTGATGTGATTCCTGTGTGGGACCATACTGATGGATTTTTTGGCACCGACTGGGGCTGGAGCATGTAAGGGAACCTCTGATTTTTCTACTCGTTTTTTTTTTTTTTTTTTTTTTTTTTTTTGACACAAGCGCTACTTTCTAACACTGCATGTTGTATCATGTTTTACAAGGTTAAACAACTTTGGCGGTGGACAAGGGCTGTATGGGACGCTACCGACACTATTGACAGAGCCATTCAAGGCATACCAACAACCCGCCAAGTCCATGCGCGGTATGGGCATCACGATGGAGGGCATCAACAACAACGAGTATCTCTACCAACTTGTCCTCGACCTTCCTTGGCAATCTATCGAAGCAACCCTACCCTCCGCATTTAACACTACGGCACCCAAACCTGGAACATACGCGTTGAAGCAACAAGGACTTGATGGACAAGTGCATTTGGAAGAGTACCTTAAGCGACGGTACGGACCCCTTCAGACTACAACTGCCATGTTGGAGGCTTGGACGACGCTCAGTCAGACGGTTTGGGATTGCAAGACCAAACAGGATTCGCAGTCCAAGACGTTCCTTGACAACGCGCCCGCGCTTGACATGGTCAAGGGAGGGTTCATGAGGACGGTCATGTGGTATGATCAGCCAAAGGTGGTAGGAGCGTGGAGGCAGTTGGTGGACGCGACCGAGACGGAGGTATCCAAGAAGAGACGGCGTCGGCATAGTGCGATTCAGGATTCGATTGAGGCTGTTATCTTGGCGTCGAATGGGCATGCCTCGGAGATCCCTTCGTCGTCATCATCGTCGACGTGGGAGTCTTTCTCGGACTGGCTCAAGGATGCGTATGAGCATACTCTTGGGCGACCCGATTCTCTGTCTGGCGGTGGTGGTGGTGGTGGTAGTGTTCGTCGCCGAGATGTTGTTGAGCCCAGAGCAGAGTCGGAATCGACTTTGCCTACGGAGTCTGAGCTCCCTCTTAATGTCTCCAGTTTCCAGTACGACTTGGTGGATGTGACGCGTGAGGTACTCGTTGGTATAGTACTTCCTGGACTCCACCGCGAGCTAGTCGATGCCTACGAGGCCAAAGACCTGGATCGAACGCGCGCCTGGGGACAACACATCCTGAACGTGATCCTCGACATCGACCGTCTCCTCTCAACCCACACCCATTTCATGGTCGGCCCTTGGATCCACGATGCCCGTGTGTCTGCCAAAATCGCAACCAACAACAACACATCGTCGACCACTACCGGATCCAGCCCAACGTCGATGAACAAGTACCGGGACTACCTTGAGTACAGTGCCCGGAACCAGGTCACATGGTGGGGACCCCATGGACAAGGTACCTTGGCAAACTATGCTTCCAAGGGGTGGGGTGGTCTCGTGAAGGAGTTTTATTACCCGCGTTGGCGCACCTTTGTCGACCACCTCGCCACTGCAGTCGAGAAGGGGAGTGAGCTGAATCAGACGAAGTATTCGGAAGAGTCTTTGGTGGATGAGATTGCGTGGGTTGGTGAGACGACTTGTTTGGGTGGTTGTTTTGAAGATGATTTAGAGGGGGTACTGGCGAGTGAACAGTTGGTGGCGGCGACAAAGAAGTATCCGATGGAGGCCGTGGAGGATAGTGTTCTTGTGGCGCAGGATTTGGTGGATCGGTGGGGGTTGATTGCTGTGCGTCTTGCTGGAGATGCCAAAGTTGTCGAGAATGGTGTTTAGCATTGAGTGAGAGGTAAATTAATAATAATAATTTGCACGCAGGAAGCAAAATCGCCCTTTTTGGATGAATGATAACAGGTTTATTTAGTAAGGGGAAGCGCGACTTTAAGAAGTAAACGAGAGGTGGTATAGTTGACAAGGAGGAAAGGGTATGTTTGTGTGTGCGAGGGTGTTTAGGCGGCATTCTTGATGATGACGCGCTCTTCGTCCTCGACAGATCCAGATCCGGCCTCTTCGGTTTGAGATCCTGCGACCTTCAACTTTTTCTGTTCCTGTTCCTGCTTGTAGAACTCGATTCCCTCTGCGCGTCCCTTTTCGACTATTTTTTCAAAGGGTTAGGGAAAAGGTAGACGGTTAGTATTTTAATGATTGAAAAATCGCAACTGCTATGGATTAAAGCAGAAGAGAGAGAGAAGAGGGCTTACCGTTGACGAAGAGGAGGAGGACGGCGGGGATGAAAAATTGGGTGGCCAAGAACCACCAGGTATGTCTCACACTCGAGCTCTGAATAATGGCTGTGCAAACAAGAGGAGCAATCCACGAAGAGCTGACACTCGACATCTCGTACAACGCAAACAACTCGTTCTCGTGTCCGAACGGAATAAATTGCGCAAAGACCACACGGTTGGAGGAATAAATGGCGCCCGAAAAGATACCAAAGAACGCGGCAAGCATGTATAACTCCCACTCTTGTTTGAGACCAATTGGGCAGCCCTCGATGAGTCCCAGGAGACAGTAGCAGGGGATGAGGCCAAAGGCGACGGTGTTGAAGATGACGACTTTTAGAGGTGAAACGCCATGACGGTTCTGGAGACGGATCCAGAATATCATTCCAAGGCCTGCGGCAATCATTTGAATGAGGGCGGCGATGATCATGGAGGAGGACTCGAGTTTGAGTTGGTCCTGGGCGATGAGGATAGCCATGCTCGAGGACGCAGCCAGACCGTCACCAAGGATGAACCATGTGCAGAGGAAATAGAACAAAGTCTTAAGACGACGCACCTTGGAGATTGTCTTCCCGATCCGGACATATCCGTACGTCGCCCAATGCGAACCCGCAGGAAGTGGAGGGAAGGTCCGTTGAACTGCATACTTGGCGTAAATGCAGACGAAAATAAAAATATAAGCACCGGCGACGATGATACAGTACCCAACAGTGACCAGATCTTCGTTGATCATGAGGAGCATGATTGCGCAGATGATTGTCAGCAGCAACCCGCCTGCGTATCCGGCAGCTGAGGAACCGCCCGAGAGGAAGGTTTGAACTTTAGTTTTGGCGTCGATGTAGGCTTCGGATGCTTCGCCTTCCTGGAGTTGGATGCGGACGACATCTGGGTGGTAGCGTGTTAGGATGGGGATGTGGGCGTCGTAAAAGTTTTGTGTTAGGCCGTTCACGATTCCCGCTTTTTATTGTTGTTCGAAGGTTGTGTCGATGGGGAAAAGACAAATGCGAGTAAAGTTTTAAGGTTAGGGGTGCGTGTTATATTTGTTCAGCTTTTCGATCGGTAAATACCAACAAAGCACATGAACAATGACCAAACGCAAAAAAAACTTACTGAAGACGAAGAGGAGGGCAGAGAGCCACCAAACAGACGGCTTAAGAGCGCCCAGAAAGATAAAACAAGCAATCACACATAACGCAGTCGAGGTGCACAACATAATCCGCTTCGACACCCGTCCATGATCCGCGAGCGCAGAAACCCCCAACGTCAACACAATCGTACACCAAACGGTCACCACGTTCGTCAAAAGCACATATGACGTTGGCGTGACATTGATCCACCCAAAAGGGACCAAACACCGATCATTCACAGGGTCATCCTCCGGACAGGGGACCGAAGGATCCGACTCGAGATGTGAGGCATTCCTAGCGATTCCTTGGACGAGGATGGGGAGGAGGAGGGAGGCACAAGAGTTTGCCCAGGAGTAGAAACCGAATCCGAAGAGGAAGAAGGACCAGAGTTCGGATTTCTTGGTGAGCTTTTCGTCAATGTGGGGTTGGAGGGTTAGGTCGTCGTTCGGGTCATTGTGGAAGAGGCGGCGACGGAGGCGGCCTATTCGGGTCTGTGGAAACTCTTGGTCCTGTGTCTTTGTGTTTGCTGTGGCTGTCGTTGTCATACTGGTTGTCGGAGGTTAACTTAATGGACTTGGGGGAGGGTATAAAGGAAAAAGGAAACAATAATTAGTTGCTCTTTGTTGGGATGTGGAAAGGATGAAGGGGATTAAGAGTCGTCAAGGGCAGACATGTACAGGGGCGGGAGTATCAAGGATGGGGGTGGGCGAAGTGTGTTCCGAGGGACAAGGGAAAAAGGAGTGGAGAAAAAAATCAGAAAGGGATTGAGGAAGCTCACTCTCTTTAAGCGCTTTTTTGTTGTTTGAGGAATTCTTTCTTGGTCAGGAAAATAAACAAGAAACAGTAGCTCGCCTCTGGTTGGACTGCAATCGGTAATGAGGTAGGAAGGAGAAGAGTACTTCGATTGCAGAGAATTCAACCGCTTTTGTTTGTTTAGGGTCAATGGTCATTGTCTATTGTTGTTGTTGTTGTTGTTGCTGTTGTTGTTGTTGTAGCGCGAAGTAGAAGAAGGACTCTTGATAAACAATGCTAAGCTAGTCGTTAAGAAAGTGAGAGGAAGACCTCACAGCAAACACATTTGGAAGATAACGAAGCGAATAAACAAGGGCACAAGGCTCAAGACATGGAATGTTGTCATTCATGGAGAAGCCAGTACTGTTCAATGACTCCAGAATGGAAGAATAAGAGTTCCAGCCCATCATCTCAACCATGAATGATTGCATGGATTGAGAGTGTCTGTTTGTTCATGTGGCTCTTTTGTGAATGGGCGCTCTCTGCTTGTTTGTTTTTGCTTGACTGACCGTGTGCTATTCGAAAGGAAAAAGAACTTGGCTCGGATCGCTTCTTTGTTTGGCATCGAATGGACACACCTGGCATTGACCTTGGGTTCCTCCCCCACAAACATTGCCTCCTTTTCTTGTGTATCCATGCATCATTTTTGTGAACAGGAACAAGAAGACAAGACAAATGGTATCTTATCCATGGTGTTTGTTTGTTGATGTTTACTCGACTTGCCATTTTTTATGCTGGTTATTCAAGAAGGAGGGGTGGCTACTCATGAAGTGATGAAGTGGGAAACTGAAGGGAATTGTCGATTTCTAATTGTTCTTCCTTCACTTCTACTCTCACACAGGACTGGCAAGGATAAGAGGTTAAACTACAAGCCTCTGTTCTTCATTCGCACAGACTACAATACTTGTTATATTGTCCACTTGCAAAGACGCTCCTGAATGACAAAGAGTTGACCCGCCCAATCAAAGAGGGAGAGTAATCTGACAAGTCAAGCAAGGGTTAGATGGTTTGGATGGTAACTCTTGTTGTTGTCCGTTGTTGGTTTTTTGGTGTAGCAGAGATCCAGTTTTGCCATGTGGTGTAGTTATTGTTTGATGTGGAGAAAGCGTGTCGGAGATTATCATTGAAAAGAGCAAGACCTTTTTTTTCTTGGGAACATTTTTCTCTACAGATTCGCCCTACTTTAGAGCAATCAATACTCTCGCCAGAAAAGATGGCTATAACTGAAGAATACTGGGTAGAAAAGTAACCTCGGAGGCTAAAACATGCTTGAACCCGGATTCTTTATTCAGAAAAAAAAAAGGAGAGAGCTCTCGGATGAGCTTACAGGTGGGAGTACCAGTCGCAATCCGCAACATCCACGCAACAATCCATGAGATGGATTGGAGAAAGACATGTCCATCTTTATATTTGCGCATTAACAGAGCGAGAGAATGATTTTCACAATTTTGAATGCCTTTCTGCATGTTTGTTTGCGGTACTTGCAGGTTTTTTTTCTCGAGACAGTGGCTACATCTCGGCTTTTTTTCTTTCTGTTTGCAATGTTTTGTCAATACTATCGAACACAGCCTTCTTTTCGAGAGAGAAAGAGAGAGAGGGCAAAGGAAAAGAAGCGAGTGTGAGATGACACGAGAGTCTATCGTGGCGCGTTCTCCCGCAAGTCACGCGTCTTGGTTCTTTTGTACAAATGAAATTGTACGAGACACAGGACTGCTTCCAGCCACGGACATTACGGCACCCTCTGACTTGCATGCTGCCATTGTCATTCAGCTTTCTTCCTTCATCACTTACTCCCGCATACAACCTCACACTACTACCTGCCATGGAATCAACAGACACAGAAACAACGGTCATACCTGAAGACAAGACAGTAACAACAAGGCAACCTGCCCGCCTGCCAACAGAGATTATCCTGCTCATCCTCATTCACCTCGACCATCACACCCTCCTCGCCGCAACTTCTTCATGTCGCCAATGGCACCTCCTCGCAAGAGACTACCGCCAGTACATCTGGAGACACCTTGCCCTCCACGACTTCTCCTTCACCGCCGCGCGAGGGCTCTGGAAACTTGACTTTCTTAAAGACAAGGACCTCCGCGCCTGTTTCCCTCCTCCTCAACGACCACAGCCGCCACCTTGCAGTAGGCCTCATCACAACCACGGACAACAAAACGCTTTGACGAAAAGAGGAAACCCAACATCTTATATACCATCATCTCCTTCCTCTGCACTCCCGTCCTTTCCGGATTCACACTCGCCAAAAACGACCAGCAGGACAGGATCTGAACTTGCCTCGATCTGTACCTCATGCTGGGCAAACCTTCAAAAGCAGACTGAAAACACAGGAATGCAGAAGAATATCTCAGAGGAACACCACACCCCCTTGAACGAGGGGTCAGGCGTTGATCCATCTCTCACAGACAATGCTCAAGGCACATCAATAACATCAGCAATATCATTGGGAGAAAACGAATGCACGGGGGAGGCACAACAGGAGACGAACAGCATGGACAACAACAACACCAAGATATCTCTGCTCTCATATGGCAATTGCGCCTCCTGCCTCCAGCGTCTAGACCGGAAAGGGAAACGGCGGGCGGATGACGACATGTCCAACAGCCAGGAATTCGCCATAAGCGACCTCCAGTGCAAAGATTACAGGTGTCCCGAGGAGCAAGACTGGAAGGCACTCTATCAGATGACAAGCAACTGGTATCGGGGAAGAGCCAAAGGATATTGCCCATTGATGCTGCCTTCCCTCACAACTCTAGCCTCGGCGACAAGGGCACTGTCGGATCGGTCTGGATTGGGGCTGGGACTAGACTCGGGATCGAACCCTGGAACAGGGACCGCTTCTGAAACTAGATCTAGAACAACGACTGGAGCAGGAAGGGCAGACGCCACCCTGCCGTCACCCTGCACGCCAGCACAGGTTGCCATCCAGAGACTGCTGAAGAAGCGAAAACCGGTGGCAGTGATTGGGCTTCAGCATGAGGGGTCATCTTTGACTGCTGTGAGCTTGGCCAAGGTACCTGTCGATCCTGGTGCAGAGAGGCAGGCGACGGAGTTATCCCGGATCCTGCTGCTGCGCTCAAATCCTCATTATCGCGAAAAGAAGAGTTCCTTGTCGTCCTCCTCCGACCAGCTAGGTTCTTCGAACGGGACCAGCATCGCTTCAACATCAGACACAAAGCCACCAAACCCCAACATCATGATGCAGGATCCAAGGAGACACGAAAATGTCTCCTTTGCCATCCGCACGGCCACACCTCCTTCAGCAACTACAACCGATGACAATGGCGTGTACGAGTCAGATGCCACCACCGAACTGGAGATGGGCCAGCAACATTCTTCGACATCATCCACATCACTACCACAGGCATCGGGACAACCAGCATTGAGCGACCTCGCCAACGATATCCTCTGTCATTACTCCTCGCCACTGCACTCGTTCCTGGTGACTGGTCATATGGACGGCATTGTTCGGCTTTGGGATCTCTCTATTCAAGAACCAGGCCGACAGTGCATTCGCTATTGGCAGACAGGACCCCGCCGTCGTGTGCTTTGTGTTGGGATGAACTCTAAAGTCGTTGTCTGTGGCAATGTGGTAAGCTATTATGACCTTAACATGATAGGTTCGGAAATCCTATTCGAAAATAATTGTTAGGAACCTTTTCGTTCTGTCGCAAATATCTAACTTCTCTTTATTTTTTTGTGAATAATTAGGACTCGACCATCTGTGTTTGGGACATTCACCCTTCGCCAGGGTCCTCTTCTTCGACTCACGGCACTATTCACACTGCTTCCTACATGACATCAAGAGCACCTCATGGCTTAGATGACTGGATCTCTGGGATTGAACACATCTGCGTAGGCGACTCGCTTGTTGCATGCTCGACCGAATTTTCAGGATCGGTGCTGGTCTTTTCGTTGGGAACAGGAAGCCTTGTCTATGAGATCCCGGGACTATACCAACCCTCCAAGATGTGCATGACGGATTTCTTCTTACTGACGGGTGGTCGCGGAACCTGGAACCAAGGCGGGACTCACAGGCGGCTCAACCAGCTTGGACAGGGTAATAATCTTCATCAAGAACAACCTCAGCAACATCATCACGCACAAGGAGGGTTCGGTTTTCAAGAACACCATGCGTACGGTGTACATGTAGGAGGACAACACTATGGACAAGACGCAGACGTTCTACGCCATCCTCAACAACAGGGCTTAGGATCGATGGAGACGGACGAGTACATGAGCTGCTGTGTCAATGTCTGGGATTTGCGTACAGGCCATCGACTGTATTCTCTCATACCGCGGTTACCCATGCGACACCTTCAACAGTCCAAGGACATTTTCTCGATCCTCAACAACCCACAATCGCGAGCTCAGAGGGAGCAGGACCAGCAGCAAGGCAAGAAACAGGCCATTCGAACCACCAGTTATTCTCCAATGATCAGCATGACGCAGCATTCCGGTCGATGGACAATGCCGCCCTCACGTACTACAACGTCGACTAATCACCACCTGCTGGACGCGTCTGACGACTTTACAAGTGGAGGCGGTGGCCGATCATCAAGTAGCAGCAGCGCTGGAAGAGACACCTATACATCAGTGTCTCCTCTTTCGCCTCAACGGCCCATCTCTGCACCATTAACGTTACTGGACATCGCTGTGACGCCGGACCATTCGACTTTGGTGGTAACGCTGTGTGAGCGATCTGGCGAGGGATTGGAGGGGGTTTACTGCTGGGACTTTGGCGGATCGCGACTGGAAGGGTACCATGAAGAGGCGCCAGATGTGTCGACGATGATCATGGACCAGAACGACCTCGAGTATCGGACAGTCGCCAATACTGTCTTGGCGGACGATCATGATGAGGACGACGACGGTTTCCTTGACGACGACACTGACCATATCTATAGCGACAGCAACGACGATGAGGACGTTCATGGCGGTGATCGGGCAGCAGATGACGACGACGATAACGACCGATATTCAAACGATAGGATCCACAATAATATGGTGATGCAGCAGGTGGACCCGACAGTGTTGAGGGATCTGCATCAGGCGAGGGTGACGGGCAAGCTGTGGATTGGGTGGAAGTTGGATGAGAGGCAGTTCTTGAGGCGCAAGGAGGGTGCTATGGCCCGTGCGAAGGCTGCAGCTGTTGCTGCTTCGCGGAAAGAAGCCAACCGGCGCTCTTATCCACAGAAACAACATCAGGGTCACCCAACAACTCAACAACACCAACCACAGCAGCCATCCTCGAGCGATCCTACTTTACTTTCATCTATGCAGCAGCTCTCGGTGAAACAGCAAGCACAAGAATAAAACCGTGTTCGCATGTGTCAAAAAGATGATTGTGCATACTGTATTAAGAATAAGGACGAGGAAAAAGACCGATGGAGGTCAACTTTTTCATGGATGCTAACCGTGCGTTGATAAAGGGCCGTTCCAGATCCAGTCTTGTGGTCTCGATCTCGATCTGGACCTCCAAAACCCTCAAATTCTTGCACACCCACCCTGTCTCTCCTTCACCAACCAAAGTGTTGCTGGCCATGATATCTCCAACTTTAAGGGTCGGCGCCACTAGAACCTCCAACAGCGGACACTGCTCCACGATCAACTCGACCATCGGACTCGTCACAAACGGACATTCACCCATATCGATCTCTTGAAGACTTGCGAAATGCCTCGCAGCCAATATGTCGATCGACTCGAGCGAAAATCCACTCCCGTGGACGTTGAGTTTCTTTAGGGGTTCACAGCCCGAGAGGACTTTTGCTATGGATGCGTCGTTGATCTGGGAGCCGCGTAAGTACAAGGTGTGGACGTTTGAAATGGGGGATAATGTTATGGCGGCGATGCGGTGAGAGAGTTCTGAGGGGGAGAGGATAGGTGGGGTAGTGGAGATGTGGTTGACGGTGGTGGTGGCGGAGGAGGAGGGGCCCCAGTCGAGGCTGATTAGGTTGGGGCACTGGCTCATCAATTGGAGTTGTTCGTAGGGTGGGAGGAGGGACATATTTGTCAGTTGGAGGTGTTCGAGTCTTGGGAATGTCAAGTCGGGAGGGCAAGGGTATCCGAGGCAGTTGACGCTATCGAATTCGAGGCGGCGGATGGTGGTGCAGCGTTGCCAGAACTGGGTGCGGTCGACGAGGTTGTATGGGAGGGTTAGGTCTGTCAGGCGGAGGCGATCCAGTGGGCGCTTTGGTATGGATGTTGTTGTTGGTGGTGGTGTCAAGGAAGAGCAAGGATGTTCGTCAAGTGCATGTAAGAGAGTGGTGACAGAGCTGGGAGGGAGACTTGTGATATGGAGTTCTTTCAGTGTTGTAGTCTGGTGGAGAGTGTGTCGAATCAACCGCGCAGCGAACCGGATCTCGAGGTCAATCATCGTCTCGTCGCAGCAGTATCCGTGGACGTGCAGTGTCTCCAATGCCGAGAATAACGGCACCACGTCTCCAGTGCTGCTCTCGTTACTATTGCTGCTAAGGTAGTTTTGATTGAGCACAGCAAGGATGCGAGAGTCGATAGGTGTCTTGACATGTAAGTGCCGAATAAACACCGTATTCTGTTGAAGTAACGAAACGGGAGGGTTCTGGAGGTTGGCTTGAGGGAACGGAGCCTTGGTCCGTGGTATTCGAGTTGGTTGGAGCTCGCTGTAAAGGTAGAGGTGTTTCCAGAGCCAGGGCTGGACGGAGGCATTCCAGGGATGGGAGAGGAGTAGACATGAGAGGAGGTCATTCCTGGAGGGGATGAGGAATTGGATGATGGCTTCTCGGATCTCTGGCATGTCGAGTGCATGTGTTCTTGTCATGTTGAGTTGGGTTGGGTGGTGAGGGTGAGAAGAAAGGAGTTAAGGAGGAAGGAAAGAGGAACAAGACGAGTGAGATGAAAAGGTAGTTTTGACAAGAAGAAGGGGGTGATAAAGAAGGGACGTGGTAAGTGTTCTTGTTCATTGTCCTTCGATAAGAGAGGAGGAGAAGGCTGCGCATGGGCAACGAGACGAGACACGCTGATGACAAACACGCGTCTCCACCATCATCAATTATCGCGACAGTTACTGAACGGATGTTGCCATCGCCCACCTCGCAGATCATATATCTCGTATCACACGCGTGGCTAGTCGTCTTTCTTCTACAGTTCAATTCGACGATCGATCTGACGCGTTTGTGATACAGTCACACAAGAGGGAACTCCGTTGCTGACAAGGACCTCACAATTGCAGCCAAAGAAATTATCTGCTATGGAACAATCGACCCCATGGATGAGATCGCTAGAACAATCCTTGACAAAGTAGAAACAGCATGCTGGTTGACGAAGTTGAGGGTTGGACAAGGGATCATGTCATCAGTAGAGCGGCGCCGACAACGGAGAAGGAAGCAAGCGCAAACGTAGACAGACGGAAATCGGTGCACTGAACTAACAAGGTAAGTATGAGTGTAGGGAAAGAACGGAGAGAAGATATGGACATGGTGAGTCGCAAGGCGCTCTGTTTTGTACCTGCCTTTTTTTTTCTTTTTTTTTATTCTTCCATTTTTTTGACTTGATACCGAAGGTGGAGTGACCTTTTCAAGAAGCAGGGATTGTTTATTTAAAGTACGGAGGCAGAGGTGATGGGTAAATGAGAAGAGAAAGAAGAGACCATTCATATGCTTTGAGTACCTCCCTCTACCTTCTGCGATCATGAAGAAGGAAAGGAGGTCTGGCAATGGCGATCAACTCCCGCTTCGGTATGAGAAGAACACCAGGCAACCTTTAAATCACTATCCCCACAATCAACACCACTGACACCAGAACAAGATAATCCAACGGGCTCGTCGCCTGTGAAATCCTCGACGATTGCCTGACAGCAGACAGGAGACTCGGCGCACTGGGCACGGGTTCTTGTCAGCAGGTGGGCGTTGACAGCGATAAAGGTAGCGTAAAGCAAGATGAAGGCTACGTTCTTGAGAAGAGCCATGGAGACAAATATGTATACATTACTGGTTCTTGTTGGCGTTGACTGAGGCTTGCGATATAGTTCTTTCATTGGAGAACCACCAAGAACATTCGATATAGTGTTCATATTCATGTATTTGGAGGTGGTACTGGGGTGAAAAGGAGGGTGGACATGGGGATGCATTATGGCTGTTGGTTCTTCCGTTTGCTTGCAAAGAGGGTGGTGGATAAGGGACGTGTAGCAAAGAGGACAAAGAGGACGCACTTTTATTTCCATCATGTCGCCTTTTTTCTATCTCAAAAGGTCTTTCTAGGATGTTTTTCGGGCCTCCTTGAGTAACCACGTAGGGAGATATTCTGAAGAGAAATCGCATCAAAATCAAAGGGGAAGGAAAAGAAAGGAGATGGGTATTAGAAATCTGTGAGTCGCGATGAGAAAGGGAGGTATCAACGGCGAAATAAGACCAAAGGGAGCGTCGAGCGCGAAAGAAAGAGAGAAGGGAACGGCATTGCGATTGAACGCTGTAGCGACCAGTGCAACTGACTCTGCTTCAGGTGAGACGTGTCAAAACGGCGTAGTCGGATACGAGCTAGGAGGCATATACACCATGCAAAAGTGCTTTGGATTAGTAGGTACTGAGCAAGAAAGAAATAGCGTGGAAGGGATAAGGAGGTTGCTTGATTGGTCATGGACAGAGCAGAAAAACAAAACTCCAAGAGCAAGAAAAGGGTTGCCATTTCGTGTCCATCCCATGGCTTCTATGGCAGTAGACCTGTAGGGGATAAATCAACATATCGACAGTACAGGTCAAGAGAAGTAGAATTATTTTTCAGAAGACGATGCGGAATGGTAAGCACAGAGAGGGAGAAAGAAAACGAAGGGAGAAAAGGAAACTTCGCCTCACCAAACATTTTCTGTTGATTCTTCAAGGAGAAGAAGCCTCGCAGTCGTGGCCAACGGTAAATGACTCGCCGATGATCACCTTACAACAGCCATTCTCCTTCTGTGTTAGGTAGGTATGACAACCACTCCTTAAAAAAGTGTGGCACTCTATATTTCTTGCAGAAAAGCTAGGAGCGATAGAAAGGTGTATCCAAACCTTGCTCGAAGTAATAAAAGAAAAGAGAATGTGGGTATGGTGCAAACCAGATTCATGTCTCGAACACACTTTAGTTTCCCTTAGATCTGTTTTTAATTGTAGACTACCATGCTTTGACCGAGGCATGTTGTTCATCGTATCTTTATTAGGCATGTATGCTTTCTACTTTAGTAAGCTTATAAAACAAGAGGAAAGAGTGCGCCGTGGGTCCTTTTGTTTCCTATCGTACAGTAGGTTATTTGTACCAAATGTCGCCTGTGGCCCGACTTGCTTTGAGTCACTCACTTTTTTCTTTTCCTTGTTTTCTTTCTTGAGCGGACTTTGTTATTCTCTCTGCAAAGTCCCTGACGGGGGTTTATTTTTGTGCACCCTGATTAGGTAGGTATAGTCCAGCGGTTGGATTGAAACCTGGGGCCGTGGGTGTGTAAAATGTTTTTCTTCAGGGGCCAGAAGATGTGAGACGTTTTGGTTCTAGGGAAAGAGAGAAGGCAGTCTGGCAACCGAGGCCAAGCAAAAAAAAATGAATGACTCCCAGGTTCTTTGTTCGTCGTTGTCCAAACAATTGTCCCTGACTCTTTGAACCTTGTGTACGTCCAGATCGCCGTTTCGCTACAATTGAGGGGCGAATTCATATAAAGGAACCCCTTCTTTTATTCTTCCCACCCTATACCCCACTTTACTTTCCCACACTCTTTTTTTGCACAACAAAAAACGATCTGTCGTTCTTAGTGTGCACCAACAATCCTTCCTTTCTCCGAACTTTTTTACCTTCTTCTATACCGTGATCAGCTTCGGATCAAATTCCCTTCCTCCTCACTCTAATCCTTATATTAGACCTCCTTCCCTTTCCTTCCTCCTTTCTTCTTCTATCTCCCTCATCTGCCTCTTCCTTAATCCTCCCGCTCCTTCAACCACTCCTATGCAATACGACCTTGAGAAAAAGGACTCCAGGTCCTCACAAAAAGCTCACTCGGTCTCGAGCGACCACGAGGCCGGAAAACACAATGGCGATCTCCGTGCCGAGAGACCCTCCCAGGGTAGCAGTTACCAAGCTTTCTTCAATATTGTCTGTGTCGTCGCTGGAACTGGAACCCTCGGACTCCCTTACTGCCTTGCCCAAGGTATGTTATTCTCTCCCTTTTTGTATTTATTTATTGGTCTTTTACACAAGGATCTGCAAGAAAACAAAAATCCGAGGAATGTTTTACATGTGTACAATACTACAATACTAACATAAGGTTACCCATTTTCTCTGTCTGTGCACACAATATCAACAAATAACAACAAACAACAATAACAAACGACAAAAAAACAAAAAACAACAAAAAATAGGTGGATGGATTGGTGTAGTTATCCTAGTCCTCTCCATGTTCATGTCGATCTACACCGGCATCCTCCTGATCAAATGCCTCTACTACAACGGTCACACCCGAGTGGCATCTTACCAAGAAGTCGGAGCCCATGCCTTTGGGCGTTGGGGTCAGGGTGCTGTCTGGTTTTTCCACACCTCTGTCATCATCGGAGTCCCCGTCATGTTCTTTATTCTGTCCGGTTCCGAGATCAGAGAATTGACGAAGGCGTCGGCCCCTGGGATTAGTAAAGAGGTTTGGATCTGGATCTGCTGTTGCTTTGTCTCGATTCCTTTTGTCCTTATGAAGACTCTCAAGGAGGTTTCTCTCCTCAGGTAAGCGCCTTGGTTTGCTTTATCTGTGCAACAAAATGGAGTAGCGGTGTCAGTACTTCAGAAACAATGAACTAACCTTAGTCAACTCCAATTCCCGTCGTCCCACAAAAATAGTATGTTTGGTGTGGCGGCAACTGCAGTACTGGTCGGCGTCGCAACTGTAGAGTCGATCGTCGACTACCCGAACCGCGTCCCCTTCTCCTACGACATCATCGTCGTCCGCAACCTCCCCACCGTCGTCGCAACAATGTCTGTCTGCTTTGGAGGAAACGTCGTCTACATGCACGTCGAGGAAGCTATGCGCCACCCAAAGTCCTTCAACAAGGTCCTCGCCTACGCCATGATGTTCTGTTGTCTCTTGTATACCGTCGTCGCCATCCCTGGGTACCTTACTTATGGTCCTTCTGCCCAATCGCCCATCTTGTCGAGTTTGCCGCAGAATACGTCGAGGAAGGTGGCGACGATTATGATCATTGCACATGTGCTCCTTGCGGCACCGGTGTTGATGACCTCGTTCGCGCTCGAGATTGAGCGCATCGCTCATGTTACTGTTGAGCACCGGGGCCGATTCGGGGAGAGGATCTGGAGGACGCTTATCCGCTTGGGCATCATGGGAGTCGTTGGAGGAATCGCCTGTTTGGTGCCGTACTTTGATTCTTTTCTGTCATTGTTGGGGGCTTTCGGAAACTGTATGTTGATCTACGTGATGCCGATCGGGTTCTACTGGAAGTTGATTGGGTGGAGGACGATGAAGTGGTACGAGTTGTGTTGGTGCGGGATTGTGCTGGTGATTGGGTTGTTGGGCTGTGTTATTGGATCGATAGATGCTATTAAGGCTTTGCATCGGGATTTTACTCAAGGTCGCGAGTAGACCATCTGTCACCCTCTCGCCTTTCCCCCCCCCCCCTTTTTTTTTTTCTTTCCTCTAAAATACCCGTTGAGCCAACTCTTCATACATAGATAAGAACAACAATAGAGTAATATAATTATTTATGGGAGGTTTATTTGACTTTCAACGACTCCTAGAACTCTCAGTATGCAAGATATCAGGCCTCAACCTCTGCAGCACCTCTCTCAGCGCATCCTTCTCAGCGTCAAACTCCATCCCCACATGCGTATCCACCGCCAACCCTCTAATCTCCTTCAACTTGGTCAACCGCTCCGCTATCCACTCTACATCCTGGACCCGCATCTTTGGATCCATCGACTCGAACGCCAAATACTCAAGCTCCGTCATTGTCGCCAGTTGGTCTAACCCACAATCCAGGCGGAGGTGGAGGGTGTCAGGGAGGATATCTCCATAGTTGATGTAGTGCTGACCGTCTTTTGGAGACCTGTACATGATCGAGTACATATCTGCGTTGTAGAAATCGGTGATTTTGAGGTCTGGGCTGAGGGTTAGGTGGTTGAGGCGGGTGAGTTTTGAGAGTTGGCCAAGGACTTGGCGACGGATGGATGTTGCTTGTTGTGTTCGGTCGTAGAGTTCTTCTTCCTCCTCGGACCTGGTGACTGGGTGCTCACTCCCCTTCTCCTGCTCTTTCTGCTCCCTGGCCAACACCCGATCGAGGACCAATTGCTCCTTCTCGCTCAAATACGGTACCCCCACAAACTGACAATTCAACTCCTCCAACCCCAAACAGACCCACTCCTTCTCCTTCACCTTCTTGGTATCCACCAACTCATACCGCATATCCACCACCCTCAGTTTCGGACACGACACCAGCAACGGCGACACAGTATCGACAATCGGATCCCAGGGGTTGCGTTTCAGGGAAGCCTGCTGCCTCTGACTTGTGATACTGACAACCTCCAGGCTCGGACAATTCTCGGCCAGGATCGAAGCGTACTCAGCTGACCAGCACGCATTATGGAACTCGACCAAGTGTGGTGTCAGACGGAAGAGCCGTTCGAGTCCAGAAGCGCTACTCCTATGGAGCTGCTCACACCTCACGACCTGTACCCCCGAAACAAACCCCCCCGCCGCTACTGCCCTTTCTTCCTCTGCCTCCAATTCCGTCTCTTTCTGTTTCTTGATAGCCTCCTCCGCATCATCCTCACAATCCTCCTCCTCCTTCACCGGCATATCCGCCAACACCAAACCATTGATATACAACGTCCTAAGCCGAGGCGCCTGGACCAAGATTTGCCTCAACTGACCCAAATGCTCGACATACCTGACCGTCACCTCCTCCACCGCCTCATTCACGGGCCCACGCGGATCCTCCCGATTATACTGACTGAAACTTACATTGGTCGCCTCGACTCGTCGGGTATTCGGTGGCAGAAGGGGTAATCGACCTTGGACCAGTTGTGTGGTCACGGATTGGATGGATTCCAGGGCTGGAGGGGTAGGGTTGGTTTGTTGAAGGAGCTGTCGAAAGAGTGGGAAATCTTGTCGCAGGTCGAGGGATTTTATACCGGGGTTGGCGAGGACGAGTCTCCATAGGGCGTCTGCGAGCACATCGTCTGTCGTGCATAGTGTCGATGTTTTTGTTGTAGTCTTGTCCTTGTCCTTGTCCTTGTCCTTGTCCTTGTCCTTGTCCGTGTCCGTGTTGTTGCTCTCGTTATTGTCATTGTTGGCTGTGGTGTCGGTATCATCTTCGGTGTCAGAATAGGAGCTGACACACTGGTCATCCAACGAGTGCGTCCCACGCACACCGGGGATGGGTCGAAGACGGAAGTACCTCCGAATCACATTCCAGAGGATAGAAATCTCCACATGCTCCAACTGCGTCACCAACGACACTTCCCCGTGCTTCTCCTTCCCCTCGAGTACAACAGCCGAACCCGACGACGACGACGACAACGAAGACGAGCTTGACAACAACGACGGAGGCACACGCAACCCACCCTCCAACAGTACCTCCAATATCAAAGGATGACAAACAGTCAAACGCCGAATAAACCTCGCATGACGCCTGTACACATCCGAATACCATTCTACATCCCTCCCATCATCGAGATAGCTGTCGCTAGCTCTTGTGGCATCTGCGCCTTTCCGAACGGCGAATTGGACCCGAGCGATCCATTGAGATACGGTGCTGTCAGAAAAGGTGTGCCAGAGGTGGGGGATAAATGCTTGGTGCCATTCATGTGAGACGCGAACGCATCGTGTGAGGTCGAGAGGGTTTAGGTAGGGGTGCGACAGGAAGGGTATGGTGGCCACTTGGAGGATGCTGTCCTGCTCCAGATGCATGTCGTTTTCCTGTTTGTTGGGAGGGGCGGTGGGTGATGGGGAAAGAAGAAAGAAGAAGGAGGAAAGTGAAGAAAGATAGAAACGGAAGAACTTAAATCTCTGATGGTGTCGTTTTTTTTTTTTTTTTTTTTCCCAATCGAGTGACGCTTAACTGGTCCAAAAACTGGTCCAAAAAAATGGCAGTGCATCGTTGTACAAACATTTGCAAACACAACGCATAAACCACCCACAAGTTCATCGACAAGAAAACGTACATGTGTTTTATGCAAAAAAAAAAAAAGACTACGACATAGAAAAGAGTTCGTTGAAGAGACCTTGGTCCAGCCGGATCTCCACCTCTGGTCGAATCTGCGTCATCATCGTCAGAATCGCCTTCTCGGTTGCTGGCAACGAATGCCGCGACCTCGTCGGACTCTTGATCCTATGCTTCAAAAACGTCAGCCCAAAGAACTCGAGCCTTGGCCAACAGATCATATCTCCTTCCTGATGCTCCTTTGCCTTTTCTCCCTGTTCCTCCTCCGCCTCCGCCTTCACATCCACTGCTGTAACCGCCGCCGATTCTTCCTCCCTTAATAAACTCGAAACCAGCGAGGAAGAAGAAGAACAAGAAGGAAAGGTCGAATACCGCTGGCCAAAACAACGCCAAGCATCCAAATCTGCATCCGAGCCCACGCCCTCCATATCTGCAACCGTGAGCGCCCGAGACACGTCCTTGCCCTTGAGGTAGAGTTGGTGCATATGTTGCATACCGACAACATCAACTTTGGGACCCGGTGCCAACCGCTTCGGAATCATCTGTCGCAACAACTGCGAGAACCGTCTGCTCCGTCTCATCAGAGCCGATTCCTTGAGCGCCGGCTCGACTGCGTTCGTTTTAGCCATCCATTCGATATCCTGGATCCCGAACCGAGTCGCATGCATCAACGACGCCACCGTCAGTCTCTGCAACTTGTGCAGTCTCGTCAAGAGACACATCCCTCCCTCAAGTTCCACATGCAGAGCCGTCTTCCGGATGACCAGTTCCTGCAGATCAGGACACACCCGGGTGATGTACCCAAAAAGCGTCCTCGAGTTGACTGCGCTAGCTTCCTCCTGTGGGGTCGATCCGAAAAAGATGTGTAGCGTCTTAAGTCGCCGGCACGCCCAGACTCGCTTCTCGGTCCTCCGCACTCCAGCCGGCGGATGAGAGGTGGTCGAGTCCCAATGCTTGGGTTGATACAGGCCGTCTGGGCCGACCTCTCCTCGCAGCTCCAAGTACTCTGACCGGTAAAAGACTCCCGGCGTGACAAGGTGGACAAGAAGTGGTGAACTGCAGAGGTACTCGTGCAGAATATGATTGAGCGCGGTTGCTGACGAATGATACAGTGGCTCGGTCGTTGAGAGGATCTCGAGTCGGGTCAGGTTGTTGACAATTGGTTGTAGCAATGTGCTGGTTCCTGAATGGATGTCCTGCGCAGAGAGGCTCAATGCGTAACGTGGCCGGCCATTGCTGTTGTGATCGCCGCTGTTGGGTTCCTGCCAGAGTCCGTGAGGGTCGTCGGTTGGTTGATACTGTAGCCGTACAGATTCAAGAACTGTACGTGTCCAAGACGATCTGCTTGTAACGAGAGTGTTGTTGCTGTCTCTGACAGTCATTCCGATCCACGCGTCCTCTGTCAGACATTCCTTGTTGGCAGAAAAGTGGAAAATCTCTAGCCTTGGACAAGAGTCCGTGACCAACTGAATGAGACCCCCGCGATCTGGCAGACCCTCCGCGCTGAGAGAATTCTCTCCTGTCAGCTCGATAAGACGAATGGTCCGCAAGTGAGGCGATCGGGTGATAATGGTCTCCAGGACGACCTGTTCGATGTGCATATGCTTGATCTTGAGATCCTCCAGACGCAACTGACCCAATCCAGTGACGCTCTCGGGTGTTTCTGACCAAGGCGGGGTGGTGTTGTGGACAATCTTGCAGGTGCTATTGCTGCAACTGATGTGGAAGGTCCGTAGCCGCGGGCAGAGAGCTAGGATGGTCCCAATATGAGTGTCGACGTGAATGATGCGCTCCATCCGAATCTCCGTCAAGGTGTTGCTGAGCAAAGGCAACAGCGGATAAAATCGAGACTCTGGAAAGAGAGAGCCCGCCAGATGAAGGGTTTGGATCCGCATCAAGGATTTTGTCCGCAACGTCTGGATGGTGTCGAGTAAAATAGCCCAATTGGAAGCAACCCACGCGTCCGAGGTGGCGAGTCGAAGCTGGACACGAAGGATCGTCTTGCGCTCCAAGCGGGCCATGACGCCCTGGAGCGACTTTTCGCACAAATCATCGGACCAGACGTCGCCGTTATCGATGGGGTCGATCAGGGGCGCGGCAAAGGCGCGCCACTGCTTGCAGACTAGGCGGACACATCGGCGGAGGGCAAACTGGCTGAGGTAGGAGAAGATTTCCTCGACGATGTGTGGCAGTTCCAGAGGCGAGAGTCGTGTCCTGATGATGGATGGATGACCTTGGCCGGGGCGGGTCATCGGGGCAAGGGCGGGTGGATGTCGATGGACAAAGGACGATGTAGAGAAAGAGACACAAGATGAAGGAAAGAGAGAGAATGAAAAAGGAGAAAGGACGACATCAGAGTTTGAACGAGAATGGCCGTTTTGGCACTCTCCCTTTGTCCTTTTGTTAGTTGTAACTGAACCTTGGTTCAGGGAGTTCAAATACACTTTGCTTGTTTAATTGCACTTGATAAACTTGATAAACTTGATAATAAATGTGCCTGGATTTTTGGCTGTGCCTGGTCACACGCCTCTCTTAGTTTCTGTTCAAAGGGTTTTCAAGGAGACATTATCCATCCATGTCCAATGGTTTATTGCTTTAAAGATGCACCTGTCGCTCATAGCCAGTAAAACTCGCACCGTGGATAATGTCTGGCCGGAGAGACTGCATCAGCTCCCGTAACGCATCCATCTTCGGGTCCCGCTCTGCTCCAACCTGCGTATGAACCGCCAGCCCTCGTATCTCTTTCAACTCAGGAAACGTCTTTGCGATCCATTCAATCTCGGCTTCTCCCATCCTGTGATCTATCGACTCGAATCCGAGCAGCTCCAATTTGTTCAGACTGGCCAACTGCTCCAGTCCCGTGTCCAGTCGAAGGTGAAGCGTGTCTGGCAAGACATCGTTGTACCGAAAGTACATTCGTCCGTCCCGCTCCGATCGGTAAACTGCAAGCGACGTCTTGCGCCTTGAAAAGAGTCCCCGCCCAATCTTGAGATCCCTGCTCAGAGTCAAGTGCGTCAGTGAAGTCAACACCGAGATCTGCTGTAGTACGCTCCTTCGCATCGACTGTGCCTCCTCTGCTGCGTCCAGCAGTCCAACTTCCACTGGTGTCTTTTCCGGTTCTGGCAATCCCTTTCTCCTGGCCTCCTCGTCGCGTTCTTGAATGTTTCTGACCTCTTGTTCGTTGCGTTTGTGCACGTAGGGAAGTCCAACGAAGCCACACCGAAACATCTCCAGATCAAGGCAGACCCACGGCTTGTTTGCAATATTACGCGCATCGATCGTCTCGTACTGGAGATCTAGAACCCGGAGCCGTGTGCATGACGTGAGGAGAATAGAGACCCGGTCGTGGACAGAGTCGAAGATGTTGCGCGGTGTGTATCGGCATCCCTTGTACGTCACTCGAACGACCTCCAGCAGAGGGCAATGCAAGGCAAGCGCAGCTGTAAAGGGCGAAGAGACATAGCTATGATGGAACTCGACCAGATTCGGCATCCAAGGAAAGATCTTGACCAGCTCCGGACTTTTCCTCTCGTATAGCCCACAGAGCAGCACCCTTAGATCCGATGTCCATGTATCTCCCTCCTGTACTAATGGTGCCTCGTCGTCTTCCTTGAGGTGAACGCGTCTCAAACGGAGGTACCGAAGTGCAGGTAGTTGAGTCAGCAGCGACTTGATGTGCGCAACGGTGCGGACCTCATCCTTGACATAAAGTTCTTTCAGCGTGTGGTTAACCACACCGGGTGGATCCTTTGGGTCGAACGACTCTTTCCGCGACAGGGACGAGTTTAGTGTGGTGACGTTTGAGGGTATCCGTGGGACACGTCCGTGAGGTAGTTCCATGGTCAGAGTGGTGACTGATGGCAGTGCTGTTGGATGTTGTGAGATGCGTAACTGGAGACTTCGGAACTTTGTGCAGTCAAAAGACTCGAGTCGGGGGTTGCACAATGCCAGTCGCCAACATGTCTCTGTCAGTAGTGCCTCGGCAGAGACTGGTTGTTCCTGAATTTCGGTGACGCAGAAATCCAGTGGTCGGCTCATGAGATACTCGTCCATGTTGAAGGAGTGGAGTTTGATGGTAAGCGACTTAAGCCGGGTGATCAACGAAGGAGGAGCCGGATCAACAGAGCGAAGGAAGGAAGCACTGGGGATCGGCGGTAGTTGAAAGGCGTTGGCGAAGCAGACGTGGAGGATGAGCGGATGGCAGATCTCGAGGTGGCGGATGTATCCTGCGTGTTGTCTGTAGACGTTCTTGAACCACTCAATGTCCTGGCTGCCCGTTGACGTTTCTTTGACAGCTTGTTCGAGGAGTGTGAACCAGTTGCCGGATGTGTGGTCCGAGAATGTTTCCCAGAGATGGCGAATAAAGACGGAGTGCCAGTTCTTGGAGACTCTGACGCAGTGGCGAAGGTCAATGTGGGTGAGGTGAGTCGATATGCACTCTGCCAGCTCCGGGTATAGGCCAACTTGGTCGATCATCGTCCTGCTGGTGTGCTGAAGGAGGTGTGTTGAGCTTTCGATTTGTTGACAAGCGAGAGGGGGACGGAGGGAAGGGAAAGGAAAGGAAGGAGAGAGAAGAAGAGGGGGAAAAGAAGGAAAGCAGAGGGTGGTTAAAAGTTCGAAAATATTTCCCTACAGATTAGCTTGGGGCAGAAGCAGAAGCACAACGGTTTGGAGGGGAAGAAGCAAGGAAGGAAGGAAGGAAGGAAGGAAGGAAGGAAGGAAGGAAGGAAGGAAGACAACAACAACATACGCAACGCTGTACGTTCTCTGGGCTGTGTCGTGTGTCTTGTTGGTTACTTGAAAAGAACAAGGAATGAACCCTTTTTTCTGTTCTTCCATGGGATGCATGAGACGACACAGTCACCGTCACCACGCCTCCATGCATGGACCATTCGTTTTAGGACGAAACGACACAGTCACTTCCACCACACCTCCATAGCAGTGTATATGGACAATTGTGTAAAAGGCTGTGAAGGAGGGGGGGATAAGGTTGTGGTGACAGAAAAGAAGACGGCGGTGGAAGACCAAGGAAGACAAGAGGCACAGGGTGGGAAGGGAAAGTGCGGCATGCAGGCATCCCATACGATCTTGATCTTTCTTTTTCTTTCTATTTATCGTGCCAATTTATCTTCTTGCCAAGATCCCTGGAAACTAATAAAGATGAGACTCAGGTACAGTCTCACTCACTCACTGGTATGATGATCAGTGGTCAATTGGGTCTAAAGAGTCCAGACCCTTTCCCTTCAACTTCTTTCTTCTGTCAACTCACTCCTCTTTCTTCCTTTCCTTCTACTCCCCCTCACACTCGCCACCACCACCAACAAGCAACAACCCAAGATGCAGAGTCGACTGTCCCCCTTGGACCTACCGCACATCCTCGACGCCCTCTTTGCATTCCTCGACCCTCACTCCCTCCGACACAACATCTCCCTCGTCAACACGCAATGGCACCACCTCGCTCAACCTCACCTCGAACCCCTCTCAAAACTAAACGAATGGTCCCTTGCTCATCTCACCCAACAACCTGACCTCCAACAACACTTCCTCAACACCCTTCCCAACAGGACTGTCCTAAAGATATCTCAGCAATCCAATTCCGACGAGCATCATGGGCAAGGGCTTATGAAACACCTCTACACTTCTATGACGACAACAACCATACGGATCCGGACTCTTCACCTGGACGATGTCCCTGCAGGCGAACCATGGATCTATACTTTGCTTCTCCCACGGCTGGGCCATTCAATCACCACTATCCGGATAACAAGAGCCCTATGGACATCCCATCAGGGCAACAACCTCAATACCCATCCTCTCGGGATCATGCTGCTCCAATGTCCACATCTCCGATACTTTTACATCTCGTCGACAGAAGAACCCTCCAGTATCGGTCACAATACCACCCCTCCAAACCCAGAACTCTCTCGCGACCCAACAGCGGAACTAGGCACCCTGAAACTGCAAGAGTTTGAGATCGCCAACATGTATATTCAGCAAACCGTCATGGAGGCCGTCATTGCTCGCTCGCCTAATCTGAAGGTCTTACGGTTAGTTGGGATCTATGGTCCAGATAATTCTTCTGCGCATGTCGGCCTGTTGTCTCTGCGAGCTCGGATTGTGCAGCTGATTGGCGAGGTGTGTCCAGCCTTGCAGATCTTTCATTATTCTATCCGGTGGCACCGCCTTGCGAAGAGCGACTGGGCAGGATTCACATCTTTGACTCGGAGCAAAGGACAGTTCTTGGGAACCTTTCATCCAATCCACCTCTCGTCACCTGATGAAGTCGTCAAGCAACTGGAAGTCAAGGACCTTGGCGACCACGCGGGATTACGAGATGGATCTACAGTGCGCACGTTAAGCCTTTTCAGCACCGACGTCCACCGCTCCATTGCGCCATTAATCCAACCGATCGTCAACATGGTCACGATTCTGGAGATCCACCCCACCGCACGACCACCATATTCTGCGGACGTATCGCTCTATTTCAGCCACATCTTGCATGGATTTTTGTGCAGCTCACCCCTGTTACTCCATCTCAAGGTGCCTCTCGTCCGTTTTCATTCGGCGTTTCTGGATCTTCGCGGAGAAGCGAACTCGGACGGGAACTACCAGGTACTGCCGTCACTGCCCTACTACCCTCCTATGCTACGATGGACAAGCAAGCAGATCTGGGCCTGTCGTCGACTCGTTACACTGCAGCTATATACCTTTGGGGAAGACAAACAGGATGCGGAAGAGGATGCCAGGATACTGTTTGGATACATTTCTAGGATTTGCCCCCTCCTCAGGGAAGTAGCCATCCAACAACAACATCTCTGTGTGCGAATGGAGGGCGGATTATGTCTGTTGAGCAGACTGCATCACCTCGAACGACTCAGCGTCATCTCGTCAGGAAACAACTCTGGATTCAGCAAACACGATCTGATATGGATGAAAAAGTCGCCGCCGCCGAATTGGGATCTGCCGCGGTTTCGGGAGCCAAAAGCGGCGCACAAGGATTATCGTCGTCAACTCGGTCAATTTGTACAACGATCACTCACCACGTTCGCCAAGGCTGATCCTTCGAGGGTTCAGGAGATGCATCGACTGTATGTCAAGGCCAAAGACCCCGACCAACAGCTGACTGTGGAGGACATGGACGGTGTCGGCAGTGTCGAAGATCTGGAAGCATGGCGACAATTCCGTCACGGCTACCAGTTAGTACACGGAGCAGCTCAGACCAACAGACACGAGAACGAGAACGACACTGCACCAATAGGGAAGTTAGACCTCCCGTACTGCTGGCCGTCGCTTAAGTATTTTGCGTTTTACAGGTACCAAGTTCCGATACCCAAGCGACGATACGACCGATACCACCAGCCGCGCCAGGACGATTTGGATGCGCTTGATCAAGCACTATGGGACGAGATCAAGGATATTCGCCCTGGTGTCGAAATCAAGTGTAACCGGTCGCTCTATTACAATGCCATTTATTATGTTGGCCCTCATGGTAACCCTACACATCTTGCTTCCTACGGCAAACCATACGTAGACTTTTAAATAAAAGGCCAACTTGTTTTTGTCATAGCTGCCATTCACTTCTGCCCAGTGCCATATGTAGGCTGTGAAAGAGGTTTATTTGTGTGAACCTGAGCCTCGGGGAAAGGGAAAAGGGGGAAAAAATGTTTGAAATCTGATTGGCGCCTGATTTTCCCCTGTTTTGCTTCTTTTCCCCTCTTTTTCCGCTTGAGGGGCGTTCTTTCCTTCTTTCCTCACCACTTAGTCTCCTCTCAAGCTTTCGTTGTTATACTCGTTTCTTTCTTTCACAGACAGACGCTGTGAAGGTTGCGACGGGCAATAGAGATGTCCTTGCGGGTAGTGTCGATATTGAGTGGGGATATGACGGAGTTGGGGCTGGACCATCATTTGATTAACAAACGGATGCTGTGGCTCCTGAGGGTGCGGAGGGTGTTGGAGGGAAGAAAAGAAAGCTACTCTTTTTTTTTTCGGCAGCGTTGAGAGAGGCCCAATTTCCTCTTGCAGATGGGCAAAAATGAAATAAACCAATCAGATTTCAAGCAAACTTTTCCCCTTTCCCCTTTCCCCCAGTTGAACGAGGCTCTACTACTAGGATCTTGCAGCCTTGTCCACAAGTGCAAGCCAGCGCCACCATGCATAACTCGAATAAACTTTCGTCCTCCACTTCTCTCTGCCACCTTTCGCAGGGCTTTCCTATTAACTTTTCTTCTTCGTCCGCCCCTCCATTCATTTCTTTCTTTCCTTTGCTCTTCGTCCCATCAGACCATGGCCATCTTTGAATCCGAGGACAAGATGAACCCATATGCGGACTCTGGCGACGAGTCCGCCACCACACTCCAACCCGTTGTTAATTTCACCCAGTCATAAAACAACGGTGAAACCCGCCTTCGCACTGATAGTTCAACACACTTTTACTTTGAGAGGATTGGAGATAATTGCTACTACAGGGGTTTCCGTCTATGTCGACAGATTTGAAGCGGGCCCTGTAATTACTCTCGCAAAGCTCAAACGTGGAGCTTTTGTTCGTCGACAACATCTCCTTGAAGTTCAGCCGCATCTCCTCACTTAACCACAACCAGACTTCCACCGACAATAACAACTACGAGTAGACACGTAAAGATATCAAAGTGACATAATTTTTGAAAAGAAGGATATTTTTTATTTCGCAAACCATTACTGTAGCCTCGCTAGGAGGAAACCGAGTTGTTGCAGAAGAAAAAGAAGGGGAGGGGGGGGTTATGAACAAGATTGGTAAAGAAGATGGTATCCACCAGGGATTCCTAGATAGTTTGCACTTTTTCTGTGGTTAGCACTGCCAGAGTGAGAAAAGTGAAGAAGAGAAATACAGCCAGAACCTGCTGCTGCTTAGTTGTTGTTGTTTTTTTTTTTTTTGGTCGTTGGATGTTTTTTTTGGAAGGCGGTGTTGAAGGGTATGACGCGTTTCGAACGCGTTCGAAGGAGGAGGAGAGAAAATCGCATGCCGTCCAGAAATTTAGACTCCCAAGTTGTCGAGGATGTAGCCAAAGGCAGCCCAGAACTCCTTTCCACTGGGGACAATCTGATTAGCGGGCAACTGGAATCCGTAGCGACCGGTATCGCGGAGCTCTGTGAAATTGAACAGAAAATCAAGAGTAATAAAAAAAACGTTAGCAAAATCGGTCTTGGGGCGTTTGCCAACAGGGGTACCATTGCAAACACGTTAACGACAAGAGAGAGGTAGAGAACGCACCCACGGCAAGAGGTGCCTTTACGGAAATGGAGTAGGCGTAGTCGGCACTGTTTCCGGAAGCGGGGTAGATGGTGTTGTAGATATCGCCGGAGGTGAACTGGACACCGTTGACGGCAGCGAGGGCATTGGCAGCTCCCTTGACCAATGGCTTCAAGAAGCTGTTGTAGTTTGGTGGAGGAGTGGCCGAGTAACCCCAAGGAGTCTGTAGAGAGAGAGAGGAGAGGAGATATATTAGTGAAAAATAAAAAGAATAAGGTATGCATGTTCGTACATTGCAACAAAATTGGTGTTTACCATGATGAGCTGCGAGTAGGAGTGGATGTCAACTGTAAGTGAAATAAAGTAGTGATTTAGGGTTAGCACGTTTCAGTTGGTGATCGATCACATTTTGAGCGTCCATCAGAAATGGAATCAGGTACTTACTGTACAGGGCGACGTTGGGGAGGGCCTTGAGGTAGTTGGCAATGTTCAAAGCCTCGGGGGAAGAGAAGGCAGATGGGCCGCGGTAGTCGTCAGCGCAGGGGTTGGTCGAAGCACCAGGGGAACCCCAACCCTTGCCCCAGTTGCGGTTGGCTAAGGGGATAGAAAAGGGAGAAAAAAGAGAAAAAAGAGGAAAGTAAGTATTGTGTCAGAAACGCGACTGATGGACAAGCACGAGTGCAAAGAGACAAAAAGAAAAAAGAGACTTACTGTCGGTACCGATGCAGCCGCCGTTGACCTGGGCGTTCTTGCGGTGCATACGGTTGGAGGTCTGGGTAATAACAAAGCCATCGGGGTTCATAATGGGAATGATGTGGAAGGTGTACTTCTTGAGGTATCCAGCAACACGGGTGTCGGTTCCCTTGAGGAGCTGGTCAGCCAACCATTCGGTGACCATGGTGGTAATCCTTTTTTTTGGTGAGCGAAAATAAAATTGGGTAGAGGGTCTAGTTAGCACATGTGGGTATTTACATGATGTACTTGCAGTCTGCATGTCAATTTGCAAAGGTGCCACCAGATAGGGAATAAATAAAGGTACATGAACAACACTACATTCGTCATTGTACTTACCACTCGCGTGAATGCTGGGTTCCGTGGAAGACAACGTGGTTAGGACCGCTTCCGATCTTGATACCGGCCTGAGGACGGCCCTGGAAGGAGTTTCCGGCGCTGAAAGACGAGGCGATGGTAGGGTAGGTCGAGATCTGGGTTGACAACCAGGTCTGATGTTCAGCATAGGTATGGTAACCAGCGAACCAGTCAGCGGCGATAAAGACCTGACCGGGGTTGCGGGCGTTGGACTTGCGGGCTTTGTCGAACTTCGCCTGGTAGACATCATTCTCTTGAGCTTCCTGGTCGATGGTAGCCTGGAGGTTGTCGATCTGAACGTTGTAGTCGAGGTTGAGGGTCTGGAACTCGGCAAAGTGCTCGGGGGCAAGGCGGACATCGACGTTGCCGCCAACGACCTTGTAGTGGGTGAAGTAGTCGAGCTTGAGAGATTCCTCGTGTGCAGTCAGGGCATCGAGCTGGGCTTGGTTCTGGATGTTGATGCGGATGACACGGTGGCCATCGTACTTGACGGGGCGGATGGCAGGCGCGGCCGAGACGGTGACGGTCGAGGAAGAGAACAGGACCGAGAGAGCAACGACGGCCGTGAGGGAGATCTGGGTGAGGGAAAGACGCATGGCGGAAGAAGCTGTTGTGAGAGTAGGAGGAGGAGAGAGAGAAATAAGAGAGTATGTGTGAGTTCGAGAGAGGGTTGAAGAACGATTTTTTGTTGAAAGTGTTCATCCCTTTTATACCTTCAGGAGGTTTGATTGCATTACACATTGCAAACGAAAAGAAACTCCTCCTTTCACTTTACCCCCAACTATATTCTTTTAATGATAACTCCTTATTCATTGACCATTGCAAGCCAAACGCCAAGCGTGAATGTAAAGAGAAATCGAAAGAACGCGCGTGTTTTGCTCCCTGGTTTTGCTTAGTCTCGTTGTTGTTTTCGCTTTTGTCTTTGTTTTGTTTTTGTCGCCATCATTTCCTTACCCGGCTAACTTACAACTCACTTCTTTCCTTCGATGTTTTGGCCTGCCAGGCCAAGGCAGAGTGCTCACTGCAAGGTAATGGACCCTGACGCCCTGTTGAGGTGGCAAGGACCCTGGAGTTGAAATTTGAGGGACCCTGCGTATTGAAGAATCGGGTTGAATTGAGCCATCCCATCCTCCTCCTTCCTCATCGGCATTTTTTGTTTTTTCTTTTTGCACACGATGACCTCTGTTGCACAAGATTATCCTCTTTGTTCAGAGGGGAAAGAGAGCGTGAACCAATGGCCATGGCTCTCTCGGTTGCCACTCCCGTCACTCATTCAGCTCCTAGACCCATTCCAGTGGTTTTTTCTTTGCTTGATGTTATCGCAGAGGGTGCTGGTTTTGTTTTACTTGTTGTTGTCTATTGTTGTTGCCGTTGTTAGTAAAAACTTTGTCAGCAGTTTGGACGTTATGTTATGTATGATTTTTGGCCGCTTGGCCGCCCACCTCCAAGTGGTGAGTGGTTTCCCGGTTCCTTTCCCTTCAACCCCCACCAAACAAAGATTGCGACATTGCTCCAGAGTCGACGCTTACTATGGCTTTCGCGAGAGGCAAAAAAAAATAACAAATAAGCAGAATCATATTATGGTTTGTTTTTGTTTTGCAGCAGGGGCGTTGGGATGGTGGGAAAGGAATTGAAGTTAAGGGAAGGACAACGAGTGAGGGAGCTATCCTGATACGCTAATCCCATTAGCTGCATATTTTACACTAGATCCAATTCGAAGGAAGGCAATAACGAAACAAAATGACATGGCGTTTATTTGCGATAGAGTATTACTCTTACCATTCCCCTCCTCCCTCTCTTCTCTCACGCACACTCACTTTCCCAACGATGCCGTTGTTTATTTTCTCACCCTCCAACTCTCCCAGAACTATCCTATAAACTTTGTCGTGCCCTTTGTTTGTCGCTGTCATTGTCATTGTCGTTGCCCTCAACCCTTTGTTGATGGTTCGTTAAAAATGTGTTTGCATGACATTTTTCTCTTAACCATTGCATTTGTCGATGGGGGCATCGATTGAGTTTAATAACGCCCAAAGCGTTAGAAATCGACCTGATGACTCTTTTTTCTCAGGGACACTCTTGGGAGTTGTAAACAAAACGAAGGGTGAGAAAAAAAAGGTAAACCGGGCTAACAGTCGAGGAGAGAGGAAGCCCATGGGAATATTGTAGCTCGTCGTATCGCTGTTCGTAATTTGTTGGACTCAAGGGAAAATGGCATACCGAATAATAATAAAAAGAAAATGATGCTAATGAGAGGGAAGGGGGAGCTGAAGGGAATGTGTTATCTGAAAAACGTGCTTGTTTTTTCTTCAAGGAGACCATGAGCACGATTTTTTTTCTGTTTTCACACCTGAAAATGACCTTCAATGGCACGTAAATGGCGACACAAAGAGGCTCTCATCGTCCTGTCTTCTCAAGGGTTCACAAACGCGTGTAATGCCAGAAGAAGATAGACAGAAGAACAACGAACAAAAAAACGAGGGGCTTGCTTTGCTCTCACCTTCTTTTTCATTCTCTCTACGAGTCATCCTGGCCAAACAGTACGAGAGAAAAAAACAAGAAGAGAGAAAAAAAGAGAAATGGTGCGGGATTGGGAGGACGAGGGAAGATGATGATTGGCGGTGAGGTGTTGCGTGAGAACATGACCACGCATATTGAGGCGTGTTGACGCTTTTTGGCTTGGGCATGTGAGCGTGCAGGGAGAGAGAAATACGATCCTGTCCAATCATCGATCGGCCCTGAATTGAAATTGCTCTCACAAGAGACAAGGGAACAAGGAGAGGTGGACGAGATTCGATTAGCATAGAGAGGATTGTGGACTACTGCTGCAAGACTATTGAATACTCATCCCATGCTGTCATCCTCATACTTTTGCACTTTTTATGTTTTGAATTCACACCACTTCCCTATTCCTTGCTCCTTACTCCCTCCAGGTAAGTGTCTAGAACCCCCCTCGCCCTCTGTCGATTGATGTATGCATGTCCACTCGGAAGCACATTCCGAGGATGGTAATGATAATCATCCGGGTTGGATTGAACAAAACACCTCTCCCCTCTCTCCTTGCTCTCCACCTGCATGCCGTCATTGGAACCCTCACCCCCTGGCAACTGACGTCAAAAGAAAAAAGAAGTGGAAAGGAGAAGGAAAACATATCTAATGGGAGCAACAAAAAAAGGAGAAAGATATCCAGCAGAACGCACTACAAAAAAAGTAGGGTAGCAAAACTCCACCACCATCGCTCACCCCTACAACCTCCCTTTCACATTTTTCCATTTCAACACTCTCGTAAGTACCTCTGGAAGTGCGATACAGTTTTTCCATGAGCCTCCTGGCATTTTCATTCTTGGCAACTCTTTCATTCCTGCCCACCCTTCCACTCCTTTTTTTTACAGCCCCTCTCTTGCCATCCCTTAAGTCTTGGCACCTTGCCCATCCATGCTTCAAATCAAGATGCAGGCCGCAGCAATTCATTCACCCGCGCTCGATGTCGATGTCAATGCCGATGCTATGCAGTAGCATCACGCAGAAATCGAGGAGTGCCATCCATGCCAACTCACTTCCTCTACCTGCATACCTCAGACAGTGTGGAATTATCTTGCTGCGGATAAAAGAAGTTATCGTGTTTGTTATTATTTTTCTATCAGGAGTACAATACCCCTCTTTCTAAAGGAAGCAAACAGGTACCTTTCTAGAAATATCTTTTAGGCTTGGGCCTCCTGCTCAGCAAGGTGCTCACGCAACTTGCACATGGCGAGGAATCGATGAGACATTGTGTTCTTGACAGACGCGTCGATCTCTGCGTAGGTTTTACCGTAGCCGTCAGGTTGGAACACTGGATCCCATCCAAAGCGCGTTGGACCTCTTGCATCCACGATCTTGCCCTAAGATCCAATGTATGCCGAAAGAAATAAAAATAGCGTGTAAATTACAAGTCACGGAGGAGTATTTTTTGGTGGCGTAAATAAAAAAAGCGGCGCCCAATGGTTCAAACCATGGCTCTGCGCACCCATGAGTCATAAGTTGTCAAGTTCGATTCAAAATCCTTCTGGGAGATACACGGTATGTTACCTCAACGCGGCCTTCAAAGAGAATCGGCTTATCATCTGGTCCAGTGGTATAGGCAATATTACAGTACGCAGCAGCACCCTTGTCAGAGAATCCAACCAACATCTTGTTCAGGCCCTCAAGACCAACACTCTCCAAGAACCACTTGCTATTAGGTCGTAAAGGTATCATGAAAAGAAGATGTCGGTTAGATTTGTTCCAGCAATATCGAGAACTGGAAGATCACAAAAGTGCTTTGACAATGAAAGAGGACATACATGTAGGGTCCAGGAAGGCCATTGAGGGCATTGAACCCAAGTCCTGTGTCCTCGACAAAAACAGGTCCGTTAACCTAGGGAAGAAAAAAATCAAACGCCGGCGTTAAAGCTTTGACTCTAAACATAGTTGGATTTTGCTCGCCTCCATTTGCTCATGCTGGTCCATCAACTTTAAAACATACAATCTTGGCTGCCTGTCTGCACTTTTCGCTGGCAATCTCCTGGCTCGTTCCTTGAAGCTCGGGGACTAAGAGCAAGGAAAGAAAAAAAATTACGATAGTAAGAATAGTGTTCAAGTTGTGACCTCGCGAGCGTGCACAAATAGATCTCATATATGTTGTTCCCTACGATCAATGTTGACGGACTCGAGCTGGAAGTGATCGCCAAGGATTCCGCGGGCCTCAGCCAATTTGTTCTTGTTGCCTATCGTTAATAGACGATACGTGGTTTCTTGAGTTAGTAGGTGCCGCTCTTTGAATGCTTATCACGGCTTTTCCACCACGCGATAAAACCTTGAGGGAAAGTAGGACGCCCTGTCGACTGCATACCTGTGACAAAGACTGGAGAGTATGACGAAGAAATGAGTTAGTCATGCGTTGTTGGAGAACAGGGTGGAGTATAAGTTATGTATACGAAGGGTCGTCTCCTTGGCTGGTCATGACATGCTACCTAGTTTCTGAGTGGCCATGGTGGTTGTTGGTGTCAGTGGGGATGAGTTGACAGAAAGAATGGAGCGTGTTCGAGGTTTAAGTTGAGTAAAATGTGTTGACCTCTGCAGAATGAAAGGCAGAAGGCGGTTCAGTTTAGCCGGGTTGTGGCTTGACCCTGTAAACATTGCAGATAGAGTTGACAGTCACACCATGTGTGCATGTGTGCAGTCTTTTTTTTTTTTTTTTTCCTCTGCAAGTTAATTTTGACTTTCGTCGTAGCCTCTCCCCTCCACCGCACTCCTTCCTCCCTTCTCTACTTCACCCTCCCCACTCCTTCGTCCTCTTCGCTCCATCCTTCTCTCTCACTCCCTCTCTGCCTCTTCTACTTGTACTTCCTGCCGAGTTCATCGACTGATTCTCTTCCTCCCCGCGCAACTGATTCAACACCGAGCCTGCCTCGGTCTGTGACTTGCTCCTTTCTACTCAACACCTCTCGCTTGTTAAGCAACAACCCAGCGCACACTCAACACTGACCCACCCTCACATATAACAGCAAGCACAATGGATGACAAGTTGCAGGAGAAGTTTGCTCTCGTTCAGCAGATGAGAAGAGTAAGAACCAACAGTCAACAACCGGTGTCGTTGTTTATTCCCCGAAACAAGCTGTTCACTTCTCTGTGTTGATTCTGATGCCTCCTAAACCCGTCGGCTGGGAAAGCAATGACCTTGACCTAATCCCAACTGCCGCCCTCTTTGTTTCATTCGCTCGCTGTCTTTCATTGCGTCTATAGGAAAAGGAACTGAAGGAAGCAAAGGCAAAGGAGTCGCAACCGTTCGATATCTTTTCGATCGCAGGAGTGACACTGCCCACCACTGGTGGCTCTGGAGGACTGAACATGACCATCCGTCACGACAGCCAGTCGGCTTCTGGAAGCGGTGCCTCTATTGGATCGGTCAAGAGACCACGCAAGGAGCGGACCAACTCGACCAACTCGACTACCGACGATTCGAGCCAGGTACCTGCAGGAGGGGAGGAAAGCACCGACGGACAAAAGCCCAAGTTGAAGCGCTCGTCTATGGCTGCTCGTAACGACCCACAGGGCTCGGCTGCTCGGTCTGATGCAGCTGAACGTGACATCGTAAGTGCTCAAGCCTTTATAGAAATCATTGGTCAAATCATACGGGGTTGTGCTAAGAGCACCAGGCAAGGCTTTCTTTCACTGACACCCTCTTGCTTCTATCTCGATATAGGACGTTACAATGGAATCGGGATCTCAGCAACAGTCATCGACGTCTGCAGAGTCAACTGGACAGGAAAAGTCACAGAGCCCTTCTACCGCAACCCCTCCCACCCCACTTCCCTCGCCTCCCAACGACGGCTCCAGCAGACGCAACTCTGGTTCTTCATCTCCAACAAAGCTGCTCGCCAAGGATATGACTCACAATGTTCAGAGCCGCTCTGGAAGCATTGACGAGAACGAAGAAATGGTCATTGACATGTTTGGTCGCTCGGTTCCTCGCTCAAGGCATCACTCCTCAGACGAGGGGTCCGACTCTGAGAGCGACATGGCGTAAGTAACAGCAGTCCAATGCAGATCACTGTTAAGTTCAGCTTGAACTTTATCAAGAGTCTCTTAATTGACGTTGATTTCTTCACCTCTGTTCAGGCACCCAAGAAGACGACGCAGGACACGGATGGAAGAAGAGGAATTGGACCGATACCGACCATCATACCAACGCTCTGGACGTTACGGATCCAGATCTCGATCCAGGTCACGATCGCGGTCTTATTCGCCTGGGGGCCGGCGCCACCACCGCCGTTCGCGCTCCCGGTCTGTCAGCCCATACTACCCACATGCCAGAGAGGGCGATCGCCGAAGGAGGGGAGGCGGACGACGAGGTGGAGACCGCGATGGACGTGACCGCCACTCTGGTGATGAGGCTCCTCGCAACCCTGCAGAGGAAGTGGACCCTTACCAGGCGGCAAGTCGGTACTTGGACACGGCATTCTACCCCACCAAAATATATGTCGGCAACTTACCCAGCTCCATCTCGCTGACAAGTCTGCGGACGCTCTTTGCGCCCTTTGGTGACATTGAGGATATGAATTTGGTCGAAGGCAAAGATTTTGGATTTGTGACCTATGTTGAGCCTACAGGCGCACAGCAGGCATTGGCCAAGATGAATGGAGCCATGTTGGATGGCACTTATATTCGAGTGAACAGGGCCAAGATCCCTGAGAGAAACAGGCGTGGATTCGCAGGCGTTGCATGGATGGACGAAGACGGTGAACTGGCGAGACTGGAGGAGGAGCAGCACCAGCAGGCTGCCGCCATTGCAGGAGGGCTCCTTGCCACTGGATCGACCCCATTCTCACCTTCGCACAGTCGGTCAGAGTCATCCACCAGCATTCATCACCACCACCATCGTGAGGATCGGCACAGGTCGTCGAGCAGTGGAGGCATGGCGTCGGCAGACAGATCTGGACATCCTCGTGACTCATCCAACTCTTCCAGGGCTGTCTCACCTGCCCCTGTTCGCTCTGCTCACCAGCTCCCGATCAAACCTCGGTCGCCCAAATTGCCCCCTAAGCCTACAGGCGCAGCATCATTCCCTCCTGTAGGCGTGGACCCTCGTGCTGCCATGGCTGGTCGTGGTGGTGGACGCCAGATTTTGCGATACGACGATCTGTAGACGGCCAAAACAAACCGAGTGCCGGTGTGTTGTCTTTAATTATTCATTATTCATTCTTTCTTTTGTTTTCTCACCTGTACCAATATCATTTGTCTTCAACACTTCTTTTGCATCTCCTCTCTCCCGCCTTTTGTTCTTGTTGAACGGCGGGGTCATATCTTCATAACGTCATTCTGCATTATACGGTTCCTTCGCCGTACCCCCATCTCAAATAAAGGAAAGCCTCTTTTTTCCTGAATTTTCTCTTCGTACGAAAGTTGTTGTCGTATTCTGGACGAACGACCATTGAATCGAAAACAAGTGGCTTGGATTCGAATATAAAAGGCGGACACCACCGTGAAAAATTTTCATTCTTCTCTTACCCTCCACTATTCCCCTACAGCCCTCCTCCGATCCTATCAATTGGTAAGTCTTGCCCTACTCCCCTCCCACCCACCCTTCTCGTTCTGTTGTGAACTGATCACGATCAGCCCTTTCACCCTTTGTTTTGCCTCTCTGAGTGCGAACAACGCGATCCATCTAGGGTCACGTTTGGGTGTCTGGATTCACACCAAGCTACGACTCTTTTTTCTTTTTGTTATGCTGTGAATGATGAAAACCATATTTTGTCTTCAATTTATCTTATCGACCATGGTGATACCTTTACACTCCTTCGCTGAGGAGTGTCATACTAGCCAGTATAATCCACTGACCCACAACATACAAAAGAAAATGAATCAACAAGGCTTTTTTTGGGTTCTCTACATCGTCTTCCTCGATCTAGTAAACTAACCGTCGTTCATTCTTTCTGACACTTGCAGTAGACATCAATTGACCTCTTGGACCCAATTGGAAGACACATTGGCGGATTCTGGAGCGAGGGCTAGGATATTTTTTTTTTCCGGCTGTCAAGGACACTTTCAAATGGTGAGTCTCCCTTCCCATACCATTATCTTTCCCAGCGACAACAACGAAGAAAAGAAGGAGAATGAAAGGGGATTTTGAATGATGAAGATCTTTAATTCGCAGTTTCCACCGAAAGGACCATGTTATAAGGTGGTTCATGTGCCTCTTCCTTCGTCCTCGGACGTATCAGTGAAGCGATCAGAGAGCAGTATGCCATCGTCGAGTTGCCGTGAATCTATTGCCTTTCCTGATGATGGATATAACTTCCTTGGATGTCTGATCTCAATCCCCCTACTATTTCTTTCTATGAAGTGTGGGCTTGGAGTTTTTGTCAATTGGAGACTCGATTCGCTAACCTGTTGATGATACCCTTTGTGCAATGATAGATGTCTCATCAATACTCCTCAACGCTGCAACGAAGAGCAGGATGCCAGAGTCGACGCGCAGGTATGTTATCCGTAGAGCTGTGTTTGAAACTATTGACTTGTAAGAAGAAATAAAAACCGTTGTGCAAAAATCAATTGACTGCATGCGGCTATGAGGTTTTTAATGGGCTGTCCCTTTAAGGATCTTGAAAAGAATATGAGGACCGATCGTAACTTGGACCGATATGCGCTATGGTTCAGTTGTATGATACTTTTGCTTTGAGAGTCAATCGATCGATATGGCATTGATAGTTCCCACGCTGAAATCAGCGTCATTTTTTCCTCTTGCAAGGTGTATGAATTTTTTTGCGTTCTCTTCGCTTGTGCTCCTTTTCCCTGATCCCCAGGCATGACCTTCAATCGAGAGCCTTGGTTTTACGACGGAACATAGACACGTTCTTGTTGCACTCGGCGCTGCTTTTCGGTCGACACAAAAATAATAAAGTGAACTTCCAATGCTTCTGCCCAAAAAAAAATATAAAGATGCACGCGTTGATATCTTGTTGTTATTGTCAACTTGTCGCCCGCGTGTCCACAACCGTCGAGACCACAAAATGAATACCACAAAGAGCACGCGTCGTTCCTTTTTTTTCAATCGTTCATTCGTCAATCCACTGGCGCTATCGGTGTTCATTCGGCTAAAACAAAATACGTGTAGAGAAGCGTCGTGCTCAATGTCAAACGCTTCTTGAATGGACGTTGCAACAAAGAAAAGCAAGCTCAATTGTCCAACTTGAAAACTGCTTCAACAAGTCGCGCTGCGGCATTCCCAGCCAAGAAAGATCGAAAAAAAGAGGAAAAGATCTACACCCTTCTGGCTCAACTGAATGCGCAATCCCTGAAGGTGCATGGTCTCCATTGACCACAATGCATAAAAAAAACGAAGAGACGTCTGGATGCATAGAATACGTCAATTGGTACTGTGAGTGCCTCTTTTTTTTTTGTTGTTGTGTGTGCAGAGGAGTGATGAATCAGTCTTCTGAGAGGGTACATAGGCCAAAAAATATCATCGGCCCACTTGAACGTGTAAAGGTGAAGTGGCTCCTTTCGACGTCGACGTCGACCTCGAAAAGCATCATCCCCGCCCACGCGAAGACTTTTCATATCGACCTGCCTAGACTGCGAGCTCGAACACTGTCTACTAACCGGTATAAAAAGTGTTTCGGAGGTTGGCTACTATTTTGTCATAAGAAAAAAAAGGAGTTTCTGCAAAAGTATTTGCACGGGATGAAAATGCCCACAGCAGCGGCGGTCTTGCATGCAACCATTGTCAAGGGCCCGTATTTTATTTGGACCAGATCCGATCGCGTGCTCGGTCGTCTTGGATGTACGTTACGTCTGATGAGAAACAAAACGCATGAAGGTTTCGTGTCCTTTTTCTGTTTGTAACGAAGGGTGTTAATCATCAACGCACTTTTTCATTGGTTCGGGTACAGTTGTCGTAGGCGGGGCGGCAATGTCAGATATCCAGGGACTAGTTTTAATTGGACAAGGGAGACAAGGGATCCATCAACACCATTGCCCAGGCTCAAACAGCAGTACAGAACTGACAATGGCGCCTCTACCTTGGAGACACCACCTTGCAGGCTGCCTGTCCTTGTCATCGCCAAGGTCGCTGCTACTTCTGTGTCACCTACTTCTCCCAGTTCTGCACGAGCTTGCCCATGGCAGGAGAATACCTCTATGATGACGGTACGTGATGTGCCTCTTGCATCTCCTTGTTGAATGGTGATTCATTTTTTCTTTCTTGTGGACAACGTCCTTTGATAAACAAATCTCTACACTCCTATTCATTTTTCGTTTTGTGAATCAAAGTAGCACGTTTTTTCTAACCCTGCAAGAGTGGCCTAAACAAATCGGTCGAGGACAAGGTCGTCATATGTCTACCCGGAAATAGGAACCGTCATGAAGTTGTTGCAGGTAAGAGAACTGTTCATGACAGAAAAAACTTGGCCATCAAAACGAATCGCCCTCTAACGTTTGTGTTAGTTGTAATTTTTCATATAGATAAATGGAGGGTCCTCGTCGTACCATTTGCAAGGCGTGATGACATCGCCAAACAAACGACCTCGAGTTTCATTTCCATCAAACGGCGGCATGAAATACGCGAAACACTGGAAATAGGAGTATAGTATCAGGATAAAAATGATTTCGAAAACGATGCATGAGTATGCCCGTTCGAATACACTATCGACTTGCTTCGCAGGAGAGTCTGGTATCGTCGTGGCAACTCGGGATGACTTGCCTCTTCTCTATCTTTTTACTCCTCCGCAAACGGGTCAAGGTCATTGCTAGAACGCCAAAAAGTGGCCACAAACTCTGCCATCTGAGTTGAAAATCGATCAGGAGGAGCGTATCGCCGACAAGACATCACAACTGGGAATCGGCCTTGCCAAGGACGTGATGAAAGGAGCCAGCAGTCCATAACTCAAGTTGAGCAGTTGTATGGAAGGAAGTTGTTGAAACCCCCGGTCGTCGAAGGGAAACGTTGATCAGAAGTCAATATGTCTAGAAAGTATGTGTGTATTGTCATGGAAATGTCGATCATGATCCAGAACGGACCCCAAGACCAAAGGTAAGGGAGAAGAATGGGTGGTTGTGGAAGGTGGAATGTTGTGTTCTGTTGATTTTCTGATTGTGGGGAGACAAACAAAAGCATGCCCATGACGGAGAAGAGAGAGAGCAAAAAGACACAACGGCGTGGTAGACAAATGGAGACAGACAGACAGGAGAAAGAGAATACCCCATCTGGGTTGCATTTGAGTATGCTTCATTGCTGTTGTGTAATGTGCGTATGACATATGGACTGAGAAAAAAAGGGGCACAAAGTAAGGTCAGGTTGGGTGGTCACTGTGTCACTCTCTTGTCTTGCTCTTCTTTGTTCGTTTGTTTTTTCTTGTTCTCTTGTTCTCTTGTTCTCTTGTTCACTTTGACATTCATTCTTTCTCATTCATTCCATCACCACCCTCCTACCCACCTTTCTTTAACTTTTTGTAATTAGACCACAAGCGACCTTCAGCCAGGACAGTCAGGATGGCAACTCCGGAAGGTTCGTGCCCTCCGCTCTCAATTCCAGCACCCTCTTTCTCATTCGGCTTTGTTGTGTGAATGACCCAACATCAGCAAAAACAACGACGACGAACCCTCACTCACCCCCCTTCATTGCTTTTTTGTCTTCCTTCCTGCGTTGGCTTAGATTCCCATGTCCTCAGGCAGCTGATTGACCAGATCGATGGCGAACGTAAGTTACCACTGGTAGAGACTTAGCCCAGCTTGGAGAGTCAGGAGAGCGCGCTCTCATAGGCTGTGTGTCTGATCAAACAACCTTGTTTGTCTCTTTTTTTCTTATCAATAGTGTCCACCTTCAACACCGTTGGTGCAGGATCCGACCAGTCGCTCACCAGCTTCAGCACCAGCCAAGGTACAACAATATGCTGTCGCTGTACTTCCTGTCCATTACTCTTCTGGCAACCATGAGCATTGTACTCATGTACTGTTTTCGTGCTGCATCAATAGGTTCTCTGGCTCCTTCAGATCAAACAGACAGTAAAGGAGAATCATCGCTCTCACTAGACTCGCAAGGATATCAGGATTCGCGTGCATACCAACCCCACTACCCAACCCTCCAACAACAAACCAGACAACATGTTACCTCTGCAACCTCTGCCATCTTTGGCTCTTCATTCGAACGACCTAATCAACAACAACAGCACCAACCCCTTCCGCCAACAACAACAACAAACTATGGCTCTACCTCACTCAACATGAACGGCAGCTACTATATGGGACCTCGTGCGCCTCAATACATCCCCTCACCACTCGCCTCGCCCATCTCCCCTGACCAACCGACTGCGCTGCCGGGATTGGATCAAGAAGGAGATACGCTCATCGACTCTGCTGAAAGGTCACGCCAGTCGACATCGTCTCAGGGGTCGCTTTTGGCTGTTAGTGAAGATATTGCACAGGACCAAATTCAGCCCTCTTACACCCCAGAGGTGATATTTGACTTGGAAGAGGTGTCAATTGTTGAGGGAGATAGGGAATATGATCAGGTCGTGCCCGCGGAGCAAGGATTCGATGACCAGATCAAAGTCGATGTGACAGAGCTGTACGACAACTTTGGGCAGCCCCCTTCTACGACTGCCAAGAGCAACGACACCTTGAGCAGCGTTGGTGGAATGACAAAGATCGAGACCCACATCCCTGACTCGCCTTTGACGCTCAAGTTGCCGGAACTTTCGTTCTCGAGTAGCGATTTGGGCTCACTTCTCGCCAGTGGACCTGAAGGTATCGAAGGAGAGGGAGACAAGAGGACACGCTCACACACCTTTCACGGAACGGCCACCGACATTGTCGACTTGACTCAGGATAACGGTGCCAACGACGCCTCTCAGCCATCACCTGCCCTCCAATTCACCGGCCCTTCGCCTGTCCTGCCTCCAGCCAACTCGTTAAAGTATCCTGCAGCCTTCCCACCACACCAGTCCTCTCCCTTGAAAGTAGGCTACTTTCCATCAAACGACTCTGCGCGGGATCTCAGTCGAACCAATACTATGACTGGCAATAACGAGCAAGATCTAGAAGCCGGAGGGCCAGAAGACAACTTGTCGCACATTAAGGATCTTACTCGGACGGACAGGAAGAGATTGAGCCTTGTTACTTCCGGTATGGGTCTGGCTGCAGCATCAGCTGCTGCGGCCGCGTCTCGGACACAGCTGGACAATACGGCTGGGTCGGAATCAGGCCTTGGAAAAAGCTTTCTGGACCTTCCAAGCTGGGACCTCGCCCCTCTGTCGCCACCAGTCGATGTCAAGGAGACCATGGCCTCGACGGCGACATCATCTGCATCCACTTCGCCCATGAATGCCCGCCGTGCATCGCTTGGATCAAAACTACAGGACTCTCCTGGAACTGACTCCCCATCCGTCAACGACATCCTGTCCCCAGCTTCTGCGACATTGATGACCCCAACAACACCTTTAACGACTCGTGAAGCGAGGATCCTGGCTGGGCGTGAGGCTTTGCTTCGTACGATGCCTGACAAGCAGCGGCTCCAGAGAGGGATATCTGCCTCCTCGACATCGTCGTCCATTGCATCGTCCAGCGAAAAGTCGACGGTGGTCGGGCAGGATATGGGTCATGCAGGTCAGGATGCGCAGGATGCCGCCCGAAGTGCAGCTACAAAGAGCCGACAGAGCCACAGAAGCGTTCAGAGCCAGTCCAGTGAAGGAGGTGTCTTTGGGGCTGTCCCAGGTCGTGGCCAATTGGTGGATGTCCCACCCGAGAAGTTGGTCTTTCCGGACTTGAGTCTGAAGCCAATTCCACTCAAAGCATACCGCGTCCGCAAGATGACACTGCAGGAGAGGAACATGACCTACTCACTCGCCTGCGAAGAATTCACTCGAGCAAGATCTGGCCTTGATGTCTGGGCACTGCGCTGCATGATGCAGGATCGTCCAGCTTTGATGAAAGGTAACATTTATTTCTCGCACAAATGCAACAACCATATCAAAACAAAGAAATAGGCCATTCACTAATGTTGCCCTGCACTTACTATGGCATTAGATCCGCCGGCGATTGTCAGAGCTATTGTTGGAAAGCAGGCGCAAGGCCACGGTGATACTTTGGTGTCCAAGTTGTCGATGGCTAATGGTCGCATGACACCCAGTGCCCTTCACGCCGGTAGTCCTCTGACCAGCAGCATCAGCAGCGGCCATGGATTAGGCGCCAGGATCAAAAACGCAGGCAAGCGCTTGTCAATGGATATCTCGGGTGGCATGGCACCCACCCCTGAGCCACACCATCCCTCCGGCACTGGCTCCGTGCTCTACAAGCAAAAGAGCACCAAGTCTGCTGTAGAGCTGGGATCCTGGTCCCCTGGGCTGGCTCGCAACTTGTCGAGCCTCGGTGCGGCTGCTGTCAACTCTGCCATACCTCCTGCACCGCAAGTGGCGAGCGGCCGCAGGAACTCTTCTTCTGCGTCGTTGCATCGCGCTGGATTGATTTCGTCTCCGTCCTCTGGGGGCTCGGCGTTCCTGTCCCACCAAAAGCGTAACAGTATTGCTGCTGTTGGTCAACAAACCCCTCTGTCAAACTCACTGAGAAGTCGAACTATGTCGGATGTCCAGGCTGGAAGTCGAATGTCCATGCTTGGAAAGGATTCGCCTGTGAATCGAACGAATAGCAGCAGCAGTATTGGATGCCAGAACAAACAGCAACAGGGCTCTGACTTGGCTATTTCTCCTCTCCCTTACCGCTCTGGTGGACCTCTTGCGCTCATTTCCCCCACAACTACGTCTTCCCCGCCCATCGCCACGTCTTCTGCCTTCATGGAGCGCCCCGTCAAGAGAAGCCTTTCGAGTCATTACACCCGCCGTCCTGCCAGCATGATGATTGTTCCGAGCGCTGGGCAGATCTCAGGAACAAGTCCAGTGCCACGATCCACCTCCAATGGATCGCTTGGCTCTCTGTCGAGCTCCTCTCTCGGATCTGCGTCGTCAAGCACTGTGTCTGACTCATCAAAGGGCACAGGAGACTTGAACACCTCATCAACTACGTCTTCTCTGGCAGCTGGGCTAAAGCAGCAGCAGCAGGACTCGGCAACGACAGAGAGCGCGCGACCAACCTATGCTTACCAACCTGATGGAACTGCGATCCCGTATGCTGATGAGACAAAGAGCAAGGATGAAATCTATTCACCCTTGACCTCCCCCATCATGATTCCGATCGGTGGGTTCCCAGTTGCTCGGCCCAGCGTGCAGACAAACAGCTACCAGGCCAGCGGTGGATGGTCGAGTCCGCTCTCAGCAGGAGGTGGAGGACTGTCACGGCCCTTGACATATGCAGGACCATCCTCAGCAGGTCTTGGATCGAGCTCTTCGCTAGTCACTTCGCCTGCGACTGTGGCGAGAGAGCAACAACAGTCTCAGCAGCATCAGCATTGGCAACAGCAACAACAACAGAGACAACAATCCTTCGCACAAGGGTACCTCTCGCCCACGACACCCGACCGTGGAATGGTGGAGCCTTTCAAGGAGAAGACAGAAAAGAGCCACCGGTACTCGTCTGCGTCGTTCTCGTCGATTGCGTCGTTTGCCAAGAACCAGAAGCGGAACAGCAAGAAGGATCGCAAGAAGGAGCTACAACAGGAGCAGGAGCAATTGGGGCAACAACAAGAAAAGCAGAAGCGTGCGTTAGACCAGCGGTATTCTGTGGCGGCGGTGCCGTTGAGCCAGTCTCCGTCGCACAACAGCGATTATTTGACGGAGCAGAGTCTTGACAAGCTGAGCGATGTGTTGCCACATGTGGACCGGGACCGGCTGTCGATATATCTGCAGCAGGCGTATGGCGATGAGATGGTGGCGATTGGGCTTGCTATGAGCGACCTCCGTTCTGGTCAACTCTAGCACCCTTGGAAACCGGCCGCGAGTGTGAAAAGTGATTGGGCGAAATGAAAAAAATAAAAAGGTGTACCCTTAATCGACGTAAGATTTGTTCCCGTGGATGGCAGCATGATGCGCACTTGGCTTCCTTTCTTTCTTTTTCTCACCTTTCTTTTGCTGTGTTCTTCTCCCTCCCTTGCACTTGCAACCAATACTTCCAACACCCTTTACTATTCCCACTAACAACCAACAAACAACTTTGCCTATCAATACCCGAGTGGACATTTCCTAACAGCAAATGAGACACCCACGGCTCTACTTGCTCCCCGTCGCCCTCCTGGCATGGGCCACATGTGTCGTCGCCTCAAAGACAGTAATCGACCTCGTCTCCACCGACCCAGGATTCTCAATCCTCATCAAACACCTCCAAAAGCTCCGCCTCATCCCTTTCATCAACGAGCGCAAAACCTGCACCTTATTTGCCCCCACCAACGGCGCCTTCTCTCAGTGGGAAAAGGATAATCCGGGCAAGCGCATGGACAAGGAGACTCTTCTCTACCATATCCTTTGGGAGAGTGTTCTTACTCAGTCCTTTAAGGATACTATGCTCCTCGAGACGACGCTTATTAGGGACGGATACCTGGGCGACAATAATCAGGGCCAACTGGTTGCTGTTTCGAAAGGCTCGTGGCGACCAGGGAGAATTGGGAAAATCTTTGTTGGTGGTGCCGAGTTACTGGAGAAGGATTGGCAGGCGGATAACGGCGTTGTCCACGTTGTCAATCGATTGATGGCGCCTCCAGTCGATCTGGGTAAGTCATCTGCTCGTGCCACACACAACGACGTTGTTCTCCTATTTTTGTTGGGTTTTGTCTCCTTGCTCGTTTTTCGTGCGTAATGGAGTTGTAATAATGTAACACCATGTTCTCAGACGATTCATGCAAAACAAATCCTCACTGGCCAATATCATGCACAATGGCACTATTTTCAATCCTTTTTTTTTTAGTGGAGACCATGAAGAAGCACCCAGACCTGGAGTTCCTTTACGACATCGTTCACAACGCAGGACTCGATGACCTCTTGCGCAAGCATCGGCCCTTCACTGTCTTTGCACCCTCGGTCGAAGGCTTCAAGAAACTGAACGCGATTCAAGTCCAATACCTCCGACACGAGCAAGGGCGTCAGGATTTGGCCATTACTTTCCACCATCATATCCATCGCGGCGCTATTTACAGAAAGGATATCCTCCCCGGGACCAGCAGCTTGTCTACTGTAGAGGGTCAAGACTTGATGATCAACCTGGACGACAAGTTGCTGGTCGACAATGCTGAGGTGGAAAAGACAGACATCCTGGCATCGAACGGCGTGATTCACGTCGTCTCGCGGCCATTGCTCCCGAGTGCTCTTGTGTGGACAGCTGGAAAGTACTTGGTCGGTCTGAACGCGACACGGTTTGCGGACGAATTGCGACAACAGGGTATGAGCCATTATATTGACGACCCGGACGTCAGCTACACCATTTTTGCGCCTCGGGACGATGCCTATCCACCAGGAAGCCTTAGCTCTTTGGCTGACCCAGGCGAGATTCTACGATATCACATTGTTTCCGGCAAGAAGGTGCTCTCGGACTTTAAGGACGGTCATCTCTTGGAGACGGAGCTGATTACTGAGCAATTAAATGGCCATGCACAGCGGTCCAAGGTTGGCATCAAGCAGGATCGGAGGCATACGACTATCTCTCTTGCCGGTGTCGAGATCAAAGTGGAACCAGGTATTTGCTAAGAGGCATCTCTTCGTTTTGTCAGTTACGTCAGTTGTGAGGTGCGATTTGATCCAATATTGACAAAACCCAATCTATTTCTCTTATGCGGCGATAGTTCATGTCGGAAAGTCCCTTATTTATTTGCTGGATCGTCCCTTGCAACTTCCATTGCCATTAGTCAAGACGATGAAGTCGGACGAGTCACTGTCAGGATTCGCGCAAGCTTTGAGCGCCACGGGACTTGGACGCAGGTTGTCGGATGCTCGTGAGGTCACTGTGTTTGCACCTAGCACAGCTGCATGGGGCAACTTGGGTGTTGTCAACGACTACCTTTTGCTCAAGGAAAACTCTTCCCTGGCTGCGTTGGAGGCTGTCACCCGCTATGCTATCGTTGACGGCCTCTATTACACTGCGGACATCAAGGCAGGACGTACGACACTGATCACTTCTGAGGGCAGCGAGCTGGTGGTGGAGAAGAATGGGGACAACATTCATGTTGGAGAGGGTCGACTGGAACGGTCAGATCAAGTTGGCGGTCTTGTTACAAGAAAAGGTGTGTCAATAACGTCTGTGCGTATTAATAATTGTTTTGTTTTTGGACGTTGGTACTGTTCGATCTGATCCAAGATATTAATTATTATTCCTTGTTTATGATTTCTGTAGACGTGTTGGTGGAATCTGGAGTGGTTCACACGGTGTCTTCAGTCGCTTTGCCCCCAACACTCGACATCACGCTTTACAACGTTTTGCAAGGAGCCGGCACCAAAAGCTTCTTGAAGGCGTTCGAGACGTCCAACATCACCCGCATCCTCACCAACTGGGAAAAAGACTATACTCTGTTTGCACCAACAGACGAAGCCTTCCAGAAAGCTGACCTTGAGGGAGCCCTGACCGACCTAGAGTTTGTGGCGCGTCTTGTGCGTCTGCATGTCATCCCCGGCAAGGTCATTCTGTTGGAGGAGGATATCAGGGACGACGAGGCTAGCATGCTGAACAATGACGCTAGATTGAGCTTCAGGGATGTTCATCGCGATGGAACTACGTTTGGTGTTCGTGTCAAGGGCGCCAGATCCAAGAAAGAGGCTCGTGTTGTTGCCCAGGGTCTTGCTCACCCCGCTTGGCCAGATGAGGAGGAGCAAGGTACTTTGACCGCTAGAGGACAATCTAGAATGAGACGTCAAGGGACTGGATCTTCCGACGACACTGCTGGCATCATGTCAGCTCCACGACCGGGCGGTGTTGTTTATGTGATCGATCGTGTTCTCTTGCCTGGCGACCCCGATCCCTTGGGAGAAGCTTGGTTATGGATGAGCATTGCGCTGTTGGCGCTTATTGGCACGACTGCCCTCTGTGGATTGACGACTGTAGGACTTTATGCCTTGATTACAGAGATTCGTCACTTGGAGGGGTATGACCGTGTCCCGACTACTGACGAGGAGGCCGCTACTGAAGGAGATGGCTCGGAGGGCGGAGTGCCTCCCGCTCAACCAGCTGAGGCTGCTGCTGCTTCTGCACCAGTTGCTGAAGAAAGAGGAGATCACTCGGAGGGCAGAGTGCCTCCTGTTCAACCAGCTGAGGTTGCGGCTGCTGCTGCTGCAGGAACACCAGTTGCAGAATAAGCGACGAATGGTGCCGAGCGCGCCAACGGCAATGGCAACAGCGAATTGATACGCTGAGACTGTTTCAGGAGAGTCTACTCCAATCGCCGCCACAGAAGCAGCTCAATGTGATGCCAAGGAGCCTGGAACCCACGCGTAGAAAATGATATGTAGATAGTCGTTGTTTGTTTTTGTAAATACACATTTTTTATTTAACCGTTTTTGTTAGCTGTCTGCTTCTTATGCTATTATTCAAGGTACTTCTGGACTTTGAACTCGATGTCGGGTCTCAGGTTAGAAAACACTTTTGAAGCGCGTTCGTCGTGAAAGATGTTCACGGGATCGATTGCCCAAACCATTGTTCGGAGGTGTGGCCAGCAGCGGTATACAGACTGGTCTTTTTTTGCGAACAGCGGCGCCGCTTGTTGCGATCCCGTTGAGCTGACAGCGGTGGCGACGACCAAATTGGTCCATCCAATGGCGGACCTGGTGAGGGTTATCTTTGCAAGCCAGTCGTCGTCGGTTTTGAAGACTTCCATGACCCTCGATGGCATGTTGGTGTAGAGTTCTGTAGGGTGTTTTTGGATAACAGGCACATGTTGCTGTGGGCGAGTCTTTGGTGGTATCGATGAGGAGGAAGAGGAAGAACCGGATAGTTTGTAAAGGAATGCTTTGATACTTTTCTTGGGCCCCTTGTTGGTGCTACCAGTATTGGGGTTGATAGCGCCGACGGTAGGGGCGCTGCTGCTGCTGTTGGGGTTACCGTTGCTGCTGTTGGGGTTACTATTGCTGCTGTTAGTGCTATTGTTGCTTTGAGCTGTAGCATTGTGAGCTGCTGTAGTAATGGCTGGTGTCGTGACTGGTGGTGCTGTTGAGGCGTTGGTTCCTGCTCCTGTTCCTGTTCTGGTTGCGATCGTGATGGTTGATTGTGAGGTGGAGGTGGATGTCGTTGGAGTAACTGCTGCAGATGCGGCCGTCGCTCCGACCGCTGTCATCTCCTGCTGCTGCTCGCCACTACCACCAGCAAGAAAAACGTCGTCAACGCCATTGTACCCAATCCAATCAACATCCTTTTCACGCAAGCGGAACCCCTTCGTTTGACTCCAGATCACCAACTGCTCCAACTCTCTCAACTGCGTCAATAGACATAACCCGCCCTCAAGACTCAGATCCAAAGAGTATTTCCGGATATGCAGATCTCTCAACTGAGGACAGATCCGTGCAATGAAACCGAATAGGATCCGGGACTCTTCGGTGATGAGACGTTTCCTGGGGCTGCTATCGTCGTGACCGTTGGGGGTATAGGTTTCCTTGGCTTTGAAGCCTAGGTGGAGGGTTTCGAGGTTCCTGCAGGCCCAACCCCAGGTCTTGGTTTTGGAGGCTGACCATTGGGAGTTGTTTGCGCCGGACGCTGCGGCTGACATGAAGGATGTTGCTGGGTGTTGATGTTGATAATGGTGCTGGCCGTCCGCTGTGGTTCGCAAAATAGAGGCGCCAGCTCCGTTGCTGGGCTGAACGTCCTTCATTTCTAGAAACTCCGTCCAGTAATTGACCTTGGGTGCAACCAAATGCTGTAAATGAACCGCTTCCGTCAAAAACGCGTGCAAGTTGCTGATAAGACTGTCCTCCTGTGAAAACCGATACGCCAGCAATTCCAGTCTCGTCAAATGGTTGACATAGAACTCTAGTACACCCAACCGTGGAGTGTCCGGTCCAACACCACCTGCATCGGTCTCGTCGATCCCGATCCCGATCGGTTGTCGATACGATTCCAGGTCTTGACAAGGGAGTCCCAATCCAGTAAGAGTCGGGAGTGCTTCACACATGGTCATGGAGTCGGGGACGAGGAGGGGGCGATGGAAGATTGAAAAGTGGAGGTGTTGGAGATTTGGACATGATCCACTAAGGTCACGGAAAAATGTAGGACGATGGAAGATTGGAGGGTTCACGGGGTGTGAATTTGGGATCTTTAAAAAGCGGATCTCGAGCGAGAGGAGCGAGGGTAGGGTTTGGAGCATGGACTTGATTGCAGATTGACTGGACATTGCATGGCGGAGGATGAGTGTCTGCAATCCGTATCCGCAACGAAGTGGTGGTCGAGATGCGAGGGGTTGGTCGATATACTTCGTTAAAGAATCGCCCAGGAGCTTTTGCTGTTGTCGCTGAATGACGATAGACCGCTGTGAAGGAGGCGGACCCCACAAGACACGATCGGTAAGGACATACTCGACGGAAAGGGTTTTCAAACTCGGACAAGACGCGAGGAGGATGTCGATCCGAAGAGGACCCTTGATGAGCTTGTCGAGGACAAGTGTTGATAGTGTTGGGAAGACCTCCAGAAATACCTCCAGCCTTGTGTGGAAATCGTACGCATCCTTGAGGACCAATTTTTTCACACGCGCTGTTCGCTGCAGGGTGGCGAGAGGCGGTGTCAAATCTCCGAATAGAATGCTGTCCCTGTCCTCGTCCCTGTCCTCGTCCCTGTCCTTTTTTGCGCCCACTGCCGAGGACGGGGTGGTGATGGAGGTGTTCTTGGGATGGTACTGAACAACAAGGATATCCGTCCTCACCAATCGTTCAAGACAGACGATCTTGGCTTCAGAGAGCGAGCAATCCCTCCAGATAGCCTCGATAGAAAGACATGGTCGTGCGATGGCTGCCCAGGTGGAGCACACGAGTCTTGAGGCGAGGAGAGATTTCTGGTCGAGGAGGGACAGGATGGGCTCGAGGATTTCTGGGATGAATAAAGGAGTGTGGTGCGGATTTGTCCTTGCTTTTGTTAGATTGGGGGACTGGTTGGGGTGCTGTTGTTCTTCTTGGTGTCGTTGTCGAGAAGGTAAAGGGGGGTGTTGTCGTTGGGACCAGGTACGGTGCATTGAGGTGATTGCATCCATGTGTATGAATTGAATGTGTAGTTGGTCGTTGGAGAGACAGAAGTTGATGGACAAGGTTAAAAGAAGAGTGAAGAGTAAAAGAACACAAGAAGTGAGAAAACAAAAGTGAGTCGACGCCCCAGCCCCCCAGGACACGAAAGGAGTTGCCACCAACTTTTGTAAGAATTTCGGTCTGGTGATACGTGTGATCTCTGTCGACTCATTTCTCTTGAAAACATTCGACTCCTTTGTTGATCACATCAGTGAGTGAGACTGATTGACTGTGTGTCCCTGCGATGATACTCAGCAGATGCTATGCTCCCTTTCAGCTATCTCATCTTCAGCCCCTCACCGCCGGCTAGGTAGTTCTTTGCGACGGCAGTTTTTATTTTACTATGAGACAGAGGACCCAACTATCGAACATAACGCAACAATAGCTAGCTACGGGACCCCTCACTCCTTTCTCACATCACAGGTGCAGTTGAGTTGGAGAGTCTGTTGGAGTATGGTTCGGTGTTTGAGGAGGAGGAGACAAGGTGGATAAAGGAGCATTGGAAGAGGCTGAGGCAGATATCGCAGCCTACGCATCCAGACTCTGAGCGGATGTGGGAACTCAACCAGGCGATGTACCTCCCTGGGGTGAACGTCTATTAATTTTATTACTGTAGGTGTTAATAAAGGAAATAAGCAGACCCTTGGGGCTATGTTGGGCTGGGGTAAAACTTCAAACACAATGGTACAGAAGGTACATACATGCCATACTTCAAGAAAGAAATAAAGAAACTCCACAGTCACCCCTTTTTGCCTTATTTTCTACTTATTGTTCCTTCCTTTTCTCCTTTTCCCTCAACCAACAAGTCTTTTCTCACGCGCACAACTCTTCTTGCAAGTCCTCACCTACATTCGCCTTACCCTTTCGCAACAATGGAACTCCAGCCGGCCCATATCCAGGCCCTCGACCTGCCCGAGATCATGGACCTCATCGGTCACTACCTCTCCAAGGGCACCCTCCTCAACTGTATCCAAGTCAACCGTTCCTGGCACGACTACTTTGTCCCCATTCTCTGGAAATCTTTCGTCTTCTCCGCCTACTCGTCCCAACCCCGCCCACCAGTCGAGGCCTTCCTCAAGTACGCCCACCACATCCGCCAGCTCGAGTTCGGTGGCCTCAACTCGCCCTGGTACATGTCCATCGGTTGCAAGAACCTTGATTTCCTGAAGGTTGTAGGGGAGAGGTATGTGTTGGAGGATTCGGGGGAGGATCCGTTGACGAATCTGGTTCAGGAGAATCCGAGCTTGCAGAGGTTGATTCTGTTTGATGTCCAGCCTCATCCGGAGGAGGCGTTTTGGGATGCAGTTGCGGGATTGACGGAGATGAAATCGTTGATTGTTAACAGGACTGAGATCCCTCCGCACAGTACTCAAGCGTTTTTCAGGGCCATCTCGACTTACACCCCAACTTTGTGCCTTGACAGGGTTTATTTCAAGCCTATCAGACTCGGGATGGAGGAGGACGAGAAGGAAGATGAAGGGGAGGAAGGGGCTCAAGATCAAGCAGAGGGAGTAGAACAACAGTATGGATCGAGCGAGGAGACAGCACAGACTGAAGGGGGAGGTGCTCAGAGCCACGAGGACACAGCCAGCAACACCAACAACAACGACACCGACAACGCGTACGACTGCGAAACCGAGACCAGCTTCTTTTACGCTTCTGAGGTGCCCCCCGAGGTGACCTTTTCGCGCCTAAAGACACTGTACATGTTTGACCTAGCCGGCACTGGTTACGACAAGCAGCCCTGGATCCTCGAACACGCCCCTCGTCTCGAACACCTGTCCTGGAGAGGCGGCTACGATTTCGAGTTCCCTACCGAATCCTTCACCTCAGCCCTCGAATCCGGCCAGCTCTCCCGCCTCGAGTCACTCGAAGTGCGAGGTTCACACCTCAAGGACTCCGAGATTGCCCAGATCCTGTCCCGCATGAACCGTCTTGTCAAACTTGTTGCGCCCCGTACAGAGTTGGGCCCCCTGGCGATGAAACAGCTATTCCAGCATTACGAGACGGTCCGTGAGTTGAATATTAGTGGGTGTGAGAATGTCCGGAGTTGGATGATCCAGATGTTCCTGTGCAAGTTTGTGGCGTTGGAGGTGTTTATGGCGGATATGCTTTCGTTACAGGACATTACAACTGATCCTTGGGCTTGCTTGAAGTTGAGGAAGTTGTCGTTAGATTTTGAGTTGGGGTATGTTGATAAGGAGGAAGGTGTTGTTGGGGAGGAGAGTGATGATGACGAGGATGAGAACTGGGCAAATGTTGATGCAGGTGAAGAGGGCGATAACGAGACTACAGAGGTCGACGTGGAGGCAGAAGTGGCTGACGTTGGTGAAGAGGAAGGAGAGACCACGCCAAAGGAGGATGAACTGACCAGGGTCGATGAGGCGATCGCATATCTGGAGCGAATTGTGGTTGAGACGGCTATTGCTGAAGGTGAGAAGGCCAATGAGCAGGAAGAAGCACTACCAGGCGTTACCGCGACGGCTGAAGGAGTGGCGATCACAACCGATACGACAGGCGACGTTGTTGCGGTCACCCAATTAAGCGAGGATACCACGGCGGAAGGGGAGGAGGGTGAGACAGAGGAAGCAGAGGCGCTGTTTACGCCTGAAGAGATTGCGGCTGCGATGGTGCCTGCACAATGGGACCAACAGCAGATGGAGGCTGATGCGGCAGCCGCAGAGGCGGAAGAGAACCCAGACGACCTTTGGAAGAACCTCGTCCCCTACGTCTATTCAGAAGAACGCCAACGGGTCATTTTCGAGCGTCTCAGCCAACTCAAGTACCTCGAGGAGCTCAACATCAAGCAACAGACGGAACGACCTTATTCGGCTGCAGAACAGTTGAGAGCGGGAGTGGTTCAGAAGGTGTTGGACCTGAGTCTTGATAATGGGATGGGATTGTTGGCCGTTTTGAGCCGGTTGCGAGAGTTTTATTTCCCGGGTCCACAGGAGATGGAGGAGAGGGAGGTGTTGTGGATTATTGAGCATTGGGGTGGGAGGTTGACGCATATGACGGGGGAGTTGAATCGACGACGGAGGGTGAATAAGAGGTTGTTGAAGCTATTGAGCGACCACCATATCAACGCTGCCATGTGCATGCAATAGTGCTTTCAATACAAAAGTCATATTGCCGACAGTGGCGATGTGACGGTGTATGTTTGAATGGGGAATTGAAGGTTTGGTCGATGGGCGTGCTCCGCCACAGGGGTCGAGTCGACCTTCGTTTCTTCCCATGTTGGACAGGTAGAGAGCGATTAAGTTGAGAGCCAAACAAACAAAAAAGGACTCGATAGTGGATAAAAAAAGTGTGGGAGCGGAAGACAAGGAAGACAAGGGGGAGAACGAGAGAAGGGAGAACACAAAAAAGTGGGACAAGAGACACAACCGCGCGGACGAGACAGCAGAGAGGCAGGGGGTGCGAGTGACTAAAAGGGGCGAGTGAGTGTTCCTGCGTGAGGTTAGTGCGCCTGTCTCCTGTCTTGTAGTAATCAAGATACCAGGGATAAGAGGAAGGTTCTTTTTTTCTTCTCTCTCTTCCTTCTCTACTTTCTCTTCATACATACATACATACCCTCTTCCTTCCTTCCATTCACTGTCTGCACCCATCAGACATTCTCATTCCTCCTTCTCTCTTCGCTCCCTCTTCCTCCTTCCTCCTTCCTCCTCTTCCTCCATCATTCAAATGACATACACGTTCTCATTCTCGGCTTCTACCCGCAAAAAGCCTCCCTCCTCCTCCACAACACACACGACCACTCACACGACAACAACAACAACAACCACAAAACCAGGAACCGCCGTGGCCCTACCAATGCAACTACCCGAAATCCTCTACATTATCTTCTCATACCTCAGCGACCACACCATCCGTCACTCTATCCGCTTCGTCTGCAAGCAATGGCTCGCCATCTCTCGGCCCTTTGTCCAGGCCTCGGCACTCTGGAAGGACAGGAAATCCAACGAATACAAGCACGGATTCATCCTCAACCGTCTCCACCATGTCACCATCCTCCGCGTCCTCTTTGAACAGACCTGGCAGCTCAAGAATACTCAATTCGCGTGGGGTGAACTTGCCGAGAAGATTGATACCCTCAGGAACAAAGGACAACTACGGATATGGAAGCTGGAGCTCAATGGAGCTAACTTTCTCGAGTCGAGGATTTATACCATTATACCCAGGATTACGACCCTCACCCACTTGCGCATTGAACGGGTGGTCCAGCAGGTTGTTCATGTCGGCGTTATCCTCGCAGTCGCGCCCCACCTGAAGAAGCTACATATCGAAGGAACCAAGGCTCAGTTGGCTCACACAGTTGAGTTTGACACCACCCCAGCTTGGACAGACTCATCGCTCCAGGATGGAATCAAAGCCGTCGACTCGGAGCTTGTCAACCTCACCATTAAATGGATGTCCATCGACCAATCCACGCTAGAGTCAATTGTTACCCGGTGTCCCCAGCTGGTGACTTTGAGGCTGGTCGAACTCGGACGGGCTGCTTCACAAGCAGAGCCCTTTGACCGGTCAAGTCTTTTCACGTTGGTCTCGTCGGCGTGTCCGTTCATGTCTTGGTTCCACCTGTCGTTCGAGGGCCAGTCCATGAGTCGGGAAGAATCGATTGCCTACACAGAGACATTTGACCCCCAGCCGGTTGAAGAGACAATCACGGCGATGAAGACCAGGATCCAGCAGAGACCAGAGTCTCGACGAGTGATGAGTATCCTTAGCAACGACATCCGACCCGAGACCCATCTGCAGCTCTTCAGGACGCAGGTTGTCCATGTCAACACCATCACGACGCTCGAGATTTGCCTGGGCGACGGACTTTTGTTATCCCGGTATGTCAGCCATACACTCCACGACATTTTGTGCTCCTCCCCCTGGCTGCAGCATCTGATAGCGCCCATGATCCCCTACTACGCCGAGTATTTTGACCTCGAGGGCCGCGTCGATTCCGTCTCCGGATCGTACCATCCACGACAATGTAGACAGGGCAAGCAGCCTATGGACCTTTTTCGGACCCGAAAGCGAATATGGGCCTGTCGCGGACTGAAGACACTTCGGATCCTGATCGAGTCGATGGACACCGATCATGCCAGCGAGGAGAACGCAAGAATCATGTTTGGGTACCTCGTCAGAGTCTGTCCAGACTTGCAGGAACTGTCTATTCGACGACGCCAACTGAACCTGAACCTGGCAGGGGGGATGTGTCTGTTGACGAGGCTGCGCAAGCTGGAACGATTGATGATCTGGACCGACACATGGACAAAGTTTTCCAAGAAGGATCTTGAGTGGATGGCGCGTGTACCCAAGAAGAAGAGCATGGAACAATGGGTTCTTGGGTTGGCTACTGGATCCAGATCACCCAAACGAGGAGGAGGCGAGGATCGTCAACACTATCAACAAAAATACTACCCCAATGGCATGTCTCGTCAAGGGATGGCTGTCCGCACCTTCAGTTCGGCCTCAACATCGTCTTCGTCCAGTGCCGAAAGTCGATCGGATGGAGAGATAAGAGGAAACGATACGGGGACGCCCTTGACGATTGAGGACATGAGGGCTGTGGGAAAAATGGCGGACATTGAAGTATGGGAGAGAGAGCAAGAGTCGATCAAGAGGCGCAAGTCTGGCAGCAGTCGCGGCATGGGTCGAACCAAAAAGCAACAGCAACGCCGACAACGTTTCGACCAGGAGGATGAGAGTATATGTTGGCCCAAGCTCGAGTTTCTGGGTCTGCAGCTAGTGATGGTCCATAAGGAGCAGCCATTGAGGTTGGAGGAGCACCTGCCGGCGATGATTGCCAAGATCCGGCCCGAAACCAAGTTTAGCTGTGAGGCAGGCCGTTGGCACGAGATGAACTAGTTTTACGTGTTTGAAGTACTGCATCAAGGGAACACATGGATACCATTCCACATAGACAATCAATCAATACAACGCTTGTGCCTCCCCCCTATCTCAGCATACTTTTTAATCTTTGGCTGTTCTTTTTTTCCTTTCGTTCCCTCTACCGTTTTACCCATACACTCACACACCACTCATTCAACGTCCGCGCCATCCACTCAATGTCATCAGCAACAGACCCACACCAAAATCTGGGACATCCCCGAGCTGCTAATGACCATCGGTCGCTTACTAGACCCTCCCACCCTCACGTCATGACCCTCGTCAACAAACTCTCCCACGCCCTCTTCTCCCCCCTCCTCCGCAACACCCTCATCCTGAAACTCAACGGCCACCGCCAAAGCCACCTCTCACTCCTTGCCCTCAAACACAACTCTGTATATATCCATCATCTTACGATCACGTTCCCTACAAATCTCGACTCTTCATTGTAGGGGTTGGGGTTGGAGAGGAGTCCGATTTCACTACACGACTGAGGAAAAGAATCGAGGCCAAGAGTTGTTGGATCGTATCATCAGAACTGCGTCCTCACATCTAAAGACGATCGAGTTCTACAACCTGTGGCCGATAAGGAAGGACAAAATCTGGGGTATGATCGCGGCAATGGTGCCAATGCCGTTGAGGGAGTTAAGGTTGGTGCAACTTTCGGTGGCGGAGGAGGAGATGGTCGGGATGGGTTTTGAAGGGCGTGTGCGAATACGGAGGGTTGGTGCTGGAGAGGGCCAATTTGTCAAAGACTCTGGCTATGCCGCTGGATGCTGTCTTGGACCTGGATGATGATGCGCTCTTGCGAGCTGCTTTTATTGGCAATAGTGGTGGCGACGGCAATGAAAGAAGGACGTCTCTTGTGAGTACGATAAAAGGAGCAACAGGAACACCAACAGGAACACCAACAAGAACAGAAATAGGCGGAGGAAGAGGGAGACCGTATAGTTTCTCGTGGGTGAGGCATTTGTCTCTACTCGGACCTCTCATCATTGGACTGGACGAACTGTCATTGATCCGGTACTGCCACAACCTCCAATCGCTCCACTGGGACGCCATCGCCCCTATCTTTGCCACAGATGTATCCTCCAACCCTCACGTCCCCGCCACACCCCCAGGTCTATCAACTCAGGAAGCACGTCGAGAAGAATATACCTGGCATAATCTAGAGTCGCTCAACCTGGACGGCGACGGCGCTACTGATATACACCTAGCCGTCATCCTCCAATGGTGCTTCCGTCTCACCACCCTCATAGTGCCCGGTACAGGGTTTGGGTACGCGGCAATGGCGGTGTTGGAGAACCATTTCGGGACATTACGAATTCATGATTGGGAGAGGTGTGTGTTTGCGAGAGGCGCGCAGACACAGACGGTGTTGGCGTCGTGTCCAAATTTGGAGAGTTTCAAGACGAATGAGTTCGTGGTTGATGAGAGGGTGGATGAAAGTTGGGTTTGTGAGGTGTTGGGTGCATTTACGGCGCAGGGGGTGGTTTTTTTGGCGACCGTAGATAAGTACGGTGGGAATGTGGAGGTGGTGAGGGAGGCGAAGAGGAAGGTTGAAGCGCGGATCTGTGGACTGGTCAAGGTTAAAGAGGTTCATCGAAAAGCATTTCTCGACCAACTTCGATAATTTAGCACATAAATAAAGAAAAGGTGCGTTTTTACATCCGCCTTCCCGCCTTTATTATGAGCCACCATTCAAAGTTCCAACAAGCGCTATCCAGGACCTTACTCTTTTCATCATCCATATAGCAATCTTTACGTAATCTCACTAAAACTTGGCCGATGGTTCCTCTTCCATTCCAAATCCTCCATCATCATCATCCTCTGCTCCTTCAAGAAATACAGATTCTGGAGGTTAACCCGTTCCCAGCGGAGGTCGAGTCCTTGAAGGTTGTGTAAAGGGTGGAGTCTTTTTGTAGAGTGCTTTTAGCGCCTGGTCTTTGGCGATACACCGTCTTCATCGCTGTTGATGGTAGTAACTTCGGAAGGACTCTCCTGATCATGCCCCAGATCAATCTCAGTCTTCCACTGTTGCAGACAACCTTACAAGCCCACTCCTGCCCAGTAACAACACCCTTGGCCAAATCATATCTATTCAAAACGACTCTAGCCACGGACAGATCTCCAAACTCCTGTACGATTTGATTGCTCCTCGTGCTACATTCATACCCGGTCCACACAAGATCCAACCTCCTAATTCCCACAAACAACATCCGACTCTCAAACGACCCCAGACTTGCGTCTCCAAACAAGCACCCTGCAAGGACAAAGACACCAGCTGTGCATCTCGAATAGAGTTGAAGAGGATATGTGATATTTCCAGATCCGTGTATTTGAGACGAAGGAGGGTGAGTGACTTGAGGAAGGACCATGTACGAGCAGTGGGTGCTTTCGAGATCTGGTCGAGGGGAGCGTGGTTATGTAGTTGGTCAAGGATATGTCTTCGAGGTTTGGACAGAGACACATCAGTAGCATCAGTAGGAGTTGCGCAGATGGTTGAACGGTAGTGGGAGTGGTTGGGGCATAGGAGGTAGATCCCCGGTATGTCGGATGTGGGTAGCCTTCGGAGATATCGACGAAGCATAGGGTCTTGATGTTGAGAAAGTAGATAGGCTCCTGACCCTGCTGCTGGTTGTTATTAGCGCTACGACGGAGATGTTAGATCAGAGTGGAGTAGCTGAGCTCAAGTCGCTCATTCGTCTTAGCGGGCCAATGACATCCATCTAGAACCGCTACCCCGCAATAGGCTCCTAAATAAACCGACGCAGCTCCAACGTTCCGAGCGACCCACTACCACTACCACATCCCGCAACAGTGCCCCAGAACCGTGCAGCCATGTTAACTGGAGGAAGGTCATTCACAGGTCTCAGTAAGTCCAATGTGCAGCTCCGTCGAAGGACATCAAGAACCGCATCCCAATGCACCTCCTCTGCTCCAGCCACACCCTGCCCTCCCCCAGTACTGCTCCCGATCATTCTCTTCATCCTCGCTTTCATCGACTGCATCAACGTCAAAGTCCTTAACTGGGTCAACCCCAGTGCAGAGGAATACTCGACCGAATGTTCCCCCAAAGCTCCAAGATTCAGAAACCTCTAATCCTGAACCATAGCTAGAGTGAGCTGATAGGCAGCTTCCTAGGGCGCGTCCTCTGCTGAGAAGTCGATGTCGAGGAAAGGTGGCGGAGACCAGACGGAGCGGAGGAAGGTGTGGTACCAGGACTTGCAAACTTGGATATACCTTGCAAAGGTCGCGGTGGCGGAGGTATGAGGAGACGTTGATTGTGATCTCGGGGAGGTCGAATGGTGAAATGGTCGGGGAGGGTTGGTGAGAAAGTGAGAGTGTTTCGTTTTTTATGGCGGCGTGAAATGGCAGGAGTGAGAAGAGGATATCAAGAGAAATAATGTAAAAAGAAGAGGAGGAGAAAAGAGGAAAAGAAAGTCAAAAATAAACGCGTCGGTCCTTCCATTCATCGCCAGCCAATAGCGTGGCGTCTTGTCGACTTTGTGAACGTGACTGAAAAGTGAGCGAGACGCGCCGCGTTTTATACGTTTTTGCGTCTTTGATTTTGATCTGTTCCTCGACCTGTTCTTTGATTTCCTCTTGACCAGTTTTTGACCTGTTCTTTGACCAGTTTTAGAAGTGGTCAGAGCGTCTGATTAACCTCATCTTCAAAATAAAGTTTGACTATTCCCTTTGGGCCTACATTGACCGCCTCTTGACCGCCTTCTTGACCACCTTCTTGATCGCCTTCTTGATCGCTTTCTTGACCGACTCCTTGACCGCATCCTTGATCGCCTTCTTGACCGCCTTTACCGCATCCTTGACTCCATCTTGACTGACTTCCTAACCGTCATTCAGGGGCGGTCAAATATCAATGGTCGACCTACATGTCCAATTGATAACAACATTGACTCACTCCTTTTTTAAACATCCTCTTCGATCCAAAAAATGCAATGCATGTTTTCTTCTATTACCTGAGCATTCATTTCCACACACGCCATCCAAGCAGCTTCTTCTCCGTTGTTTGTTACTCATCCGGAGCCAAGAAACTCGGCAGATATTTTTTTTCCCTTCGTTTCATTTACTTTCCACACAGAAATACAGCAGGTATTAGCACTCTCTTGCTTAGAAGGAGTAAACGCGACATTCATGACATGAAAGAAGAAAAGTTGGCGACGGGTCATTTTTTTAGACGCGTAGTGACTACCACGTCAAATCTTACATGCAAGAAAAAAGTGGCAGAATAAACAGATACGTTGCTGACGCGCTGACCTCGCCCACCTCAATCGTTATTTTTTTCTGATTGACAGGCAAACAGAAGCGGAACAGAACATCTTCATCCATGGTGTGCCCGCAGTTAGATAAGCAATTGAAAAATCGTTAGTCATTCACTCTTTTCACTCCCATTGTTAATGTTGATGTTTCATTGTGCGCGCACGCATGCATGATGGCCCTCTTTCAACTCACTCGCTCGCCATTCCCTTTTGTTTTTCTGCGGGGACCGTGAAGGGGCAAACCAGTCAACCTGACTACTCATTCACTCGAGGTCGACTTCTTTTATATGCTTGCTTTTGGATGGGTCAACACAAACACATACGAGAAGAATGTGCTTGTTTATTTCACGCAATTGAAAAAAAGAAGAAAAAAAAAATTAGAAGATCGTTGTCTTCATAAACATGAATGCTATCCTCGTCGTTTCCTTTTTTTCCTTCTCTCCTCTCTGAGGTGATAAGCAATCGCCATTTTGGACCTACTGACGACTCAGCAGTACAGTACAAGGTAATTCAGTCCCATTTCACCGGTGTCTACTCTCCCAATTGTACTACTACCAGCTCCATTCATGCTGCAAGGACCCCCTTCAATAGAGCAAATCTCTCGATAAAAGTTTACCAAAGAACACCTTATTTCGTAAGACACAAAGGTCCATGATCCGTGCTTTTTTGCCCTATGATTTCTTGGGGCTGGTTTGTTCTCCAACGTCACATTTGACACATGCCCTCCCGTTCCTGTTTTTTTCCTTCTACAACATGAGGAAGGCTATGCAAATGATATTCTCACGCACCAAAGAAAAAAACTACTTTTGCATGATTATTATTCTCAATATTTTATTTATGAACAAAAGGGGGTGTAGCTGCAAGAGGAACAAGGTGTGAGAAAAACACCTCCGTCCCGTCCCAACTTTGTACTGAGAAAGAAAGGGCACTCTAGATCACGACTCTCTTTTTTTGTTGTTAATGTGTGAATGATTGCGAAGAGTGGGAATATACAGGAAGAGAGAGAGGGTTCTTAAACCTCGCGAACATGGGCGGGCTGAGCATTGATCAATTTGAGAAGCTCGCCATCGGGGACATACTGCTTGGGGAACACAACCTTGAGACGCTCATGGTGGGCCGAGTAGAACTGAGACTGACCCTGCTTCTCATTTCCGGGGAGTGGAGCCTCGGTCTTGCCCGCAGGGATGACGACAATCGACAAGGTGATTTCGCCCTTCTTGCTGCCAATGTGCTTAAAGAGGTCAAAGCGGCCGCGGAAGGCTTGGTCGGGGGCAGAGAGGACCTGTTGGAGAGGGATACCAGTGAAGGCAATGAGGTCGTCGTCGTGGCGCTCCCTGTCGAGGACCTCGACAAAGAGAGTGTGTTGGGTCTGAGGGTTGAAGTTGGCGATGGTTAAGGTCTCCTCCCAGGACACGTTCTTGCCGGCGTTGGGGATGGTCTTGGTCCTCTGGAAGTCGGCATCGACGGCGGCGTCGAGGGCAATACGGGCGTAGGGGTCGTTCTTGCCGAAGCGCTCGACATCCTCGAGATCCTGGGCTTTGTGGATGGTGATCTGGAGTTTGGCGGCCATGACGTTGGTTTTGGAGTGCGGAAGTAGTGGTTGAGAAAGGATGGGTGGGTTTTGTTAGAGATGTAGAAAAAAAAAGAGAAAGAAGAAAAGGGTTGCTATTCCTGGTATTTATCAACTGACCAGATAGCAAGCAAAAAAAAAAAAGAGGAGGTAAGTGATTGCCAATATTCACAATCGTTTGCGTCAACGTCTAGTCTGGAGCGTGGGAGCGAAAGGGAAATAGAAGGGAAAAAATGCATGGGCCTTTCCACCCGATCGTATGACATGAGCAATAACTATGCATTACGACGCGTGCAAACGAGGATGTATGGTGCATTTTCTTTTATCATTAGGCAAGTTTGGAAGAGTGCTTTCTGTTTAAAGCGGGCTCAATGGATGATAAGGCGTGTTGACACTCGCTTTCATGCTTTCCAGGAATGCCTTTTTTCTATGCGACCCTTACCTATGCGAAAAAAAAATGAAGTGCTTGAAATGGTTCGAGTGCTAGAAAAGTAGCTTACAACAAGACAAGAGGGTGATCGGACTGAGGCCTTTTTCCGAGTCGAAAGTTTTCGGACGCCCCAGATATAAATATAATCATTTAGGAATACCACACAGCCCTTTACATCACCCATCTGCTAGGGACCAGCTTGAACCACCAGCAGGAACCTGGAATGAACTTTTTTTTTTTTTTCGTACACAATTTTATTTCTCTAACAAACAGCATAGAGAAGTTATTTGGAAGTAAAAGGGGACTACAGACCAAACTCTTCAGTGCACCATCCACCAGTCGCAGTCCGGTCCAGAACCTGGCTCTGCGCAACAATTGTCGCTGCTCTTCACAGCTTAAACGGAAGAAAATAAAACTAGATACGAATGAAGGGGATTCTTCCCATCCTCTCCATCATTGACAACCTCCTCCTTCCTAACAAACTCTCCAACAACCGCTCGTCAGCAGCGCGTGTGTCCTTGGTCGCTCCAGGGCACCTTCCTTCATCATGTGTGGCTAGCGAAGCGCCACACGGACAAAAACCATCGTGCGTGATGTAACCGTATCCTTGACTCCAGTCACCTCGGGGGCCTGTGTACTTGGATGTCTTGTTCTTGGCAGAGATACCCTGGGTCTGTTCCCATGCGATCGTCGCGGAGCACCGAGGTTTCCAGATCAGCTCCGAGGCCTGCGCCTCCAGGTAGCCAACAAACTTGTGAAGGACTGTCTTGGCGATGGACATTGGGGTCCGGAAGACCGCGGACCATTCAGTCAACATGCTCAAGGGGGTGATGCCGCGGAGGAGATCCGACACATTCCACATCGGTTTCTCGTCTCGATCGAGAGCTGGACTACCGCTGTGCACGGCTCGAGCTCCACCGATGGAGGAAAATCCTCGCACATGATCCGCATCCGAAGGGGGCCACCAGTGTATGGGTACTGGCCTCGGTACCTGACGACCTCTGTCCACCGCGCGTTTGTATTCTCGCTTCCTGGCTGCGTTGTAGCTGTTTGTTGCCTGCACACCCCACTCATTAATCTTGCCCATGGCCTCCTTCCAGATCTCAGTGGTGGTCTCAGCTGCCGAAGGGCATTTCCAGACGTGATCGTTATCCTCCTTCTCGAGCTCGCATCGTTGGCACACGCATGTTGGGTACAGGTTGGGCTTGCGAGCCTGCATGGAGTTCAGAGTGGGCAGCATTCCATGCAGCTTTTTGATATGATGTGTGCGTTGGTGAGAGTCCTTGCTGTTGCTGTAAAAGGTGAAGACTGGAACCTGGAATGAACGGGGCAGCAGTCAGTGGCACAAGTCCAAGGATTTGCACGTGACTTAACAATTAACGCTTTATCGCTTGGCGCACGTGATTGTAAATTGTTGCTAAAAGAATGTAAAAATAATTTTGTAGTCATCGGGCTTCTGTGGCGCAATTGGTTAGCGCGTCTGACTGTTAATCAGGAGGTTGGTGGTTCAAGCCCACCCAGGAGCGTTCTCTTTTTTTGTTTCATCTTTAAACGAAGCAAAGACGGCTATTTTTTTTCGCGAGTCGCGAGAGTGTAATAATGAAGGATATCTGGAATAGCTGACGGATGATCTATCTTTTATTTCTTAGGAGATGAACAGAGACAGTGTATTTTGAAAGGAACATTGACAATCCCCGTGCATCCATGACCTTATCTGCCATTTTTTGTCTCTCGACTGTTCAAGTGCAGAACACAGTTAGCATTCCAAGAGATAGAGAGACAGAGGGACGCCTCTCATCATGGCCCACAATTAGCGTAAAGAATGTATGCAAATGTGCTGGCTGCATCCATGTCTCCACTCCTCGACAGGTTGATTGAGACACTGTGGGCAGCTTCTCACTCGCTTTGTTTCTGATCAATTGCAGATACGCATCAGATCAAAAATATGCGACATGTGGCAACTGGGCATTACACATCGTTCCTGTCAATGTAAGTGAAATGAGAGAACTCCTCGCTTCACAGCCGAGCCGCTTTGTCGAATGTACATGGACGTAGAACCTATTCCTCCTCTATGCATACCTTATTATTTTTGAATCCGTAAGGCAGCAAAAGGCAAGATGGGCATCTTATCTTTCAGAAAGGAGCAGCTCTACGCCTCACCCCTACCTTTCTCCTTTGCATTTATGAATATTTGGGAGCAAAAAAAAAGGAAGAGCGGTGGCATGCACGAAAATGTTGGGATGAGGAATGGACGACCATCATTGCCAGCAAAAGCACAAGAGTTGAGAGAAAGTATGAAAGGATGATATGTATGTTGGTTCAAAGCGGGAACTACAGAAGCATATGAATGGCGCTAAGCTGGATATGTAGGATTAGCATATGTTGTTGACCCGTGCATTGTTGTTGTCTTCGCGAAATGGCTGTGGGCGTTTTGTTTGTTTATTTTATTCAGCGTGAAAGAAATTACCAGAAAAGTGAATTAGATACCACATGTAAAGTAATTCTCTCTGCCGCAGCGGCAGTGGAAGATGAGTATTCTAAGACCAGTGGCTAAACCAAAAGAGTTGGGAAGATAGGAGGAAGGCCGATAGGGGAATGAACTGGGCGGAGAGGCGATCAGGTGTAAAAAAGTTGAGAGCAATGGCCAAGAGAAATGGATCGGGATCCGCTCAATTCTGCCACACGCGGCCAAGTGCAAGGCAAGAAAGCGAAAAAAGAAGATGGAGGGCTGTTCATTCGTTCACTTCCTTGGATGGTTGAGAGCAGTTTGGCGGGCAAGTCGATAATTCATTTGCATCCTTATACTGTTTATCGCCACCACATCACATCGTTGAATCGGCAGTTGGCCATTGGTAATGATATACCCCACTTCTTTCTCCCTTCCTCACACTCTCATTGATTCGATGTTCGCGTGTGTGTTTGTTTGTTTAGTAAATTTGTTGTCCGGGTTGCCCTGTACTCCCCCCTGATTCAGCACCGTTGTGGTTATCCCTTGCTTTTTGTATTAAGAAAATGGAAGGCTAGGATAGAAGAAAAATGGGCCAGGGCCAAGGGGGTAGAAAGTGTAAGAGGAGGTATATGAGCGATGGGATACATACATCTGGAGCGTTCAATTACGAGCCTGTATCCCCTATTCGTATCCGCTCCATATCGCCCGCAAGACAAGGCAGAAGGGAGATGGATCTGAGCACCACATTTTTTTTCCCTCTTTCATTTCTTTTTGATTTTTCTTTTTGAGAGAAAATGCTCTCAAATGGCTGCTGTTTAATTTGCCTTCGTCTCCCTCTGTCATATCTACCCCTTGTCCATGTACCCTTTGTCGGGGCGAGCGGCTGGCCATGAAGTGGAGAGTCAGAATGGTGCGGTGCATTATGACAGAGTCGACAGAGTCAGTCAGGGGAACAACAAAAAAAAACCCCGCCCTGGCCATTCGGGATCCCCGACCAAAACAAAGAACCCACAGCGAAGTACAGTTAATTGGGTGGCAAAGAGTTCATTTCTTCTATCTCCTTAAAATACAACTGGCCCCTGGAAGCACTGCTCCTCTCTTCTCCCTCTCTTCTCTTTCCTTCTCTTCTCTTCTCTTCTCTTCTCTTCTCTTTAGTTCTATTACTCTCCTTCCATACCACCATATCTTCCACTTAAATCTCACGATGGCACCTATCCCTCGCCTGGCTGCAAAGCCCTTGTCCATCATCACAGGAGCACTCTTCACCGCCTTCTCCGCACCCAGCAGCACACCCCCAACAAACGGCGCCAATGCCACCCTTCCCGACACTCAGTACATTGGATCAGCATCCTTCCTCAACCTCACTCTCCTTCATACCCCTCCTCTATCATCCTCATCATCCTCTAACTCTTCCTCCTCCTCCTCCTCATCATCATCACCAATCTCATCTCTTGTCTACTACCACTCAAACAACAACACCTACACTGGCTGCAACCAGATGCCCTTCTCCTCAACAGATAACGTCGTCCTCATGAACCCCCTCCAATTCGGCAACGCCTCGTCCTCCAACTCTACATGCGGTAACTGGATCCAGGTCCAGAATCGTCAAAACACCGACCTCTCGACCTACGCACAGATCGTCGGTATCTGCGACGACTGTGAATACGGATCCATGGATCTCTCGCTCGGTGCCTTGAACGACTTGGCGCCCGACCTGGACTTTGAAGACATGACTTTCAGTAACAGCTCTGATATCACCATCTCAGACCTGACCGATTCCGATTCAACGTACTCTTCCTCCACAACTACCATCTCTTCCGACAACCTACTCGACATTACCTGGTCCCTCTCTGACGCCCCCGAACCTCGCAACAACCCCGCTCCTACCTCCACAACAACATCAACAACCACATCCCCTACTACGACTGCTACACCAACTCCAACGCCGTCATCAACGCCGCCACCAGCAGAACAGTTCTCCGGCCGCGGAACATGGTACTCAGATACCCACGGCCAATGCGAGCACAACTACTCCCAGTCAGATCTCATTGTCGCTGTCAACCAGGACCAGATGGGCACCGGCAAGGACATGTGCGGCAAGAAGATCCTCATGACCATGAAGGGATCCAACGTGCAGGTCATCGCAACCGTCGTCGACATGTGCCCCAAGGCCTACTGCAAATTCGGCGATCTCGATCTCTCCCAAGCCGCCTTCAAGAAGTTTGCCGGTCTCGGTGTCGGCGAGTTGACACTCCAGTGGAGCTGGCTCTAAACCAACACATCCTGCGCACATTGAAGGGTGGTAGGAAAACAATGGCTGGCCATTGACCTGCCTACAGCCCTTTTTTCACCTTCTTTTATTTCAATGACGTTTGTTCTTTCTTTCTTTCGAAAACATTTTTTTGCCCAATCATTCCCTCTCATGTACCATGTACCATTCATCCTTCTATCCATAAATTAGCATTTTGATGCCCCTTTTGCATTTTTCATACCCCACACATCATACCCCCATCACAATAGACTTAGTACGCAACCACATCCTTATAATCTTAGACCTTTACGCCTTTGAATTGCATGACAATACCATTAAACCTCATCGACTCGTGTACTTTCCTCTAATCTCTACATTGAAATTGTCCCATGATGCAAATCGAATAAAGATGTATCAATTGTTTTTTTGTTCTTGCTTCTAGTGCAATTTACTATGCACAGTAGTGTCCATGAGTAAAAAAAAAGAACAGAGACGATGAATCTAGCGCGGATTCACTAGGCCATATTTGCTTCTTTTTGCAGGCTAGAAACAACGGTTAGATCCAAATGACCGATGTAGTGAGGTGAAGTGCTGCAGGGTCCTTCCATACCTCCTGCCTCCTTCATGCAGACGCTAATTTTTCAAGAACAACACCCCCCTCTATCCTTCTATACCTATTCTCACCCTTGGACGTGTCATCCACACCCCATCTCTCCCCCATCCACTCTCCACTCGACCTCTTCTTCCCTCATTCGTTCCCTCTGGCCCCGTGAGGCCGTAGATTAATGGTAATAGACAAGCACTCTTTCTTTTCTCGTGTTTGCAACCGCGAGAATCAAGGACTACAAATCCACGTTAATAAATTTAATAAAGAGTGTCAAATGCGACGTCGTTCATGTATAAAATACAAAAGAATGATGACAATAATATTGCTATTTAGTAGGAATATTTTTCTTTTAGTCAGCAACTGGACCATCGGATTCCGGAATCAAGGGCAAAAAATCCATATTAATGGACTAAATTGAGAATCCACTTCTTTCAAGCCTAGAAAACGATAGAACTCAAGACGACAACATCAATTTTTTTGAGTCATTTTCTTCCGAATGCAACAGTCCATGTTCCCTCGTGTCTCGGTCAATCCTTGACCAATCTTCTCGAAACCGAAAGTTTAGATTGCTGAAGTCGTAGAATACAATTTCATTTTATTGGAGGTACCATAATAGCGACATTCAAGGCTACATGACACGTCGGATATGGTCTTTCGATTGCTCTTCAACAAGTTTTTTCTTGTTTCTTTTGAAAATTACATTTCCGGATGCCCTTGAGCTCCTTTCACAAGAACCAAAGAGTAGTCACCACTGACAAACTTCTGCAGTTTCCAACCGGATGTCTGCCCAGGCCCTTACCCATACTTGAAGATGTGATATATTTATGTTCAATACGTGCGTGCTCTAATCTTAAAATAAAGTTTCATAAAATCATACTACATATTGATTTTCTTCACAACAGCATCCATGACGTCTGTGTTGTTCAGGTTGGTAATCTCGTCACTGAGATTTCCGGCAAGTTCTGCGAGGCACTTGTTGACGGGCTTGGACACTGGGACCGCCTCCTCTTCCGCCATTACTTGAATCATACGCTCAACAATCTTAAGGCTCTCACATGACTTGCCTTTGCGACCGTTCAAAGCATCCTCGACGTGCATCTGCACCTCAGCCCTCACAATCTTGCGCTTGGTGTATAGTTGGTGAAACACAAATGCTGCGACCTTGACCCCTGACCATGCGTTCTTGCTCTTGAATTCATAGAGTGTCCTCAGGGTCACTGGCATAGGGGTGTGGTGATTCAACGGCGGATGCACGGCCGAGTAAGGCTCGAATGTTGCCTTATTATCGAAACTTGATCGTACTTGGCGCGCCATCGTATTGTCGAGGCCCCTGGTAGTGTTGCTCAGCCCTATATGAATTCAAATTTTTACACGCAAATAGAGGAGTTCGAATAAGTTTTGAGCAACGCTAGTACTAAAGGTCTTTCACCGGCTTCTTGATCCTACCATAGGGCATCTTCTTGATTCAGACACGGGACGTCGCCTTGGGGTAAAAGAACTTGTTGTCCGGGCCTACGACGACGGTGCCATCTGTCACAATGACTGCTAGAGTTGCCAACACGCACCATTTAATGGCGCCAACCATGACCTTGCGCGTCTGGTCATGACACACGTTCTCGACCTTGAAAGCATGCATGCCCTTTGGTCTGGCTTCTTCTTGAGCATGCGGATCCTGGTATCCGGCCGTGCCATACACATCCACCTTATAGGCAAGTAAAATGTCATCACCAGACTGGATCAGCATTTCATCAAACATCGTCGCAAGAAGCTCTCCGTTGTCAGGGAACAGTAGCTGCCAAAGGGGATCGTCGTTCTCAAAGAGCTTGTAATCCTAAAAACAAACCAGCCGGCCATAAGCATGCGACCTGATGGCTACATCCGACTTCGTGTCCTCAACCACTTCTGGCGCACGACGCTTGGCGATATGCACATGTGCCTCGGTGCCACTCATCATCCGCTTGGATCCGTGAGAGATGATGTCTCTCTCTCCATTCTCGAGCCTCAGCTCTGCTTTCTCAAACATCTGCCCCGTGTACCGAGCAGCCGCCGGGTGCCTGGTGACTCGATTCAGTTCCTTGTCAGAATCATCCAGGAAGCTCTCGTCGTTGCTAGTGTCCTGTTTCCACGAATAGCAAACAGAGCTGTGCTTTGACAGATCATCAACTCCTTGACACTCAGCATCACAGGACGGACAAGCCAATGGGAACTGAAGACAAAGCAATGCTTGACAGTGGGTCAGATGTTTTGCTAGGCCCGTACGAGTAGTCATGGGTTTGACGTCACACCATTGGCACGCGAGCGGAAAAATGCGCCCCTGCGATCCGTCATGTTGATCCCACTTGTGAGAACTCTTGCCCGATGGAGTCGATGATATTGCTTTCTGGCAAAGATAGCAAGTGATAGTGGTTTTCGCGACTTTGGTGTTGTGGGTGGTCTTGGCCGGGGTCGACATTATGCAAAGGGAATGGTGACAATCTGAATGCCAACATGAATGTATTTTACCTTGGCGGGGTCAGTGATACTAAAAACAGTCCTCGTTCAAAACACATACTATCTTCCCTCTTTCCTTTCTCTGCAATGCATGGATGCTAAAGTAAAAAAATAGGCGAGCAGACAGATTTTTGCTCGCTCGCTCACATGCGTTTTTACATGGGGTGAGTGAGAGAAAAAAATTCCTCACTCTGCGACCGTGTCAAGAGAATTGTCATGACAGGCTCTCTGTGTCAAAAGAATTGTCATGACAGGGCCGTCTATGTCAAGAGAATTGTCATGACAAACTCTCTTTTCCTCTATCCTTAGAATTGTCAGGACATCTTCTCTCGGAACATGGGCCTTTTCATCTCTCTGTCAAGAGTGTTGCCACGACAGAGGGCCTTCTCGCACAAGTAGGTCAAATGCCCGTTCGCAATCTATCTCTCCATTCCTTCATTCTTCAGTCCCTCCACTCTTTGGTCAATAGTGCAAATTCCACTTCCCTGATGACACATCTTTCTCTCATCATCGGGCTCTTCTTCATCTTGGTCATCAACGATATCACGCCAAAGACAGTTGATTGTATCACAATCGCCAAGCTAGATGGTCTTTGTGGTCCGTGAGGATGGTGACGGGGTATTTCGAGTAGGCAAAGAAGTGGCGCCAGTGTCCCAGACACTCAATCGCAGCAAGGAGCTCAGTGTCGCGAATGCGGTAATTACTCTTAGGTGGTGTTTGCGATCGAGAAAGGAATGCCAAAGGATGAAGGGTACCATCTTAATCCGGGGTTGACTACAGACCGCACCGAGGGCGAACTTGGATGCATCCGGTTCCAGAAACCATGGCTTGGCAGGATTAAACCGTACAACGGCGCAGAGAGATCATACACTGATTGAAAGACTTCTCATCGTACCCATCTCAATATCACCCTGTAATGGCTGTCGCACAAAGGAACCACTGCAAAGAATTCTGTGGCACCATGTCAACCTGGAGTAGCGATGACGCCCGTCATTTGAGATGCTTTTTTCCTTTTTTTCCTTTTCCAACTGCATTGCACAATGTTGAGAATCATCGTCACTCATGGCAGCCTTACTTTGGTGATGAACTAAAAGATAAGAACAAAGAAATGAGGATGAAGCACCTAGAGACAGATAATTTTATCCGTGAGATTGGACGTGAACGTCATTAGACAGCCAGCTGCATGGAAGGAAGGAGGGGTTCTGCATGTCTATCCTTCCCTCATTTTGAGCAGCACCCTTGGGATGACACCTATCCCCCAATATCCATTTCATCCTCGCCCGAGGAAATGAAGGTAACCAAATAGCTTATCTGCTCAAGCGTATCGACCACCAACAACAAGCAGCAAATAAGTAAACAAGTCGTCATCCCTTTCTTTTCAACTTTATTGACGTGTTACGGAGTTGACAATTATATCATTAAGGTATTCAGCCTGTTACAGCGGATTTATTCGTTGTGGCGATGTAAGTCGACAGGCGTTTGGCTAATGCTTCCAGGGGTTTGTTGAGTTTCTTGTTATCGAGAATTTGAATGAACGATTGGCCTTCAGTGTAGAGTGTGAGAATGTTGTTGAATTCCTGGGCAATGTCGCCTGAGTTTGAACACCGTCCTCGCAACTCCACTACTGCCTGCTTGGCCAGCTTAGCATCCGCGCCAGCCTTGATGACAGCGCCCGCTACCAGGTAGAATATTCTTGATGCCGCCACCCCATCGCCATTCTGGGCTTGATAAAAAGACGTATTGGTGAAGATGGAATTGGGTTGGTATGGGCGGTTCGCCGCGAAGTCACTGGAGGTACGGCAAAGATAGTACGTCGAAGGATCATCAAAGTGGCTCTTAACTTGTCGCAATTGGTAAATCAAATCGCTGGCGGACACTGACCACCACTCCACATCCTTTGCCAGTTCAAGAGCAGTGCGCGCAGATTCGGCATCCAGGAAATCTTGGTCGCCAGAGAGTCTTGCGTGCTTGACAGCTGAAAAGACAGGGTCGTGCCATCAACAGATGCCTCCATTTGATGTCCAACCGCAGCGATGAAGTGACGAGTGCATTGAGCGATCTCGTACCGATAACCAATCGATCGCCTTCAGGTGATGACAACGTCTTGGGCCACACGTTCGAATACGGCGTTATCATTGAGGGGGCAAAGAGGTCGCCACAGGCTGACCTTTCTTGACGACAAACGACTCCCGATGTACATCCACCATTTTGTACGACAGTAAACCTCGACTGTGTTCGCAATGACAGCTTGGCGCTTTTCGTGTTGAAAATGATGCAGCCAGCGAGGATTTTTGCGCATATGTATCGAAGGTGCGGTGAAAACTCCCAATCCCGATTAAGCAGCTTTCACATGCGGTCGTCGAGTTCGACAAACTTGGGGCGTACGAGCCAGGCTGTGTAAGGGGACACCGATAATGTGCGCTCCAAACCCAGCGTCGAGATTGATGAGCATGAGCATGTCAAAGCCACTTCATCCTCACCATGCTTTCGCTTGCGAGTGCGGGTGCCAAGTTTTGCCCCAGGGCTGCCAGGCCCCTGGTTGCCCGGGTTACGCGAGAATAGGTTTTGTCCTAGTTCCGCAATGGATTTCGGATTTCTCGTCACGCGACTTCCGCCACCAACTGAGCCCCATCCAAGATACCAACCCCCACCCATGTTCCAAGCCTTCTAACGTCCCAAGCCCCGTCCAATGTCCAAGCGCCGCCTTGGTTCCTTCTGTTCATCCGGCCCTTAGCATAAATAGTCCACTTGTTCCCCTGTCTTGTATCCCAGTCTGCAACAACTCACTTCCATCTGTCCCCTACCTTTCTTCTGGACAAAAACATAACAAAAGCAATACACATTCTTCTGAGACCTGTCTGATCATTGCAGTGGGGTATTGTTGGACAAACGCTGACTTGCCCGGCGGAAAACTTGGCGATCACCGAGGCGTGAGCAAGAGCATATTGCTCCACTCCAAGATCCAAGAGAATCCTTCAAAGCAAACGGAACCAGTCCCAGTGCATCGATGATATTTAACATCCTCTGTTGTTCGGCCGGGGACGCAGAATGTTGTTGGCAGCTGTAGGGCACTGCATCGCGAAATGTACGCATCGCCATCGCTCGTGGATGGTGAGGAACAGGAAGTGCTTTGGCAATGCTCGAATAGGCAATTCAGAATCGGGCAAATCCTTTTCTTCCTCAATGTCCCTGACCTTGTCCTTGGCAATGCAGATCTTGTTGACCAAGTACTTGCGGCCTCCTGACTTTGTCCTAATGGTTGCCTCGCATCCAAGCGGACACACGAAAAAGTCCCCAACTTTCCTCACAACGTGCTTCTGCGTTGAGTCATCGTTCGTGGTGACTGTAGCAACAAAGGTGTTGCTGTGGTACTCAAGGTCATGGTTGCGAAGCTGGTCTAGAGTCTTAGAGTCTCAAAGATTTGTGCAGGACTATAGTCAGTGCAGGTGAATGTGGTTGATGACATTCTCAAAGAGATTTGAATCAAGTGGATCTGGGCACTGGAAGACTTGGATTCACTGATGGAGTTGAGAGCATTAATGGCCAGGCAGTGTTTCGATGGAGAGAATGGTTTGAGTGATGGAGAATCCCTTCTGCTCCAATTCAGGAAACCAAGCCACCCGCGTGCCGAAATTGTCGAAGATCCAAGTCCCCTTTTTGCCCCTAACCATCAACGCAATCTTGTTTAGGAGTCAAGGACGCAGGCGGGTTGTACCATGACCGACCATACTATGGCAAACTTGCTTCACTACGATCTAAATTAGCAATCAGACAAATATATGGACAAAAGCCTGTAAGTATTTTTTTTGTTACTCAAAGACGAGACGTGGAGCATGCGATGCAGGATGAAGGTGGGTTATTTAATGACTAGTCGGGGTAAGCCTTGCCGTTTTATTTTTGCGAACATACGATCGAAAACCAACTATCAAGTCAGAACAGAGTGAGGACATGAAAAATCAAGAGTAATTTGAGCAGATGGGCTCACTCTCTTCTTTCTGATGGCGTCAAACAGACAGTCGAATTATCATCGTGTCAATGCTGTGGCTTCAAACTTCCTCCTTTTTCTCCTGGCTCTCTCAATCTCGAGAGGCACTTTCGTTCTTTGTTTTATCTCCTTGGCACATTCCTCTCCCTCCTCCCTCCCTCCTTCCTCTCTCTTCATTTTCCTTCTCAACCTTTCCTCTTTATTTTCACTCTCACGTTCATATCACAATGGCACAAGCATCCCCAAAAGTCATGATTGTCGGAGCAGGTCTCGGTGGTCTGGTCCTCGGTATCTTGCTCGAAAAGATGGGCATCGAGTACGACATCTTTGAGCGCTCCGCTGTTTGCAAGCCCTACGGTACACGGTTCTTTCTTTCCTTGATTTTTGCCCAGGATTGATGTTCGATCCCCTGCACTGTGTCGAAAACTAATCGGCGTGTCTCCTTTTTTTGGGACAATTTTTCTTGCATTGGCCGAACCAGGCGCTGGAATGAGTATTGGAGCAAATATCATGCCCTTGCTTGAGCAATTGGACATCCTTCCCGAGCTCATGAAGCTCTCGCTCCCAGCTACTACCATGGACCTCTACTCTGAGGACATGAGCTTAATCGGATCCATGCTGGGTACAGAGCACGAAGCAGAGTAAGCAAACAACCCCAGAGGCAACACGAAAGTCGCAATCAGTGTTTTTTCATCTTTGCAAGTTAACCCACATGCTTACTTTCCAATTTTCTGGACATGCTTATAGAGTCGGGTATGGCAACATTTTGTTCAGTCGCCCCGACTTCCACAGTCTCCTTCTCTCAAAGATCCCCACCAACAGGGTCCACTACAACAAGAAGGTCACCTCGGCCGAACAGACCGAAACCCACGCCTTGATTCGTTGCGCCGACGGTCAGACACACGAGGGTGATATCCTTATTGGAGCCGATGGTGCCTACAGTGCTGTCCGTAGCAGCATCTACAACGAGTTGAAGAAGGATAGCAAATTGCCCGCGAGTGATATCCAGGAGATGAATGTCGGATATGCCTGTGTTGTTGGAACCACCGCAGCTCTGAGTACCGAGAAGTATCCTTGTTTAAAGGACGAGACGTCTAACTTTGCGGTCTGCATTGCTGACGGCAAGCCTCACTCTGTACGTTTCTCTTTTTCTTTCATTTTTTTTTTGGCATGGATGAGCATAACAAATGCATGGGCATGGTGAGAACACTTTGTTACGCAATGTGAGGCGGACAAGAGACAAGGTTATTAATGAAATCTATTTCCCATCGTTTCCAATCCACTTAGTGGACGATCATTACAGTTCCCGGCGAGCGTATCGCCTGGGGCTTTGTTATCCAGCTCTCACCCGAGGAGGTGAAGGCCGCTGTTGCAAACGCCGAATGGAAACCCGAGTCGATCGATACCACCATCTCCAAGATCGTTCACCACAAGGTGCCTTATGGAGGCACCATTGGCGACCTTGTCGATGCTACCCCCAAGGATTTGATCTCCAAGGTTTATCTTGAGGATAAGCTCTTTGAGACCTGGAACCATGGAAGGGTTGCATTGCTTGGTGATGGTATGTTTGTTCGGGCAAACATATGCATGGATGTTCATGTGCATGTGGTACGTTTTGTTGTTTATTTCTGTGTTGGGCGGGTGAAATACTAATCGCAGTGTGTGCAACTTTGTTGTTCCTGCTTGTTAGCTTGCCACAAGATGCTCCCAAGTGCCGGTCAAGGTAAAGAACGAAAGAACGAAAGAACAAAAAAAAAGAGGGTGACAAACACCTCCTACTGCATGCATGGATGCATTATGCACAATAGGCTAATTGATTTTCCATACATATTTTTTCTCCGACAACATCCAATTAAAAACAGGTGCGACGAACGCAATGGAGGACGCAGTCATCATCGCAAATTGCATCTATGAGCTCGGATCCTCCTTCTCCAAAACCGACATCGAAGCTGCCCTGACTGATTATCGCTCCCAACGATTCGAGCACGCCAAGCAGCAGGTCGAGAACTCCAACATGGCCGGAAAGTTGTTCTATGGCCAGACCTGGCTCGAGCGATTGATTCGTAGGGCGGTCCTGAACTGGATCCCTAAATCGTTCGAGAAGGCAAACCTGACCCAGGCGGTCGCATACCGTCCTCAGGCGACTTTCTTGCCAATGGTTCCTAAGAGAGGGACATTCCCTATCTTGCCCCAGAAGATGTCCAAGCGGTATGAGGATGAGCAGGCTAAGAAGAAAGCTCAGGCTGTTTAATGTTTTTGGATCTTGTTGAGGGGGAGATGGAGTTTTTTTTTTTTTTTTTTTTTTTTTGGAGGGGATTATATACCATAATAAAGAAGCGAGAGTGTATGTGTCATTTTCTTGCAAGGTGCGAATTGGCAAAGTCATTGAAGGCTCGAAAACAAAAATCGTTTCGTTGGGCCTACCTTTGAAGAGGACGTGTTGTCTGTGTTGAACTGGATGGGTAAAAACGAACAATTCGGAAAGAAGGAGCGTGTTTTCATTGCCATGGCGACCGGAACGTCTTTGTCCTATGCAACACCTGTGTCACGTCGTACAACAGTACACTTCCGCTTAGAACTGAAAAAAAACTGTCTTTCCCTCCTTGCAATAACCGGTTGTCGGTCTCGTTTCTTCGGACCCAGTTTCTATTCAATCAAAGTTTAAATCTGGTGATGTCTTCTCTCCGGAAAGAAGAGAAGCCACACTCATTTACCCACTCTACCACTCACCTTGACCTGATTTGATCAGTGGAGAAGTAAATTCGCTTCAACCTTGGCCATATTCACCGGCCGATCAAACAACGGCAACACTCTTTATCCTTCTTTTTAATCCCTCCGTTGCCTTCTTTTTGTTGTACCCCTTTTCACATCGTCTCCACATCCTCACTTTTATCACCTTTCTCTTTTCGCTTTATACCCCTCTCCTTGTACTCCCTTTCCTTAATCCTTTAATTCATCACCAACAACAACAACGACAACAATGGGAAAAGTACCCAAGGTCATGATCGTCGGAGCAGGTCTGGGTGGACTCATGCTCGCCATCCTCCTCGAGCGCATGGACGATGTCGAGTACGAGATCTTTGAGCGCTCCACTACCCTGAAGCCTTACGGTAAAACCACCACCAATCATTGACCCTCGGCCATCGACCATCGACCATTGTCCTCGTCCAATTATCCCTCTATCACATATCCTCATTTCTTTTTTACTTCCTCTTATTCATTTTTTCGGTGGCGGTCCCTCCTTTCGATATCTTCTCTAGGTGCTGGAATGATCATCGGTAATTTCAAGCGTCCCTTTCCTTGTGTATCTCAAGTAAAGAGTCAAGCGACAAAAAATGACAAAAAGTCTAACCGTTCACTCCAATCCCTTTGCATTCTCTCCTCTATCGTTCATTCATTCAGGACCAAACATCTTGCGTAAGTATTCCTTCCTTCTCCTTTGTTGGATGTCCATGGTAATGGGAATACTGATCGAAGCAACATCTCCGCAGTATACTCAAATCTATCTATCTTTACATGCAATATCAACATAACAATGTAGCTGTGTTCGAGCAATTGGGACTCTTGGATGAGATCACTAGGGTCTCGTTCCCACGCAAGTCGATGGATATCTATAAGGAAGATCTCACCCTCATTAGCTCCATGCTCCAGGGTGAGCTAAAGGAGAAGTATGATCCAATGCTGCATGCCAGAAACCCCAGCGGGAAATGAATTCACCTTGCATCCAAGTTCCCCCGCTAACCAAAGTGTTTCTCTATTCCTACTAACAAACATTGCAGCATAGGATATGACGGTCTGTTGTTCAGTCGACCCCATCTGCACAAACTGTTGCTGTCCAAGGTCCCTCCCGAAAAGATCAAGTACGGAAAGAAGGTCCTCTCAGTTGGCCAGAGCGAGCACGGTGTCTTGCTCCGATGCTCAGACAAAAGTGTGCACGAGGGAGATATCCTCGTCGGTGCAGATGGCGCCTACAGTGCAGTCCGTCAGAGCATGTACGAGCGTCTTCTCAAGGAGAAAAAGTTGCCTAAGATCGATACCCAGTCCTTGAACGTCGGATACACCTGTATGGTTGGCACCACCACCCCACAGGACCCCGAGGTCTACAATGTTCTCAAGGATGATTTTTCCCACTTTGCGGTTGTCATTGCTGATGACAAACCCCACTCGGTATGTCAGGCGGATCCTTGTTGTACCCATAGGGGTTTTGGACCGAGGTAGCAAATTTTCTGGTATGTGTGTATTAAGATCTACTCCTCTGTCTCTTCTGATTTACTTGTTGTTAATGCTATTAGTGGACCATCATCACCGTGCCTGGAAACCGTATCGCCTGGGGAATTGTTATTCAGATGTCGCCTGAAGAGAAGGACGCTGCCTTCCGCAACTCCGAGTGGGGTCCCGAGTCGCTCGGCGCGACCATTCTTCAGGTGGAGCACCACAAGGTTCCATATGGAGGCACCTTAGGTGATCTGATCAATGCTACCCCCAGAGAGCTCATTTCTAAGGTTTACCTCGAGGAGAAGCTCTTTGAAACCTGGAACCACAACCGCATCTGCCTGATCGGAGATGGTAACGAGATTGACGGTTTACTTGAATGATGGTTCATTTTTTGTTTGGGGATGCAAACATTGGGAGACTCATGTTGCGTGTTTTTGCTTTGTGTGTTTTTATTCTACACCAATTAGCTTGCCATAAGATGCTGCCAAGTGCTGGTCAAGGTATGTCGGTTATCTATTTGTACACGGTGGAAGATTTGTAACCAAAGAGAAATATTCGGTCACTGACTATTCACTCATTTCGCCGTACCAACAAACAACAAAAAACATAGGTGCCATTAACGCAATGCAGGATGCAGTAGTACTGGCAAACTGCATCTACGAGATGAAATCGAGTTCGCATGACGATATCAAGGGCGCACTCAAGGATTACAAAAAGCAGCGCTACGCTCACGCCAAGCAACAAGTCGAGAGTAGTAACACCGCAGGAAAGATCTTGTACGGCCAGAACTGGTTCGAGAAGTTTATGCGCAAGGCCGTGTTGGCTTGGTTGCCTAAATCATTTGAGAAGAGTAACTTGACCAAGGCGGGATCCTATAGACCCCAGGCTTCGTTTATTCCCCAGGCCCCTGTTCGTGGTACTGTACCTGTCTTGCCCCAGAAGCCGTCCAAGAGGTATCAAGAGGGGCTGAAGAGACATCAGCAGGAGATGAAGGAGGAGGAGGGAGTGAAAGAGGAGAAGGTTGAGCAACAGGCGGAAACCCAGGCTTTTTGAAGAAAATAATACCAAACTCTACATCGTTCTATCTACACACTAATTTACATCTAATACAGACTAATGGATGTCCTGAGAAAATTGCTTGAGCTCGAGCCATTGTTTACACCAACCAAGTAGCTCTTTTCTCCATATTGTTAAACATGAACAGGGCGCACGGCCCGGGCAAAAGCAAAGCGGTAAAGAACAATCGTTATTGCTGATTGAAGGAAGAGGGGAGGAAACAAACTCTCATAAGTTGGGTAACTGTTTCACTGTTTCGGACGAACCTTCTTATCTGTGGGCTTGTTTTCCCCTGCAATCACTATCTTCTGTGACGGCTGACGGGTATACAAATGTCTGGTGGTCCGGAGGAATGTTTTTCAGGCACAGCAACAAGACTGGCTAGATTTCACACCCTCCCACTTCCAAAGGATTTGCATGCATTAAAGTGCCTTGAAACAAACATGCAGGTGGATGCTGCTGCTGGCTACTTTTCCTTGCAGATACAGAAAAGAGCTTTTGTGTGCGTGCGTATGTATATCCGGACTATCGTTTGCATATAGGAAAATAGCATGTCCGATCTATTACTCACTTTGCCAAGAGGTAACCACAGCCAAATGAGTCGCCAGGTTCGTTTGAGAAGAGCTACTTAGATAGTAGTGATTAAGCTGCTGCTCTCAAGCGATGTCTGTGTTCTTGGCAAGGGATGCGTGAGTGAATATGATTCCAAGACATGGAGATTTACGAGAGAGGGTGACGCGCCACCAAAAAATAAAAGCGCGAATGATGAAAAGTTGTAACCAGTCAGGAAAGAATACATTTTATTTTTGTCCTTGTTATTTTGTGCTCTCACCTTTTCTTTTTTCTTCCCCGTCAGCCCAGCCGAGCCTTTCCCTTTCCTTTCTCTTTCTTCTCCTCTCTCTTCTCTCCTTTTCTCTCTTCTCTCTCCAGCAACAATACCAACCACCACTCTCTCAACAAAACACAAGTAAAGCAAAGCAATGGCAGATCCCATCAACAACCCCACAACCGACGGCGACGACACCGAGATCGTCGAGGAGGGTAATCGCAGCATCCTCCTCGACCTCATCTCCCAGCTCACAAAAGGAAGCGACCTCCATCGCGTCACTCTCCCCACCTTTGTCCTCGAATCCAGGAGCATGCTCGAACGCATCACCGATTTTATGTCCCACCCAGAGATCATCGTCCAGTAAGTTGTTCCTTCTTCTTCCTTCATGGAGAATGGCATTCACTGTTTTTATTTTCATGGAGAAGAGGAACAGGGGAGAGAGTCATCGTTATGCTGCGTCTTTGTCTCTTGGCAATATAACCCCACGGGGGTTTTTTTTTTTTTTTTTTTTTTTTTTGGCGGAATACTCGCCACCACAGCCCCAACACTTTTATTTCTTTTTTTTGTAATCAGGATGAGGATGATCAACTAGTCAGAGAGCGCAGCCAGGACTCTTTCAATGTAAAGGACTTTTTTTTTCGTGTCGCCAGTCAGATGCAAGCTCAGGAACAACACCTGCAACAACGCCAACAACAACAAGGAAGAAAAGACAGGAAGGCGACAGCTGACTATGGTTGTGTTTTGTCCACGAAAATCGTCGTCGCGGTGACAATTGGGGCGTAGTGGTACGATAGCTCACCACTGGAACGGCGTGGAAGGGGAGGACAGGCAATGCGAGTGGAGAAAGAAACACAGGGAAGGACACATGGCTAATAACCCTCTTTCTTTTCTTTTGTCTGGTCATTATCATCTAGAGCTAATCATCTGGAGGACCCCGTTGCACGTTTTGTCGCAGTGACCCGCTATTTCCTCTCTGGTTGGCACATCAGGCCTAAGGTACTTATTATCAAAGGACGACAAAAGGCGATACATTATTCAACGTGTGATAGCGAATGGAACGTTGTTGAGCCCTGCATGTCATACACCTCCTTATTTACGTTGCACCTTGTTTCTCTTTTATGTGAAAAATGATTTTTTTCACAGGGTGTTAAGAAGCCATACAACCCCATTCTTGGTGAGCACTTCCGGTCAAAGTGGACATTTGCAGACGGCACAGAAGCCTTCTACGTCGCAGAACAGGTCTCGCATCATCCCCCAATCTCGGCCTACTACTATGCTAGTCCCGAGAACAACATCAGCATTCTGGGCGATCTGTTGCCCAAATCCAAGTTCCAAGGAAACAGTGCTGCGACATTAATGCAGGGCGAGATCAACGTCTCGTTCACCAACCGACCTGGCGAGGAGTACTTTATTACCATGCCCAACGTCTATGCCCGTGGTATCTTGTTTGGAACAATGCTCATGGAGTTGGGAGACGTGGCTGCCGTCAAGTGCCCCAAGCTGGATCTCGTCTGCACCCTGGATTTCAAAGTCAAGGTAACCATTACCATTACAGGCTTCTTTTTTGGTTTGAATCAGTCTGGAAAAGGGCCTCTGACGCGGAGAACTAACCCACCCATTTTCTCTTTCGCTGTCTCATTTGAATGCTATAGGGTTACTTTACTGGCACTTACAACGGAATTGCAGGAAAGATCAAGCGCATCTCGACAGGAGAGGTTCTTTATGAGATTTCGGGCAAATGGTCGGAAGAATTGTACATTACCGAAAAGGTAACCAATTTTCTTCTGGCTTGGATTCTCGCAGGAACATGGGAATAACAGGTCGACGTTTTGTATTGTGGGAAGTGTGCACAGACTCTAACATAGAACACCATGCATTTGCGGGAAAATAGGGCGAGAAGCAGATCTACTTTGATGCCAAGACAGCCAAGATCCACCCCAAGATCATTGCACCCGAGGACCAGCAGGAAGAAAACGAGTCGCGCCGTCTCTGGAGCAAGCTTACCACTGCCCTGAGGGTGAACAACCAGACTTTGGCAACAGAGGAGAAGAGCAAGGTCGAGGATGCTCAGCGTGCAAGGTCCAAGGCCCGTGAGGAGAAGGGTGTCCCCCACATCCCCAGATTCTTTGAGCCCCAAGGCGATGGTTTCGCTATCAAGTTGAAAAAGTATGTGTTATGGAAAGGAATGCTGTTGTTCAAGTCAGGAAATGGGAATCTTAATTGCGTCTCTTATATATCTATGAATGGTGCTAACACGATTCAAACGTTTTCATTTTCTTTTCTTGTAGCATTTCTTCGGATCCTCAGGTGGCCAAGAAGCAGATCTCAGACTTTATCTTTACCACACCTGCCCCCAGCTCATAACTTTACTGCAAGTAGACGACTTAGACAAGGCAAGGACCTAGTAACTCTAATTCATACACGATAAAAATAATTACACGGTTTATTTACACAAGATACTATGCTGGGAAGGATATGAACTGGGATATATTTACTGCAGAGGAATGCTCTGAGGGAAACGGAAGATGTTGCCAGGATCGACAGACTTCTTGATCTGCTTTAGGCGGGTAATAGCCGAGCCATAGTAGGCGTCCTGCCAGTTGGGCATCTCCTTGTCGATGTAGTTTTGGTATCCACGGACAGGACCGTAGTTGGCCTTGAAGTCGGTCAGGAACTCGGCGTACATGTCGTTCATCCACTTGAGACAGGCAGCACAGTCGGGCTTGCCGGGCTTGGCGTTCGGGTTCTCGTCCCACTCGGAGACGAATTCAAAGACGGTGTGGGCGTCGCGGTGAATGAAGGAGGTTTCGTCGGCAGAATGGTCCTGGACGGCGCCGCCCCAAAGGTCGACAATGATGTAGTTGGCAGTTCCGCCTGAGGGGTTCATGGCAGCCCATTTCTTGAGGAGGTTGATGGTTGAGGTCTTGAGGGCGGAGGGGTAGACGAGGGACTTGCCCTTGGTGTAACGAGAGTCGCCGGGTTTGTAGCTGCCTGTCAGACCGAGGGCGTTGATATCCTTGGGGTCGTTGTAGATATAGGCGAAACGGAGCTGGCCGTCAATGTAGCGGCCTTCTCTGACATCGGAGCTCTTAGGTTTACCGGCGGCCTTGAGGAAGGAAGCCATGGCGGTGGCCTGATTAGCCTTTGTTCCCTGGTAGATACCGTACATCTCCAGACCGTCCGGCGCAACATTCATCTCGACACCAATGTCTCTGGATGCGGATGCTTGGAAGTCAACGTAGGCTTTCAAGACAGTGGAGGCTTGGGAGAGCGGCCAATCGTAGGTGAAGGAGGTGGCCTTGTCGGCAGGCTTGATGGGTCTGTAAGTAAAGGAGGTGACGACTCCATAGGATCCGCCTCCTGCGCCCCTGAGAGCATAAAACAGATCTTGGTTCTGGGTCTTGGAGGCCTTGACCAAGTTGCCGTCGGCATTGATGACCTCAATCTCAAGCAGGCTGTCAATCAAGAGACCGTACTTGCGAGACAATAGTCCAAATCCACCACCCAGCGTGTGGCCGCCTACACCGACACTGGGACAAGTACCCCCGTTGAGGGTCCAGCCGCCTTGATTGAAAAGCGCAAGGTAAAGAGGTCCCAGACGGACACCAGATCCGACCTTGGCTTCGGCAGTGTTACCAGATCCGGTGACGGTAACAGAGTTGAGACCAGCAAGGTCCAAGACCAAAGAACCGTCCTGACCACCAATTGAGTAGCCCTCAAAGGAATGGCCACCAGACCGGGGGGCGACAGGGACATTGGAGGCCTTAGCGCACTTGACGGCGACCTGGACATCGGCCGCAGAGGCAGCCATGACGACGACCTCGGGGTCGTAGGTGTATCGGAGATCAAACGCGTAGCGGTTCTTTTCAAAGCCCGAGGTTTGGCGTTGAAGCACCTTGGACCCCAGGGGCTTTAGACATGCGATGAAGGTCGAGTTGACGGCGGAGGCGAGGGGTTCTTGACGCGCGACTAGACCGGGAGCGTGGATGGCATGAGGGGGGATGACATAGGCTTGTGTGAACTGGGAGGAGAGGAAGAGCAATGCTGCTGACGCGCTCAGCGATAAGGTATCAAAGCGCATTTTTTATTATGGGATGGATATAAGAAAAGGTTGAGTAGGGTTGGTGGTTGTGTGAAGAGAAAAGAAAAGAAGAGCGTAAGGGTCTTTTTCATCAAGGTATTTATGAGAAAAAGCTGTTGGACATTTTTTCGTTGAATGTTTACTGTTACTCCTGGGTGGAATGGACATGGCAATGGCAACTATTTTTGGATTGAATGGGCGGCACCTCCTGATGCTAACAAAATCTTCTTTTTCTACGCGCACTATGCACTATGGGAAAGCTACTACTGAGGCGATACGCTGGTCCGAAAGGAACCCAGTGGCACTGTGGCACTGTTAACTAGAAAATAAGGAAGAGGGAGCGGGAGCATGAAAAGGGCGGCGTCTCACTTGATCAGCAGTAAAGGGGCATCATTGCTCTGTTTAGGTTGCCCACCCCACCCAACAGCCGGCGTATGGTTGCAGCCGTAGGGTTTCATTGGACGGGAATGCACACACAGAGAGATAGGATCGGAGAGTAACTGCAAACAACCCTTTTGCGACGTTCTATTCTTGATCTCTCTCACTCTCTCGTGAGTGGTGGTCATGTTGACAAGAACGACGACGACGCCAGAGATAAAAATAGGGCTGCTTTGTGCATGGCGTCAATCATTCTTACGGGCCCATTGACTAAGCATACGCGTTGTTTGTTGTTTGTTGATGTAGGATACATGGAGCATGGTACTTGTTTGTTGACGGTGCATGTTCTTGCATTGACATTTTTAGACGTGAACGAGTATTAGAGTTCGTCCTCATGGACATCCAGCGCAGCAAAATATTTTGATGTTTGACGCCCGAGCCGAAAGTCACTTCAGCAGCACAAACGGACGCGTTCTTTTTATATCATTTCTGTGTGTCCGCTCCGACTTTCCTGCTGTCTCGCCGCACCTATTCTCACTACCATCGCATATAGCATGTCATCCCCACCGTCAGCAAACTCAACAGCCAGCCTGTTTGCCAGCGCCAATGGACTCATTTCTTCCTGGAGGGACTCACTCTCACTCTCCCCTCCAGAGTTCCGACTCATTCTCATTGTAAATGCAAAAAAAAAAACACTCGATCAGTTTTTGTTCAATGCAACAATGACATGACTCCATGTCAAAGTGCCTTGCACTGACTGTCACCTTCTTTACCTCCTACATTATCATTTGTATCATGGAATAGGCGTGTACACTCACAGCCGCAAACTTCCCCAAGTTACTCGTGCCACTGGTCCACCAGGCATTAGCCGATATTGAGTCCGGGTCCCTCGTCGTCCCTGCCGTCCCCTCAACTCCCACCGACTCCTCGTCTTCACCGGAGACTCAATTGCTAGAAACCCAGGTCCGGTTCATCCGCAGATTGAGAGAGGGCATGTTCAAGGGCTCGGTCTTGTGTGGCGGACCTTATGGGATCAATGCTCTGGGAGCCGTCAACTTTGCGTTGAGCCCCGAATTGTCAGACGCCGTCAATACGGCTGGTCCTGTGCGCGGACCTCATAACACTGCCACCCCTGAAGAGTACCAACAGCGTGGACGGGAGTTATTTCAGACTATCTACCAACATCATAGTAAGTCCTTGTTTTTCATCCTTTTTGTGTACAATTCTCATATTGGAAATTCTTCCGAGTCATCCCTATCATGTCCTACAATAGTGACGAAAGGTACCGAGAAAGACAATAGAAGCTCACATGAACTCGAATTGTAATGAATAAATAGCGGAGCCGATCCTGACAAAGATTGGTAACAGCAGCAAGGATCTCGTCGAGGGAATTCTTCGGGACACTTATGGCAAGGTCCTCAGCGATACGACCCTGATCTCGATTCCAGAGACAGAGCTGTGCTTGGTCGCTTCCTTGGTCCCGCTCAATGTCCCGCCGCAACTCAAGAGCCACGTATATGGATCCAGGAATGTGGGTGTCCCCATGGAGCAGGTCCAACAAGTTGTCGCCGTTGCAGAGACGATCACTCAATGGGCTCACGCCCAAGCGAACAACGACAAGAGTTCTCTGTAGTCATCAGTAGCCTTGATTGATTTTCTTGACGATTAAGTTTAATGCGGTGATATGCAGAAAAAAACAATGCAAGGGTAACTGTTTTTGAATGGGTCTAATAAAACTCGTCAAATGGTCGGGTATCGTTATAGCACGATTCAAAGACGGCATTCACAGCCTTCTCTGCCGCATCCCTAGAGGGGCATTTGGGGTTTCCTGCGACCGAGATGGCTGCGCGGCGCTTGACACATTCCTGGTGTTGTTTCGTGAACGTGTAGTGTCCACGGCGCACCTCCCGAGTCCAATTGCAGTCTCCACTCAACGCCGCCGCGCGAATCTATTATACCATCACATTCCAAAAGAGTAATCGTTAGTCCTACAATCCTTGCGTTGGCCTGTGACATTACGCAGTGGCGCAAAACGAAACTCCCAGTGGTATGTACCTCACTGCAGGCGTGGTGGCGGAGGTTGTCCCAGTCGAGGTTGAAGACACAGTGGTCGTACATATGGATCATCTCGTGGATCATGGTATGTTCCTGATGCTTTTTGCTAAAGAATCCGTTTTGGCAGAGGAGGATACCGTGGTCCTTTGAAAAGCCTCCTGATTTGGTGTTGTCGCAAGGTCCGCACTCGAGCATGTTCTTTGTCAAAGGGCATCCTGACTTGACCAAGTTGTTCATCATGAACCGCACACCGGGGCCTATTGGTCCAATTGAGAAGGAGGAAGGTATGTGAGTGAGTATCAGTTGTTCCACCCATGTATCTTTCAAAGAATATCATCCATTGAGCAGATCAGCGCTGGGGACATATATAGAGAGCTTCCTTACTGGTTTTGATGAGTTGTTCCTTGCGGAGCTCGCACTGTTTCCGGTCAATCTTGTTGATCTCGGTCTGGAATTCTTCCTTGGAGAGACCAATGCCGGTGATAAGCGATAATGTCTTTGTCCAGCGCTCAAACGCCTTTTGCTCCTTGGCCTCCTTTTCTGAAGCACCTCCTTGTGTTGGTGCTGCTGCCGCTGGTGATGACTCTGTTAGTTGTGGTGTTTGTGGGGTAGTAGTGGTAGGTTGTAATGGTGCATCCTGTGTTTGTGTTGTTGGTGCCATGGTGAATGGTGCTGTTCTGTGTGTGTCCTCTTGTGCGGTGTTGGGGTGGTAGTAAAAGCTGTAGAAACCCCTTCGCGCTCGTTATGGTCATTTCTCCCAACGTGCACGCCCGACTTGAAGTGGCTTAGCCTGTTTGGCTAGCTTGTTGTGACTGCCGCAACTATGCTACATTCACCTCTTTCCTCACCTCGGGGCGCACCTTTATTCTCTACTTACTTTCCTCCTCGCTCCGTTTTGCAACGCGTCTCCTTCACAAACACATTCGCCACTTTCTCCGTTCAACCAACCCTAGCTCCTCACTTTCGGAACCCTCACACTGTCCGTTGCGATTCGCATTCCAGCCATCCCTTAAACCTTGCACACATTCCTCCGCTCGGCGAACCTAGAAAGACGAGTCGCGGGGTGCCCAGGTACGGAATTAATTAGCGTCGTACTCTTTATCACCAGAGCTGATCCGGAGATAATGCGCTGATATCACTAACATTATCAACCGTCGGATCAATGTATCATTAATAGTAGATCAGACAAAGCATAGCCACCCGCCCAGAAGAGTAATGCAGGATGTATAAAACAAATGCCGCCAAGTGGCCCGTCCTTGCCAGCGGCACCCTCCTCTCCAACCCTTCTAAACTGAAGCATTCTGGATCGATCGTACGAACATTGTCGCGAGGACCAGGATGTCCACACAGGAGGATACCACAAGTCATCCCTCCAGCGTCTATGTCAACAACACCTCGCCAATTAGCCCGGTTTTGCTCTGGTTCGACCACGGCGACTCTTCCAGTCAGATGCAGTCAGCACCGGGATGTCCCGAGTTCAGCATATCGTTTCCGGTTACTCGGCAACAACTCGCTGCTTCTTTCATCAATACCTCATACGCCGGCGTCGCTCCCCTCAATACCCCACCGGTCCCTTGCATCCGGCGCTCGTCATCTGCGTACACAGACCGTAAAAGGCTCTACGAAGCGGGAAGCAACCAAAACGAAGCAAGACCAGGAACGGACGACAAAGGCGCCACTGAAGTCTTCAAAGCCATCATCACCTAAACCCACGACAACAATACTATTCAATAGCCAGCCACCCAAAAAGCAGGAAGCACGCCTTTCAGAAACAACATCAGCAACAACTTCTGAGTTGGCTCCACGGACAGAACACTCAACAGCGCTCGACAACTTACGGGTACTCCTTCACCCAGGGGTTCGGATATTGGGACACAAGTTACCATCCTCGATCACACCACCTCTCCCTGTGCTGGTTCACTTGTTTTGGTACCTGAACTCGTCCAGGTGTCTTGACCAACTCTTGCCGGGGGACTGGGATGCTCTTCTTTCTTGGCTCAGGCACCATCAGGACGATTCAACGTTGAGTCAGATCCATCAGCTCCTTTTGGATCAGAGGAAACTTGCGAAAAATTGCAGCACGGCTACTTTTACGACTTTGACAGAGGCGCGTGTGCGGAGTGGGACCGATCCTTCACGCAGCGCTCAAGTCGGAACCAAAAGGTTGCCCTCTGCAACCACCGGCTCTTCGGCGGCATTGGATATAATTCAGGACACAATTTCAATGATGACGGAGCTCGACATCCCTCGGAGCAAGGAGCTGTACGACCTCTACCTCAGGACCGCCGTGCAGGAACACAGGTGGTTCAGAGGAGTCGCCGTCTGGGATGCTGTCAGGTCGGCCAAGGAGCGTCCTCATCTTCCGCCTCCCGGTATTGCTTTCCGTGCACAGGTCGTTCAGTGTCATTTGCAACTGGGCAACGCTGCTGCGGCATCCAATCTGCTTCAGTCGGTGTTTGACCAGACTTCCTGGGCGGATGTCAGCTCTTTGACAGCGTCGTATGACGGACGGTCACTTCAGGCAGGAGTTGGCGGCCAGGGAGAGGCGGATGGTGAGCAACAACTGGTCACGGCGGAGAGCCGAGCGGAGCACATTAGGCGGCGGCAGTCTCAGGCCCAGCGAGCCATCCAGACACTCCAGAAGACCAACATCCTAGTCGCTAACCCAGAGTCGGCATCAAGGACATTGGACGTTCAGGCACAGCAGGTTGGGACACATAGCTGGAAGGCGGAGGTGTACCCACCCTTGATCGAGGCCATCTGTCTTGGCGAGAAGGACCAATCTGGCGCGTCTTTAGCGGTTGACCTGGCGATGGAATTGCTTCAGCAGGGACATTTACTGGACAGGATACGGTTCGCTCTTCTTGTTCAGCACGTTGGAGCCACCACATCCTCTGAGCAGGCGGAGAGTTTCATGAAGGTCTGGGTGGACAGGGTGAAAGCGATGCCCTTATCGCTGCTGTCTCCGGGCGCCAACAAGGAAGTCCTCGACTCGGATACAGGATCTGGTGCCACCACTTCCTCTTCCAGCACTACCTCAGCCTCGAAGGATGCACTGCGGAAGCATAAGCGTACTGCAGTGTCGACCGCAAAGTCGTTTGCCGAGGTCGGCCTCCAAGAGATTGTCGGACAGGCAACATCCACACAGGACTATACCCGGGCATTCAGCATGTTTCAGGAGATGTCCGACCAAGGGTTCCCACTTTATCCCGACACATCCGACAAGCTGATGATGGGGCTAGCCAAGTCGGGCGACCTTCAATCGGCAACGACGGTGCTAGAGATGGCTCTGCATCACAAGCGTGTGCCGTCGATTGAGGCTGTGAACACGTTACTTCAGGGACTCATTCGAAACGATTGGTTGGATGAGTCGGTGTCGATCTTCCGTGACTTGACAGAGAACCACGGAGTCCGACCCAGCAAGGAGAGTTACCGTCATTTGCTTCACCTCACCTCGAGTTATGGCCAGCTGGCGATGACACAGAGACTGCTGTCGACACTCAAGGCGATGGGAGTTGAACGGGATGGGGCGATCTACCGTGACCTGATGAGGTGCTATATCCGCTCCGACAACCTCACGGGGGCGATCAAGGTCTTTGAGAACATGGACATGACCGATATCTCTTCGACGATCAAACATATTAATGTCCTACTAGAAGGAGCGATCCGACAGGCGACACCGAGTACAGTGATCAGGATCCTGGAGATTATGTCCACACAAGAGATCCGACCCGACGCTGAGACATGGAACATTCTGTTGGGAGGCGCCTTCCGGGCCAATGACAAGGAATTGGCATTGGGGTTGTTTCAGGAGCTGTCACAGTCGTTGGTCGAGCGGTCGTACACCAAGGCCGATGCTACCTTCCGTGCGGCGAGACATCCGGTGACGTTCAACTTGTTGGTGAATGAGTACGCGGATCGGTTTGGGATTGAGAGGGCGTTGACTTTATTGGATGAGGCTGTGGAGGCGCGGTTCCCTGCTCAGGTGACTCAGAACGTGTACAGGGATTTGCTGGAGAAGAGTACTCTGCAGAACAATGGACGGGCTGGATACCGGGTTTACCGATTACTTCGACAGTGGGAGCAGCACTCGAATCTTCAACCAAGCAATCGCAACAATAGACAAAAGACATCGTCATCCTCCTCAACAACTAACACGCCGGCAGTAACAACAACAACTCGACTGCGTCCACTCTCTGCATTCTCTGCAACATCCACCTCCGCCTCCGTCCGAGCACCATCGCTCAGCAATCTCTACTGCGGCGTCATGGAGCAACTCGACAAAGAAGGCCGTCTCGAACTCGGGAACGAAATGGCCACAGATCTGATCCTATCCGGCGTCGAACTGGACCAGGATCTCGTAGCACAGGCGGTGAGGTTGTATGCGCGGTCAGGAGAGTTGGCAGCGGCGTTTGGGTTGTTTATGAAGATGGGACGGGCGTATGGGGTTGAGCCGTCGAAGGAGATGGTGTTGTCGTTGATGGATGCTGCTAGGGTGTATCAGTTGATTCCATGGGAGGAGGATAGTGGGAGAACGAGTGTGAGTGTGAGTGCGAGTGCGAAGTGGGATGATACTTCTGTTCAGCAGTGGACGAGGATTTTGAAGGTGTCCATGGCCCACTTTGGGCTACAATGAGGCACTCTCGCGGCCTGAAAAATAAAAAATCAAGCCCAAAAAAACATGAAAAGAATACCGTTTATTTGTTGAAGGGTTCATGCGACAAATGACCAGCCCTGAGTTGCCATGCTATGAGAGGGAAAAAGGGCAGAGGGCTTTTTTGATGCATGAATGACGGGAGGGAGGGGTCATAGATGTTGTCGTCCGCGGATAAACCATAATTCACCTTTACTCGTAGTCTAGCAAACCCTCTCATTCTTTCCTAAGAAAAAAAAAAGAACGTAAGAAGCTCAAGTCGCCCCCAAAGGCGGATAAACATGTAGCCTTGCGAACCATGAGTTAAAAAAATGCTACATTAACCAATTATGTCATTCGCCGTTCATCGTTCTTCGTCCGTGAACTCACTCTCTCCTCCCTCTTTTCCTCATTAGTTTGTATTTCTTTGCTGTTTGCGGTTGTGATGCAACGAATGGCATCGTGTCAGATTTTACCTTGACTACTGTTCGTGGTGCGTATGTTTGTAGAGGGCGTGAGCAATGGTTCAAATATGTGATATGTATGCGCGACGGGTAGGTGGCACGGGGATAAATCGTTCTTCCGCCTTTAGTCCGCCCATTCGTGCTTTTGCTACTTTAGCAATTAAGCATAAACTCCTTTATGAGAGAAATGGAAAATAATCTCGTTGAAGGGTGAAAAACGAGTGCAGGAAAATGAGAAAGGAGCCGAAGCGAAAGGGGTAGATATAGAGATGTAGTGGATATGGCAAGGAAGGTGATGACAAGGAGAAGGAGAAGAAAGAAGGAGAGGAGAGGGGAGAGAATCATGCGTCGTCGTCGTTGATGAAGGAAGCTATCCTCTCTCTCTCTCTCTCACTATACCCCCTCTTGTTGGCTGTCAAGTGCCATTATTATTTCAAGGGCGCGTATTGGACGTCGTGGAATGGCATATCGTTCTTCCAGAGCCACGAATAAAAGGGCTGGTCAGTGCTCTCTTCAACACCCTTAACTCTCTTTCCTTTATCCTTTGCTCTTCCATTCCACAAGCTTAACTCTGCACACACTCTCTCCACACAACAAACAAAAGAACAAGAGCCTCTCATACAACTAACCACCATATACCCCTTCCACAATGCTCGCAAAGGCTGCCTGTCTTGTGGCCGCGCTGGTCAGCAACGCCCTCTGCTTCAAACCCCCACCCTCCTCCAAGACTGTCGACCCCAAGAAGGAACAAAAAGTCGTCTGCGAAATCAGACTCCTCACGGAGTATGCCAACAAGTTCCCGACCGTTTTGATCTCCATTGCTACCCTCGAGACCGCCCTCTACCTGGTTCTCATGACTATCAACAGTACTAGTGGCGGTAGTGGTGCAGCGAGTAGGATTTTGAAGGGATCGAGCTCGCTTCCGTTGCACGATCAGGTCATCTTTCAGGAAATGGGAGTTCTGAAAACTTGGCAGAAGGTTACAACTGTGTTGTGTTTGTTGGGCTATGCGTTGAGAAAGTGGTCGTTCGTCACCCTTGATCGATTCTTTACAGTAAGAAGATCAGTCTTTCGGCTTTTGTTCCTCTTCATGCTCAAAAGTTTCACTCAACCTTTTTGCAACCATTGTTTCTAACCATCACGTTCCTTCTTCGCCGCTCTTTTTTTTTCACACGACCATCCTTCTTAGTACCAACTGACTATCCGTACAGGCCACAAGCTAGTTCAATCCGGGCCTTACACTTACCTCCGCCACCCATCCTATACCGGCGCGATCCTCAACGGCATCTGTTTCAGATTCCTCCTCTTCCACCAGGGCATCTGGAACGTCTTCACTCTCCTCGCCTCCCGCGCCGCTTCTGCAGTCCTACAAACCAAGGTCGCAGTTCCCACATCTGTGCTGGGTTTACAGACTGAGTACTGGATGATGCTGTTGTATGGGTTGATGATGGTTGGTGGCACTGCGTACCGCGTGAGGAATGAGGAGGCGATGTTGAAGAGCCATTTTGGACGGGAGTGGGATGTTTATGCGAGCAAGCGCTGGCGCTTTATTCCTTTTGTTTACTAAGAAGGTCGTTCGTGTGCATATGTTACAAGATTTTTTTTGTGTCAATACGTCTTTGTCCAATAAACCAAGGTGGAATGAATGACTCTTCTCCAATTATGCCATGTTCACGATACCTTGAATACAATGCGGGACTGTATTCTCTTGATTTTCGTTACATTTTCCTGCATCGATCTGCCTTTCACTTCAACAAAAAAAAATTAACCACGATGACAGCAGCAGCAATCACTCATGTACTATCATCTCTTTTTTCCTCTCTTCCACTCTCCCAATCTCATCCCTTTACGCCCTCCTCCTTTCCGTCTGTCGAGCAGCACAGAAAAACAAAGGCTTTCAATAGAGCGGATACATCACCTTGTTAGAAAGAACGAGCGACCCGTCACCATCAAGAACAATCTCCTGTCTTCATACATGGGAGGCGCTTGGAACTCCAATTGCTCAGCTCAGTGACCAGTTGTATCTCGCAAGTAGGAAATCAGATACATTTCAAATACCAGTTCAGATTCACTCATACTTCCTCTGTCTCATTATATTCCAGTTATTCAAGTTTTCCATTATCAAGGAACAACAACAAAAAAAAAAAAAATGGAAAGAAAAGTGGTTTAGATGAAGTTCACGCCACTATGTTTGTGAGCGCGTTCCTTTTTTTTTTTTTTTTTTTTTTTGTCGCATGTGATATGATGTAATCATGGCGATCATTTTAGGGTGAAAGGGGCAGGACACGAGCACAGACGCGTACCTCACAAAAAAAAATACACAGGCAAGGAAACGAAAAGAATACAATAAACGCGAACCTCAAATGGAAACACGAGGAAAGAAAAGTGAAGACGGGAAGAGAAACAAACTACACGCACGTGGTGGTCACTTTTTTTTTTCTCTATTGCTTCAAGTGGAGTTTTTCCCTTATCAGGCGTCGCTGAAACAGCGAGTGAGGTTCCCAAAAACGGTGGAGGATGGAGTCTGAGGAAGGAGGCTGAAGAGGAGTGAAGAAGAAAAAGAAACGAAGTGAAAAGCAATAGTTTTTGGCGGGAGAGATCGGTTTTTATAATCCCCCAAGGCGCATGCATACAGCAGACGCGATCTCAACCGTTTTTTCTTCATATTGGCGAGTTTCTTTCAATTCACAAATACCACTACTCCAAATAGCTCTCTCTCTCTCTCTCTCTCTCTCTCTCTCTCTCTCTCTCTCTCAACGGGCAACAAACAAGCCCAACAAGCAAGGACACGTCCGATACGTAACGCGGGAGCAGAGGGGAATGAAAGAAGGAGCGGAAGATGACCTGCATTGTATTTTCTGCATAATGTGCAGGCAACATCTTTTTTTTTTCACTTTCAACTCTTTGGTCACAAGTCAGTGCTGTTTCTCTTCTAAAAATAAGAAGTTCGCTACTTTTTGTAGCTTAGTTCTCAGCCTAGGCTATATATCGTTCTCACTGGGTTGTTTTCTGAATGTTGTTGTGTCATCCATCGGTTGTCATTTGAACAGCGGTGCATGTTGTCACAGCCATGGACAGACAGATCGATGGAGGATAAAAAAAAAAAGTGAAGTTTTACTCTTCTATTTTCATTGAAGGCCTTCTTTGCTGTGGATGGGTTTGCCCTTTCTACAAGTAAGAGGGTGTGATATTTGGGTGCAGTCGTTTTTTTTTTTTTTTTTTTTTTCTCAAGAAAAGAATACCAGACAAATGTTTTCTTTGAACATGGTGGTAGCAAGGGAGCCTTAAAAAGAAAGAATGCTAAAAAGAATAACCCGTACCTCCTCTATCCAAATGTCACCATTCAAGACATTGAAACTATCAATCGGCCCTACTCACGGTGCGCTTGCAAGAAAGAGCGAGAGAGAGAGAAAATGAGATTGATGTTCAAAATGGCTTCAAATTGTCGTTACTGTGCCTTCAAACCTACATTCCCCAACAACAGAATATAAAAGAATCGCCTTTTGCCGTGTTTAATTGAGTTTTCTCCTCCTCACTTTCCAACCGTTTCGTGTTTTGCTATGCCACATGTAGTTGAAAACTTCGCCTTTGATTAAGACATGAGATGATCGAAGTACGCACAGTTCTTTTTTCACACAAAAATGTTATATACGAAGAAAGGAACAGAAGACAGGTTTGACACTTTGTGGATAGTGTCCATGCATTGAGAACTAACTAATGTTGCGTGAATGCGAAATGGTGAGCAGAGTGAGGAGGGAGAGAGAATGAGAGTGGGGAGTGTGCAGGTGGGAAGCATGTGCTGTGTGTCTACGGTGGTGAAAATGCAAAAAACTGGAAAAAACTAAAAAAAAAGTGGTAAACAAAAGAGTGTCTACTCGTCGTCCGAATCCTCTTCATCTTCCTCTTCCTCTTCTCCCTCCTCCTCCTCTTCCTCGTCATCAACTGGAGCTTCAAAGGGAGGACATTGCTCCATCTTGCACCTTTGCTCATCCGAGACTGGAGCCTTGTCAACTCGGACGCGGCCATTCTGGTGAATGTAGACATTGTTGGTACAGAAGCTGATCCTGCGCTTGCGCTCACATTCTTCGATCCGCTCCAGCGATGACGACGTCGACATCTGGTCATCCATTCCATCGTCCGACAAAATCACCATCATCCTCTCCTTTTCGGCGTCAGCTTGTGCGAGGTCGTCGTCTAGGCTCTGGAACAAGTTGCGTGGACTCAACAGCTCCTCCCGCGCCAAAAGATCGAGCCCGACGATCTTGCCTTGACCGTTAGCGTCAATTGCCTCGTCAAGCTCCTCCTCATGCTCGTCCTCTGAATCGGATTCCTCATCCGAGTCATCATCGTCATCCGAGTCGTCATCCGAGTCGTCCTCCTCGTCCTCAAGCCATGCTACAAACTTGGAGCTCTACAAAGATTGAAAAAAATTAAAGAACAAAAGTGGTTAATATCGAGTGACTACATTCAACGCCCGCTTTCCCACGAGGGCTAAGCAGGGCTGATAACGTTCAATTTACCAGTCCCATTGAGTTTTTTTGTCCTACCATGCTGCGGAGGCCGTTGCCATGACCAAAAACGCCCTGAGGCTCCTTGAGCAAACGCCACCACTCCAGGATCGCATCGGCATCCAAAATGTCAAACTTGTACAAGGCCATCAACTGTGCGGTGTGGTTGCGCATCGACTTGTCGTTCGCCTTGGCATAGCGCTCCAGCTTCTCCAAGAGCATCAGCTGTTCCTTGTGCGACGCCACATAGTTGAGCAAAAGGGGCACATACACCGACTTGAACTTTGTCTCCACCGCCACCTTAGCGGTGACACGGTCTCCGGTCTCGGGCATCAGAACCGACCCAGTCCCCCACCCTCCCGTAGCAGGTCCTCCAGCCTCGACACGCTCCTTCTCCCACCACTTTGTGAGCTCGTGCGTAAGAACCATGATGAGCTCCTCAGGGATGGCGTCGTACTTGAGCAAGAGGTCGTCCAACTGAAGGATGGTCCGTGCGGCTGTAAGCTTGGCGCGAATGGCTTGGTGTAAAAACTTCTCGGTCATCGAATCAAACGTCTCGTCGGCGTCTGCAGCTGCGTCCTGGGTATCATCTTCGGAGGATTGAGATTGCTCCTTATTAATGAAAAGCTCCATCATTGTACAGGGCGCATCCTCCCCATCATCGTCATCGCTGTCGTCGCCCTCGTACTCGTCGTCGCCCTGCTCCTCGTTGTCGGATTCAGCGAAGATCGGAAGAGGTGACCGTGCGCGAGCCGGGGTATCAATCGGAGTAGCAAGGAAGCTGACCTTCTTCTCGCTGTCATCGCCTTGCTCCGAAACTGCACCGTGATTAATGTCGGTGGCGCGAACCTCCTCCGCCACCGTCTTTTCCTCCTGTGTATGCCACCTATCTTGCCACCCACAAGACGAGGAGCTGTCCTGTTTGGTCCTGCTCGACTTTTCTGCCTTGATAAACGTTTCCTCCTCTTCTTCTTCTTCGTCTTCATCGCAGTCGGGGATGTTGGAATGGTGGAGCATCAGGCCTCCGAGTCCTGACGAGAGCGAGTAGGCCGAACTGTCGTATCCGATCTTGTACGAGGACGAGTTTTCCTTGAGCTCCTGCACATTGTGCGTCATCTGCTCAAGCTCTGCGCGAAGGTTGGCGACCTTGGACTCCTCGGCCTCTAGCTTACTGTTGAGCTCCTTCTTGATCTTGAGGTAGATCTGGTCAATCATTGCACGGTTGTGTCTCTCGGCAGCGAGGTCGGCCTTGGCCTGCTGGAGGGAAGACTTCAGGGTCTTGTTCTTGGCAATGAGACGCTGCATGGACCGCTTGCGACGGGACCTCTTGTCGAGAGCCATTGCGTCGCCCAAGACCGAGTCAGTGTCGTTGGAGTCACTGCCAAGAATCCCCTTGTCGTCGTCCTCGGTCTCGAGAGTGTCGTAGTCGCTGCTCCCACGTAAGCTGGAGTTGGACGACATGTCGGACTCTGCTGCCGCACCAGGTAGGCTTAATCTGAGACCCAGCTTGGTGGGCAATTGGGATCTAGAATTGAGTTGTTTGCATTGTTTGTTTGTTTGTTTGCCAAGCGGGCATTAGACATTGAGGGGAGGAAATAAAGAGAAAAAGAAAAAGAAAAAGAAAAAGAGTACAATTGGGTTAGGAAGGGTTTCGGAAAACGGTTATGACTCTTTGCGGAGAAAAGAAATAAAAAAAAGGAGGTGGAGTTAATTCGTCCCTTGCTTGCTCCGAAGTGGGTATTGGCCCCCTACTTTCTATTAGTTGGCTTGCTTTCCTTACCTGGCTGATGACCTGGGTCCTGCTGCCTTGTGTGAGCGGGCCTCCTTTGAAAGACGGTTCGACTGGAGGAGCTGGTGCTGGTTCTCGAGATACTGCTCAACGTCGCCCAAGGCCGGCTCGGGGTCGCTGTTGTGGGCCTCAACACCACCTACGACAGCCGCCAGGGTGACAGTAGGTACGGACGAGATAGAAGAAGATGCGGGCATTGAGGAGGGGGAGGGGGAGGGGGAGGAAGAAGAGTCGGTCGAGACGACAAAGGAAGGAGCGGATGTTGCAGAAGTTGAAGACGATTGGGAAGGGATTGAAGGTGTAGTCTCTGATGGGCTGTTCAAGGACTGGATAGAAGTTGGACGAGGGGTGTGGCGCTGAGTATGATGTGTGTTACTGTGACTATATTGGCACTCCTTGAAGTTGTAATGGCCTTGTTGCTGCTGGGGATAGTCGGGCTGACGGAAGTTGCGGTCAAAGTTGTTGTGGTGGTCGTACTGTTGATGATGATAGTACTGATGCTTCTGCCCCACGTTGCCGCTGGGCCTTCGCATAAGCAGAGTGCGTTGCTGTGTTGGTTGCTGCGTCTGCTGTTGCTGCTGTTGTTGTTGATGTTGTTGCTGTGGTGGAGTGTTGAAGTGAGAGGAGCGTCTGTGGAAGTTGGGGGTGGAGTTACTTCGACTGAAAGTATTGTTGTTATTGTTGTTGTTGTTGTTGATGCTGGTGTTATTGTTGCGGAAGGGTTGGATAGTGGAGGGTTGAGGAGAGTGCTGGGGCAACACGAGGACTGGAGTCTTTCCTTTCATGGCTTTTGTTCTGGGAATTGGTGCGGTGGTTGAGGCGGAGATAGAGAGGAGAGACTTGTGAGAGGAGCAAGGGAAGGTGGCAGAAGCAGTTGCTGGAGTGGAAGTAAAAGGATAAGCAGCGGAGGTGGAAGCGGATCCCATGCAAACGAAGGTCAAGTGGGAGTGGATGGGAGTGTGAGTGTGGTGTGTGTGTGTGTGTGTGTGCTTGTTGATTAAGGAAAGTAGACAGCGATAAAGGAGTAGCTTAAGAGGAACAGGAAGAAGAAGGGCTGTCGATAATGGTGGTAATGGTTATGATAGCTGTCGACGAAGGGTGTAATAAGAGAGGGTTGCTGCAGTTGTAGGAGTAGTTGTATGAGTTGAGGTAGAGTGGAGAGGGTGTATCGGACATGTAAGTGAGAGGGGGGGGTGGGTGGGGAGTGAGAGTGGGGAGGTAAGATTGGCTTGGAATGAAGTGAATGAAAGTGAATGAAGAGAAGGAGTGAAGAAGTGAAAGTTTTTTTTTCAGACAAAGAGCGATCGGAAGAGAGAAATGAGTTGATGGATGGAGTATGAGGTATTCTTTGTCCTGGGAACTGAACAGGGGAATAAGGGAATAAAAGTGCGGCTGACAAAGAAAAAGAGGCGGTGGATGGATGTTGTGATGAATCAAAAAGAAGTAAAAGAAGAGGTGCAATGACGAGAGACAAAGTAACTGACTGCAGATAGGCACAGCCAAGAGGCGAGTCGATAGCGGAGGCGCAACAAATTGGGCCGGCCAAGTAAGCCAAGCCGAAGGTGCTGGATTGAATGATTGAATGATTGAATGAAATAAGACAGAGCACTAGCCGAATGCAATGCAGCAAATGCGATCGACTCCCATGCGAGATCCATGCAAACCAATCTTCCTGCCGTGATTCGATCGCGGATGACTCAACTCTCGCAGAATGAATTTTTTTTTTTTTTTTCCCCTCCCCTTCTGGCCTTTTCTCTGCTGGGCTTCTTCCTTCTGTCGGGTTTGATATCCACCACAAGAGGCAACGATTCACATCCAGGATGTATCGGTAGAAGCAAGAACAACAAGCAAAGGCTGACCATACAAAGAACAAGAGGTCGGGCTCGTCAATAACACTTTCAACCAGGCAGGTCCGACCATTAGAGATCGTATCATTGAAGAGTCATCGACGAAGGGACTGTTTCTAACTTACCCATCGTTGACACTCGCCACTGTCTTCTTGGATTGGGAGTCATAACATTACTCGGAGGGAGATATTTTCTTGAGGCCCGGATCTTCCCATCCATATCAATTGGCGGCACCCTTGGAAGCATTCGTTTTGCTGTTTGCAAAGAAAGGAGGAGTCGAGTTCTTGTCGTATGCGCCCCTCACCCCTAAAAATAAAATATATCACGTGCACTCTACTCACGTTCGCACGTTGATGCCAGCCTTAAAATCCGCAACTCTCAAATCTACTGCATCAATCAGACAAACCAAAGGACGAGCAACACGCAATGGATCAGGCACAGACAGCAACAGCGAATCAGCAGCAGCAGGAAGAGACTGTCGTCGCGGCAACAGAAACGCTGGAGGAGCTCCGGGCAAGACACAAGAAGGAGCAGCGCGACCTCACCGCAAAAGTCACGGCGTTAAAGAAGACCGCCACCAAGGGCGACAAGAAGAAGAAGAAGGAGGTCCTTGCCGAGGTTGCTCAATTGGAATACAGTCTGAACCAGCAACAGGATACTGAGGAGAAGACTTGGTTGGCTGAGCATGGAAACAGCTCTGGTCCTGCTACTGGAGGATCTGTTGACCAGGGTGCAGAGGAGGACGAGGACGAGGATGACTTTGATCCCAACGACGTAAGTCATATTGTACTTACTTACTGCTGGATGGGTGGTTATTGATTGGACATGGAATGGAAGACTATAATGAACTACAGGATCATTTCCAAGAGACTGAAGTTTTGTTTTCCTTGGAAGTGCAAGAAAGACAACTATGGAAATGCAGGAGCGGCTTTTCATGGCGAGGCTATGTTCGCGTTTCCATTGGAATAGGCGATGAGACTGTGGGCGCTACTGGATCACTGTTCGAAAAGCGAGGCGGGAATCGTAGTTTTATTGGAGATGGCGTGAATGAGATTACGAAGACCTTCAGGATCACAGTTCCTTGGCGAGGCAGGGGTTGTGTCTATGAGTGCCGCGGCGGATAATATTAGTGAGTCTTACTGGACCATTGTTTCTTGAGCAAGACTGGACCTGTGTGCTCTTTGAAAGTGGCGTAGACGGAAATGATAGGGTACTACAGGACTATTGCAATTTAGGTGAAGCAGGAATCATGTTTTCATTGAAGATACTGTGGATAAAACTACGGAGGAATGCATGAGCATTGTTCAATAAGCGCGCGGGATTCGTATTTTCAATGGAAATGGCGCGGATGATATTACACAATGCTACTTGGTCAATGTTCAATAAGCGAGACAGGAAAACGTGTTTCCATAGAAGGCGCCACGGATGAAACTATGGAGAACTACTACAACTGCGCGGAATAATGACACCAGCTGCACTGTTATATTGCTTCCCTTCGGCCAATTTAGATCCCTATCGACCACTTAACATTGAACCCTACGCCAGCTCCTAAGCCCAAACAACAGCAGCAGCAGCAGTCGTCATCAGGAGGAGGAAAGAAACCCAATCGTCAAAAAGCACGCAAGGATCGCAAAGCGCAGGCATTGAAGGAGCTGCAGGATGAGGCAGAGAAGGAGGCTGCGGGACAGGTGAACATGAACGAGGTCGAGAGAAAGTCTATTGAGGAGCTGGCTAATGTGATGAATGTCACGGTCAAAGATGTTACTGCCGATGGGCACTGCTTGTACAACGCCATTGCAGATCAACTCTTGCAACGCTATCAGACTGAGGTAAGCAAAGGATAATTTTTTGAGTTGCATCGTAGGATTTAGTGGCGAAGTGGGATGGTAACACGAAGAAAATATCCGACTCATCCCCTCTTTTTTTTTTTTTTTTTCTTGAACCATGGTGGATATTGTGTCTAGACCACGGTGAAGGCGCTGCGTCATGAAACGGCAGAGTACATGAAGGCGCATTCAGATGATTTTTTACCCTTCTTGACCAACAAACAGGGGGACATGATGTCGCCAGAGGACTTTAACGACTACTGCAAGGAACTAGAATCCACCGCCGTCTGGGGAGGACAACCCGAGGTAAGTAACAAAGCGAAAACGAACTTTGAAGTGAAAGAGCAAATCAAAGATCTGTCCTCCCCTCTCCTTCTTGCCATCCCCTGATTTTATTGTCCATGGAGATAGACTACGGATGTTTTATGTTTCTCTGTGTTCATGCTCATACCTCTGTCTTCCTGCCGTCATCTTCCCTTTTTTTTTTTTTTTTTTTGGCCCAGTCGACTTGTGCTGTTATTTTTTCCCGCACAAAACACAAAAATACCACACCACAAAACATCAAGCACAAAACACCAAAACTAAAAAATAAGGGGGTTAGGCAAGGGATAGACGGACAGAAAGAAATGAACTAATCACTTCCTTGTGTTCACATTTTTATTTCTATTGCATTGCATAGCTTTTGGCGTTGTCGAGGGCACACAAAGTGCCAATTTGGGTGGTGCAGATGGGCAGCCCGACCGTGAAGCTGTCCGAGGGTGTTGATGCCGCAAAGACGCCCCTCATGGTTTCGTATCACCGTCATATGTTTGGATTGGGAGAGCATTACAACTCTTTGCGACCCAAGCTAGTGTAAAGGTCCCAAATAATATAGCATGTGGACGTCATTCTTATTCTTGTTGTAGATGTTCTATCATGTCGCCTTCTTCTTCACTTGTTTTTCATGGTATCATGTCGTCTGTTAAGAGAGAGAGTGTGTTGTGTAATGGTCCGTTGAAAAATTGGAAGGATAATAAACAGCTCATGGGCCCAGACCGCCGTCCGTCCGTTACGCTTCAGATGTGGAAAAAATAGGACAAACAACAATGCTACATTAGTTCTTTTTTTTCAGGCAGGGGACGATAGATAGGTCATTAATCAAGTGCGAAGTGAATGCAATGCAGGGAAAAAAAAGGGGGATAAAGTCTTTTGTTCCTTGTTCGTGCGTTCGCTTGCTCTCTCTTCGTCTGTAAACTCATGCGTGTGGAGCAGCCTTTTGTTCCCTTTTGTTATTTTTACTATTCACAAGGGCAAAATGTCACCAGGGCGCGGCACTTTACAATCCTTCTCAGGATGAATGGTCGTTGATTGGTTAATAGTAATAATGGGGGTTGACCAGGAGAGAGGATCATTGGACACCGTTGAAGGACAGGGGAAGAGGGAGAGGGAGTGGATAGTATTATTGTTGGAAAATAAATAAATGGAGGGAAAGTGAACGAGATAGAGAGAGAGAGAGAAAGAGAAATAAAGGGTGTTATTAGACCGTTTCACACTTCCGCGGAGGGAAGACGGATACTCTACTCTTCTGGTTCCAGAGTGAGTGAATGCATGATTTGGCCATTTGAGCAGTAACGAGGAGAAGGGAGAGGGAAAGAGAGCAGGACAGGGAATTGAAGAACATGAGGAAAGAAGTGAAAGAGGATAGAGAGAGGCGAAGACATTGGAAAAGGATGAAAGATAATGAGAAGAGGAAAAAGCAATTGTGCTAAAAGAGCAAAAAAAACAATTGAACAAAAATGGAAAGAAAAAGAAAAGGAACTATTGACCGTTCATCGATGAAAGGCTCGGATGTAACGGATGTACTGGATGCGATCGTGATGGCTCTTCTTCTCTATTTCATGTAGCATGTGCAAAGGCCGCGTACGCATCTTTTGTGTTTAGCGTTTCTCTTTTTGCTTCTTTCTCCACCTCTACGTTTCCTCTGGTTTGTTTCCACAAACCATGAGGGGAGGACGACGACATGAGGGAGGACGGCTTTAGCTAGATGTTGGTGCGTGAAGGCTGGGCGGAAGAGGGTGAGAAGGGAAGACATTTTGTTTTTGGGTCTGAGCATTGTGAGCATTCAGAGCACTTTTGACATAAGAAAAAAATATATATTGAGATGATTGGTCGTACTGTTTTGTTTTTCATTGTTGGTTCTTTGGCTTCGTCCTTCAATACCTTCTCTTCGTGTCCTTTCTTCATTGACCTTTTGCGTTTGTGTGTGGGGAGTCAACAAAGCACTTGACTCAATATTTCTCATGTGTTTGTTTGTGTTGTGTATAGATGTGTGTATTATAGATGCATACAATACCTTGTGCGTGCTTGAATGTTTGTGCATGTTGATGAGCGCTTGAAATATTTCGAACGCGTGCCTGAGCAGGAACGCATCCGAGAATTAACCAGCGACGAAAACAAACAAAAAAAAACAAGATGAACGAAGCAATGGAAGGAAATAAGGATGAAAGGTACAAAGTAACAACAGACGATTACTGGTTTCCCCTGTTGACCGATTTACACAAAAGGATGGGGCGTTGAGTACAAGATGACGAGCATGGACCGCGTATCTTTTAGAAAAATAAGAATATTGAAAATCAAATAACAAGAATAATAAAAAAAATGCTGTTCATCCTGCTGACCTGTGCTCTTCTGGCCCGCGGCGGTTTATTGCATTCGAGATGGCATGTTTATGAAGATAGAAACAGGAATTGAATGAAAACAAACAAACAAGTATAGAATATTGTTGTCCCTTACATAGAAATGAATAGAACAAGGCATGTTATGCAACAAAAGGGAAACGATGACGATGTTAGTGGGGTGATTGGTGTGCAGAAAGGATTGAATAGCCATGTCCAGGCAAGAATAGCTTTCAGCAAAATGGTGGGATGAGAAAATAGTTGTCTGTTGCATGATCCGACTACTCGCTGGCAGTTACTATAGTATGTCCCATTCCTGGATGTGGTTGCTGAAGGGAAAGTCGAGCGTGGCATGTTAGTCCTAGGGGAGGAGAGGTGTGACAAAGAGAAGGGGCATGTGTACAGTAGGCAAGTACTTGGCGCTAGTTCGAGTTTTAAGGGAAAGATACTTGGTTGGCTTCTTGTCCACAATAACAATGAGAGCCCTGCTTGTGAAGATAGAAGAAAATAGCTTCTTGTCAACGAGAATCGGGTAGCGCATGTCATGTACTGTAGCTTGTCATCTTTCCATCGTGATTGTGTTTACGTTGATGCTGAAGAGCAAGGGTGCGTAGAGAGAAGAGTTAAGATGTCAGAAAAGAGAGCATTGTCATCGTCCATTGTCCATTGTCCATTGTCCATTGTCCATTGTCCATCAAGAGAAAGACGAGAGAGCATTCAAGGAGTGAAGGATGAGAAAAAAGGGCATACGAAAATAAAAATATCAACAGGGCGTGAAAACAAATGAGAGAATTGAGTATGAGCACAGGGCGGGAAAGAACATCGCGCCTGAGAGGGATGTTCCTTTCTTGATTTTTTTGGTTTTTGGTTAGAGTACGACAGCGATAAGTACGTTGAGAATTACGGTGGGGTAGCTGAAGAGGGTAGACCAACTCACTCCTCCAACACAGACGCACATTCACAGAGCGAAGGGGGGTGTGTGTGTGTGTGTGCTCTCAAAGGCACAGAAGGAAGAAAAGTAAGAAAAAAGAGAGCAGCGCAACGGGAGAGAGAGAGAAAGAGAGAGACAGAGAGAGAGAGAGAAGACAGCGACAACTGAAAGCACAACGACGACCATTGCACCGTTGATGTGAATGCAACGTAGAGGGAGCAATAGTAGAGTCAAGCAATGGCAAAAGGGCCTATTGATCCCCCTTTTCCTCTCTTACTTTTACTTTCAAGTGGGGTCTATGGATGGCTGGATGTTTATTTTTTTTCATTTTATATATATATCAATGGGTCATCGCGATGACCTCTTCTCCTTTCCACCGTCTCCTTGCTCCCTTCAATCTCCTTTTCTTCTTTCTTTCTCGGGTTGTCCCCTGTCCCTCCATCCTCAGTCATTTTGCATACTCATTCATAGCCGCCATTCAATCTCACTCTTTCTCTCTTACTCTCTTACGCTTTCTCCCTTACACCATAAAGCAAAATCCTCCTATTGACCGCGCTTAAAAAAAAAAAAAAAAAAAGGACCCGTGGCTGATTGGATAATCGTCTCGACCCTTTCTCTTCTCTTTATATTTCCCTCTTCTTCTCTGCTATTTCTTCTCTTCTTTGCCTTTTATTTCTCTTCTCCGTTACTTTCTTTTATCTTTCACTTGTACAACCCTTGTTCTATTATTCTCCCTAGCCCTGACTTTCACTCCCTCTTTTGACTTCATTAATAAAGTCCCTCCCCTACTCTCCCATACCTTACACCCCATTCATACATTCATACACTCAAACACATACACACACACACACACACACTCACACTTCGAAGCAATACGCACCCATTCTCTACATTCATTCATTCTCTACATTCATTTTTCATTCTTCCCATCGGCACCTATTCACACCCCTCTCACCCTCTCTCACCCTCTCTCACCCCCTCACCGGTCCGCCACCATTCTCACTCCACAGACAACACCAACAACAGTTACGACGATCAACATGGCTGAAGTAGAAGATTTATTCACCCAGAACGAGGAAAACGCCAAGAGGTTCAAAAGCGGACAGAAGCGCAAACAACCAGGCTCAGTTACAACCGCAACTACTATCTCAACAACGACAACAACATCCTCCACCGGCGCACCTTCACACCGCCTTCCTTCTGCCTCCCCTACATCGCCCACACGGATACTCGCCTCGCCAACCTCTCCCAAATCATATTCACAAGCCAACGGCCTTACAAAGAACCGGAGCAATAGCAACAGTAAGATCAACGGTGGCATGGTATATCAGCAACCAAAGTCTCTTCAACACCACCCTCTGCCTTCACAACCCCTCAAGTTCGACCCCTCGGTGTTGACCGACAAGTACAGCTCCGAGAGCTTTCAACACTATCGAAGTAACAGCACCACCAGCATCACCACCACCACCATCGGTCGACGTGAATCACTTTCCACTGAGGTGAGTTTCTTTTTCTTCTTCTACTGTTCCTTCCACGACAGAACTTTCACGTTTGTTTCACTCAAACCGGGTTTACCCACCCAGCCCTGCCCTGTGTTTAATGGACATGGCCATAAAGAAGGGTCCAACTGTGGGCCAACTCAACTCCTGAGTACATTGTGGGTTCAAAGAACATAAAAAGGAAGTCTGTTATGTGGGTGTGTTTATGGTTGTAGAAGAGAGGCACTGGAACCCTTTGAGAATGTGGGGCAAGTTTTTTTTTTCATTTATTTTCCGAGTGGACGGCTTGAAGGTTAGTGCGTCCAGGGTCTATGTTTTGGTGTCGTTTATCCAGTACCCGACAGGACGGGAATGAATGGATGAATGGGTCGGAGGAATATCTTTGCCACAGTGAGCATTGAACGATGAATGAGGAAGGACACACAGGAGACAACCTTTAGAATGATAGTTGGAGAGCAAATAGCCCGTAGCCCGTGGGAAGGGTTCAGCAGTTCTGCAAGGGCAAATCGGATACAAGAGCGAAGGTTAAGCTGGAAGAACAAACACCCAAACACCCAACTAATTGACTGTTATTGGTCACTGTTGCTCAAGAAGAGGGCGATGTAGTCTCCGCAGTGTATTCTATCTACCACCCTCGGTGAATGTTTGGGGGTTGTCTATATATCTGTGTGCTTGTGGAGAAGTATAAGCGCCGTGAGCGAATGATTTGGTCGTGTCTCCTTCGGATAAAAAATAAGAAAAAAGAACCGAGAACAACTCAAAAAACAAACGCTAAACACAGGACACAAGACACCCAAAAAAAAAAAAGATGAGCAATGAATGGCCTAAGGTTTTTTTTTTGAAGGAAAGGGCCTCGACCGCTATGCAAAGTGACCCAAATCAAGCAAACAACCCCATTTCCTAGCAGCTAACCCTCTTCTTGTATTATATTCTTTTAACTTGTGTCCAATCGAAAGGCCACCGATGTTGCATCCAGGAATCGGTATTCAAGCAACGGCTCCGTAGATGCCAAAGCCGGTAGCTTTCTGGACTTTCCTCCACCAAGGCCCAAGAAGGTCAATGTCGTCAACCGCACAAGTGTCCAGGATATCGAGGGCATTGCATCCATGCTGGCAGAGACGACGCTCAACAACGTGGCCTATTTTGGGGCCAATGCGGCCATGGTAACGAATACGTTCGACGAAGAGGATCTCTGGGGTGCTCAACTGGGCGCTTTCAACACTGCTGGCGATGTCCTTGTCCCAGAGGAGCTGCAGATTCTTCCTGACCCCATCACCCGCGAACAACTGACTGAGCTGTACTACAAGGTAAATCGAATTGACCAAGTGTTGTCCCACACTCATTTCTGCCTCTTCGTTGGCTAAATTGGACGGTGACTCACGTGCCCTCTTCTCCATCATCGATGCAATAGAACCACTACAGCAGCCTTCCTATGGTCCAGCGCGAGGCTCTACGGGTATGCCAGGAGAATGTTCACATTCCACACTGTCTGCTGCTCTGCAACGCCGTCTACTACTGTGGCTCTATGTACTCTCCAAATGCTATTACTCTTCGCAGGGATGTGAATGACGAGGGCTCTGTGGGCGAGGATTTCTTTTTGCGAGGCCAAGGTACGTTATCTATTCTGTGAGCCGTCCTTTTTTTTCTTCTTTATGACAAACCATTTTTTTTTGCCCCAACTTACTGTCTATTATTTTGTCTGCATCATTTATAGGAATGCTGGAGAAAAAGTATCTGACGACGCATATCTGTACGGTTCAGGCACTGTTGCTGTTTGCTATCGGGCACAAGTCACAGGCTCAGCGGTCGGCGTTCATTAGTCAGGCGATCACGATGGCATTGGACATGGGCTTGCACAACCGGTTGGACGACAGTGTGAACCCCTACGTGCGGGCGTACCGAGCACGGACCTTCTGGTGCTGCTACGTGTTCGATTCGACGGCCTCTGCCATCAACGGAAAACCAGGGCTGATCAACGACGAGGAAATTGGCATCGATATGTTCACAGCTGGAGAGCTGGGTCCCGAGTCTGAGACGTTCTCTGACCAGTACATTATTCACTGCCTTCACGGCTGGCAGCTCTGCCGGAGGATTCGCAAGAACACCAATCTGATCACCCGCCCATCGCCACCGCCACGGTCAGTGCTCCAGGAGAATCTTTCGAGGCTGGATAGTGAGCTCGTGGAGTGGCAACGGAATCTGCCCAAGGTTTTCGAGTTTGCCGCATTTGACGGATGCATCGTCTCCAACATCTCGAGGTTGTCGGCGTGTACTCAGCTCCTCTGCTATGCCCTCATCATCTTGCTGCATCATCCTTACCTACCCAGCCCCAAGAGCCCAGAGGCATTCCAACCCCCGGCACCTGGCCAACCGGACTCTCAAGGATATTGTACACAGGCCGCCAAGGAGATCACCAAGATTGGCGGTATTTTGCTGAAGGAGGCTCCACGGACCTTTGAGCAGCATACGCCTTCACGCTTCTCGCTCAACTTTGCAGTCCGGATTCACCTTCGAAACGCCAAGTGCACGACTGACGCGACTTTGGCCAAAGAGTCACGGCGAGATCTCCAAAAGACGATGGACTATATCGAGCGGGTGGAGAATCTCCAGTTCTTCCGCATCAACCGGTCGAAAAAGTCAGAAGTCGCAGACTTGCTGGCCTCATGTCGTGCAGCCCTCGCACAACACAAGTCTAGTCTGGATTTAGCCAAGGAGGCAGCTGCATTGAAACACCGACAAATCCTGGAGGAAAAGCAGAACATGAAAGAGAAGCAGGAACAGCAGAGGAGGGAACGACAGAAGCAACAGCAACAGCAGGAGACCTTGCCTCAGCCTATCCTTGCCTCCCAGAAAGGCCCACCACTGTATCAGGATGGTCAATCCACTGAGGACGCCTCGCCTTCCCAGATCTTGCTCTCTATGCAAGAGACACAGCAGCACCCGAACCTCAAGAGTCAGACCTACATGCAGCAGCAGCTCCACCTCCAAATGTATACCCAGGAGCGTAACCAGCAGGAACTGGCGCGGTTGAACCAGCTGCAACGCCATGGACAGCTCGAGTTGGACCATCAGCGCCACCAACATTTCCAACAGATGGCGATGGCGAAGCACAAGCAGCAGATCTTTATTCAACAGCAGCAGGCTCACAGCCCTCAGATGTTCAGGACTAACAACGCCTACCATCCGTCACAGCATCCCCACCAGGCTCAGCAACAAGTCCTTCAAAAGCAGCAGCAGCAGCAACATACAGGTTATCCATCTGCCGCCAGTGGCACCGGAGACCATTTGCAACAACAGATGATGTTGATATCAAACGGCGGCCATTCTCAAGCAAGGCCCGCGCCAGCACCTTATGGTGCTGCTGGTCTCCATGTGATCGACTTTCAGGACCCAGAGGCGTTTGCTAGTCTGACACCGGAGCAGCAGCAACAGCTCTTCATCACCTTCAGTCAAAGTCTCAACAGCGGCAACAACACGATGTACTCCCATAATGCGCCTGGGAACATTGGTGGTAATGAGCGAGGACAAGGCACCAATGGAGCACCCCTTGCTGACCACCAACAACAGCAGCACCCGGACCTTACACCTTTAACCCTCTCGTCCCAAGCTCAAGCACATGTTCCAACGTCGTCCTCCGCCGCCATGTATCCAACTGTCGCCGTCCACAACAGCATGAATGGTGGCCATGGAATGATGGAGAACTTTTTTCTTCAGTCATCGAATCCCGGTGTCACGGTGATGGACATGGACAGCCATTCTTTTGGGGATAATGCTGGCACGGTTTTGTCGTCTTCAAACGGGATGCATCACCACCACCAGCAACAGCAGCAACAACAACAACAACAACAACAACAACAACACCACAACCAACAGCACCGAGTAAGCTTTGACAACATCTCGACGAGCGGTCTTCGATTGGGATCTCCAGAGTCGGTGACTTCGCCTGGGTCGATTACCGAGGATGCGATCCTGCAGTCCTGGTCGATCTCGACGTTCCACGACCATATCTACCTGAATCCGAATCATGCCCGAGATGATCCCAGGAACGACTACAGCACGTTCATGTACCTCCCCAGTGAGTTCGAGTACGGCGATGCGCCTGCCCTCTCACCGGGTGCATCTTCGACGGGTGGTGGTGGTGGGCCCGGGAGTGTGAGCAATGGTAGTGGTACTCATGGCAGTGGTTCCGAAGGCAGTACTTCACCTCGCCACCTTCAATAGACAAAAACAACTATCATGGAAAAAAAAAAAAAAAAACAGCGCGTTTTTTTACACTTTGTTCCCAAATACTTCATAAAAAAAAATCTCTATTCATATTGTACTGTACTTCAAATTTTTCCGTTGTTGTTGGTGTTGGGAATAGTGATTTTAATTAATTAACGACATCGATGGGGGCATTTTACGACCCAAAGCTCAAAATCTTGGTAACAATCCCCGCAGCAACAGTCTCGCCTCCCTTCCTCAACATGACACGACCCAGCTCCTTTGAGTCCTTAAACGTCTCCAGAGGAATCGCCCGACCGTTCAAGCGGATCTCGACCATCGCCGTCGTGTTCTTGCCCAAATGACGTGGGTTCTTTTTCACAACCTCTCCTGTGCCTTTGTCGATCGTCGACACCAGTTTCGAGATGACACCTGGTTCATTGTGACTCTGGTGGTGCATAATAATCTATTTTTCAGCCAAAAAAAATAAATAATTAAATATATGTACACAAAAAGGAAGGCAAGGTTAGAATGGGGACAGCCTCAATCTAAAATACGAATGTCTCCGACAAATATGAAGGTTAAAACAGTCTGCAATGAACGCTGCGAGAAAAAAAAAGGGGACTTACAGGGAAGCCGACGGTGATGGGGATCTTGACGTCAAAAACGACAATCTGGGCAGCAAAGTGGGTTGTTACTGGGATGGGTGCATCTCGTGGGCAAAGTACCGATCCAGTGCTGACTTGCATAATGTCGATTCCACTGAGGGTCAACAGAACAGAGTCTCCGGCCGCTGCCCATCGCGTTGGCTCGTCATTCACCTCCATATCTATGGTTACGACAAGAACGCAGGCGGATATTAGTATACATACCCAAGATTGAAATGTGAAATCGCGACATCCTTGAAGTAAAAAATAAAATAAAATAAGAATGGTGCTTACTCTTGACAACAGCCATCTCAGAACCGGGCATGACCATGACGGCCTCTCCGATCTGAACATGTCCGGCCTCCAACCGGCCGGCCGCAGAAACGCCTCCAGTGCCCTTGAATACATCCGTCACCGACATCCTGAAAGGCTTCTCGACAGCACGCGTAGGGGCATCCAGCTTATCGATCGTCTGAATCAGAGTAGGACCCTTGTACCACGCAAACGTCTCGACAACACTAGCAACCAAAGGGTCAACAGGTGCATCACTGACCGCTGATCCGTTACAAATCTGTCCAGTTTTCGACCTCCGGACTAAGTTCTCTCCTGTGAATCCTGAGCAAGGCACAAAGATCAGACTAGACTTCTTGAAACTAGCATCCTTGACCAAAAACTGTTCCAGCTTGGCAACAATCTCTTGGAAACGAGACTCAGACCATCCGACAACGTCCAACTTGTTGACCGCAACGACCAATTGCTGAACACCCAAACTCCTGGCCAAAAGGGCATGCTCCTTGGTCTGACCATTGGCATCAAAACCAGATTCGAACTCTCCTGTTGTCGCATCGACCACCAAGACAGCCACATCAGCCTGAGCAGTTCCTGAGATCATGTTGGGAATGAAATCACGATGACCGGGCGCATCCAACAAGGTGAACCGGCGGTTTTCCGTCTCAAACTTGGTGACTCCGACATCCATAGTGATTCCACGGGCGCGTTCCTCGCCAGTCTCATCCAGAACCCAGGCAAAGGCAAACGAGGCCTTGCCAATCTTTTGTGCGTCCCTCTCGTGCTTGCGGATCGTCTTTTCGTTGACCTCGCCTTGCAAGTACAACAAATGGCCCATCAATGTACTCTTTCCAGCATCCACATGTCCTATTGTACATTTCCAAAAACAATAAGTCATATATGTTAGAACAAACATTACCTCCAAACTTGAACAATGTCCATGAATAACAAACAATACTCGCTATAACCGCTTACCGATGACAACAAGGTTCAGCGACTCCTTCTCGGCAACACGCTTCTGGTACTCTGTCACAACATCGATCCTCTTGCCCATCTTTGTCGATGCCCTAGAAGGTGTCGAGATTCCAGAGGGAGGTGCTGACCCTACAGGAGTCACTGCGCCCGACCGATCAAATCCATCACCGCCGTTCAGGAGAGGTGCCTTTGCAAATGATGTGCCACCTGCTGCCTTCTTTGCGAACTGGGTCTTCAAGGACGATCCAAAGTTCATTGCCGCCAAGTCGAACTGGAGCTGTGATGCTGGCGCCTCCTCGTCATCCAAGAATTCGATAATGTCGTCATCCTGTGTTGCTGATGCTAGTCCCTTTGGTGTCTCCTTGGCTAAATTAAGCGATGAATAGAGAGGTGACAGAGGGGGTAAGTTTTCTATGAACGGGGTGACCTTGAAGAACAACGTCATAAGTAAGGCCTCATTAGGTTAGGAAGAAAAAGGCTTACCTTTAGCGGGGGCGACGGACTTGGATGACGTGCCTGTGGGTGTTGCTGTTCCGCTCTGGGCTGGTTTAGGTGTTGAGCTTGCCTTCTTAGTTGCCGCAGCCGTTGCAGCCTTTTGTTTCTTTGACAATTCATCTATGTCATGATCGTCACCGGAGGTTCAAGTTAGGGCAATGTTCGCACTCAAGGGCGAAAAAAAATAAAATGCGGCGTAGTCAACATTAATAGTGAAAGAAGGTGCAAAAACACTTACCGAGGAGGTAGACCGCAGCTTGGTCGATATCAAAGTAGTAGTACCACAATGCGTCCTGGATCTCCTTGATTGTGACCTTTGCGCCTCCGAGCATTGACTTGACATCCTCCGTTGCATCTGCCATCTGAACTATTGTTTTTGGTGTTCGGTTAAGAGTAATATGCGTCCATGAGATCCAGTGTGATGGTAAAAAGTCCGAGAATCATGATAGGGATTTGAAAGAATCATATATCCATTGATGTAAAGTTGAATAAAGTAGAGAGAAACGCTTGTTAGTCGACCATGTTGACTGGGTTCCTCAGATCACGACACAAGTCGACCTGCTTTCGCTAGGTAATCTGGAGCCCCTGAGGTGATTCGTCCTGTTTACCTTGCTCTTCTGCGGTCATGACCTGCTCCTCGGCGTAATCTGCATCATCGTATCCATCATCAAGGACATCTATTATAGGTATAGAAAACCAACATTAAAACAGGTCAGTACGAAGGAACCGTAAAAGTGTTGGTCTGACGCGCGCCTGGTTCGACTTCAAGGACAACGTTATTTTCGTGTTGCCAGAGAGAGAGCTGTTGATGCAGAATCCAGGTCAAGGTGATTTCAGTTCAGGCCATTGCCAGAGTGAGTTGTTGCTGTTGCTTATTTTACCATCGATGTCGAGATTGCGGACGTTCCTGTGGCGCGACATGTGTAGTTGTTGATTCTTTTGCTGGTTGGTATGAGTTGTGAGGTGTTGGTGTAAAAAGTAAAAAAGTGTGAGAGACCTCGGAGGCGGACAAAAGTGCGAAAGCGAAAAAAAAAAAAAAAAAAAGAGATTGATGTTTACGTGACATAAAGAGGACATAAGATGTTGCCCTTACTCTCGCACTGTACGTGGATTGGAGACACCCCAAACTAGTTTTTCTTTTTCGCCAAGGTGTCCGTGCTCTTTTTTACTTGTCCTACCCTTCACCGCAACACTTCTTCTCTTCTTCTTCAACGACACATCTCAACAACTCTTCAACACACAAACACACAAACACACAAACAACAAAAAACCATGTCATTCAACATCGGAAACAGCGACCGCCTCCCCGCCACCGGAGGAGGCACCAACGCAAACTACAACAAGAACCCGCTTCAACAAGCAATCAACTCCTCACAATCCAAGCACGACGCCGACATGATCCTCACCCCCGACCACCCATCCTGGCATGCCGACCACTCCTCCGCCGCCCAAGGATCCTCTCAGCAGAACGCTCAGAACAACAACACCGGTGGTCAATCCGGACCAGGCGCTCCCTATACCGGAGGTCATGCCAACACGGGCAACACAGGTCCCTTCCGCGCAGGTCCCGATCATGAATCGTACTTGCCCTCCAATGCTGTTCCCCAGGGTGCTCGTTTTGATCCCATCGTGCCCGAAGATGTTCGTCAGAGTCTTCCTAACAGGAATGCAGCTGGACACCATCAGGGTCAGGGCCGTCCTGGACAAAACCCTCCTGGTTTTGCGAGCGGTGAACCCGACTATGATGAGCTCTTACCTCCCAACTAGAAGGCAGGGTCGGTGATCCTTGATGATGTCAATCTTTCCACTTCGCTTTGTACATAGTATACATATTTGGCGGTGCCACAAAAATAAAAAACACTCGTGCACCATGATAATGGAACGATACATGTAAATAACTAAAGTCTATGGATACGATATCTAAACAATGATGCTCGCTTGTTGCTCAAGCATGGCACGAACAGGTTCCCAGTCTTTTTCAACGGTCGTCCTCCAGTTACTAATCGCCGCACGGATCGCAGGACGACCCTTCCAAACAGTCGGCGAAAAGTACGCAATCCCAGTCTCGTTGATCCGCTTCAAAAACTCCGCATTCCTCTTGCTCAACGCCTGAATCTTGGCCTCACCTTCGGGCATCACCTCCAACTCTGGAGTCAACTTTTGGGCAAACACAACAACGTTCAACGGACATTCCTCAGTCAACACGGTGTACAAATCAGACCGCTCGTTCTTCATCCAATCAAACAGCTTCTTGGCGTACTGACAGTTCTCCTCAATGATCTTTTGGTAGCCGTTACGGCCGTACGCGTACAGTGTAGCCCAGACAGGCAACGATCGGAACCGTTGAGAGTTCTCGATAGAGATGTTCATTGGGTGTGTGGGGCCCGAGTCGGACGAAGGCAGGTAGGCGGCCGAGGAGGAGAAGATAGGCTCCAGAATAGACTTTTCGAGATGCGATCGGAAGATGAAGAAGCCGCAGTCGTAAGGCACATTCAGCCACTTGTGACCGCAAGCTAGTGTTTCCCATTCAACAAAACACGATTCAAGTATGTCAGAACATTGGGCTGAGGCTGCATTGATTGCAGACATCCTGCAAACTTTCCCACGCATATTCAGGAAGAGGTTATGCGGTCTTACCTGTGATACTGTGAGCCTTCTCAAGACCGCGGGCCAAATGAGAGTAATCTGGCGAGCAGCGAGCATAAATCCCGAAGGCGCCATCGATATGAAGGTAGGCGTTGTTGCTTTCGCAGATACTCGCAATTCGATAGGTGTTCATTGGGAAAATGCCCTATTATATTGCAATCAAGTTTGTCCGCCTTTTAGTACCTGTTTGCGCCCATCAACAACAACAATAACAAAAACAACAACAACAACAACAACAAAATGTAATATTTGGAAAAAGCGAAATGAACCATTTACGCCCAAGATCGTCGTGCGCAGAAAACAAAAACTTACGGTGTTGACCTCTCCAAAGCTCAGGAAGACAAGGACAGACTTGCCAGCGCGCCTCTGCTCCTTGACAACATTCTCAAAGATGGTCTCACTCCCCTCCACATCCATACCCATCTCGGGAACCTCAATGACCTGCTTGCGACCAATACCCAAGATACTGGCTGCTTTCCAGACCGTCGCGTGCGCCATGTTGGTCACCACGACTACTTGGCCATCATACCCTTCTTGGCTGTAGTCGACCTTGCGATCATGGATGCCTAACCACTGCCGACCAGCTGCCATGCCCATCACGTTCGAGGCCGTCGATCCGGTTGTAGTGAGAGCACGGAAATCAATGTTATCATGTGCCTGCAACACCTGGTGCTGCGCAGACTCGGCAAGGTGCAAAGTAGTCGGGAGCGCGAACAAATCCAACACCATCCGCATCGCAAGGTCCTTGATAACGCTGTATCCTGACATGGCTCGTGGAGAATGCAAGATCGCGTTCTGGTCCACAACACTCACAATCCAATCCGCCACCAATGATGCAGGAGTCGCTCCGCCAGTCACCAAGCCAAAGTACCGAGGACCTGCACTGTCGGCAATCGCAGGGGCAATGTACTGCAATAGGAGGTCGATTGTCTTGTCCAGTCCTTTGCCTTCTTGTGGGATTCCAGGACTCAAGAGCAATTCAACCAGACCGAGATCGGTAGGGCCATACTCGGAGACCTTTTCAACGGGTGGAAAGGGCTTAGGTGGGAGGGTCTGACGTTTAGTCTCGAGACTGTCGAGTCGTTTCTCCATTTGGAGAGTGACTCGCTCAATGGCAGCATGGAAGGACGTGTTGTCAAGAGGAAGTGCCATGAGATGGGACGCAGCAGAGTAGGTTGTAGAGGGTATTCGGTGGCAAAGGAGAGTCTGATGGCAAGGAGAATGAGGAAGGTGAGAAAGAGATGAGACGCCACCGATTTTCTTTTTAGCTTTTTTTTATCAGGTTGCGGCGTCTTACAACGTCACTGTGACATTTGTCCAACGGCCAAGAGGAGAAACAACAGAACGACCGTCAAAATGTGGAGCAAGTTAGTGGAATTCTTCACCTATGCAAAGTCGCGTCGCTACCATTCAATGTGTTGCGGGATCGTTTTTTTTCTCTTTTTGAGAACCTTTGCCCAGGCCTTTCTTTTTTTTTATTGTATTTTTTCAGTGGTTTTTGTTTTTTGTTTCTTTTTTGCTAATATCGTGATATATCCTGGCATACGCGCGAACACCTGCAGGAAACAGTCTACAATCTCAACATAAAAAATGAGATATCCGTTCGATCCATCGTGGGAGAACTTAATCCAACCTCTGTATGTGACCAGCGACGTTTAGGCGCTAGCCTCATCACCCTCGTGAGCCTTGAGGACAGAGACGGCCTCCTCGATCTTGGCATCCAAAGCCTCGTTGTCCTCCAAGAGGTGCAACAACTCGCCGTTGTCCATCTCGAGCAACATGCCGGTGATCTTGCCGGCATAGTCGGGCTGGCGGGATGCAATCTTGGGGTACAGGTGCTCACCAACCATCTGCTTCTGCTGGTCGGGGTCAGCAGCAGCCAAAGCAGCGGCCGTCAACGTGTTGGCATCAGAAGCGGGAGTGGCAGCGGCAGCGGCAGAGGGACCGTTAGCAGCGCGAGCCTGGCCAGTGTACTTGGTGTAACCACCACGACCGGCTCCAGGAGCACCGCGGGGAGCACCAGTGGCGCCCTGCTGGGGAGCTCCCTGGGGACGACCCTGCTGACCGGCTGCACCGCCACGCTGGGACTGCGAGCGGGGACCCTGGCCGCGGGGACGGCCCTGGCCCATGGGAGGGAAGCCCTGGCCCATGGGGTAGCCAGGCATAGGTGCACCGGGGTGCATCTGCTGGGGCTGACCGGGGTTGACCCAGCGGGGACGGGGGACCATACCGGCCTGGCCGGGGTAGACCATACCGCGACCCTGGGGAGGGAATCCACCGGGTCCGGGGTAGAACATCTGGGGAGGGTACATGCCACCGGGCATCTGGCCAGGCATCTGCTGCATGCGGATCTGCGAACGCTGAGCCATCTGGGCCTCGAGCTGAGACTTGCGGACCTCCTTGCGCTGAGCAAGAGCAACGTAGATGGGCTTGGAGCCGAGCATGCGGCCGTTCATCTCAGTGACTGCCTTGGTGGCCTCATCAGGGGAAGAGAAGCAGACGAATCCGAATCCCTTGGATGCTCCCTTGGCATCCTCACCCTCAGCAGCCGTCTTCTCGTCGCGCATAACCTTGGCCGAGGTAATGACACCGTAGACAGAGAACTCCTGGCGGAGCTTCTCATCATCGATCTCATCGTCCAAGTTCTTGACGTAGAGGTTAACACCCTGGTACTTGCTGAGCTTCTCCATCTTCTGCTGCTCGTACTGCTTCTTGAGCTCCTCCTCACGCTCGCCCTTCTTCTGGGCGCGGGTGACGAACAACTTCTTCTCCTTGTACTCGAAATCGTGGAGCTCATCGACGGCGCGCTTGGCGTCCTCGTGGTTCTCAAAGTTGATGAAACCGAATCCCTTGGAGCGGCCGTTCTCATCAGTGGAGACGACGCAGGAAGTGACGGGTCCGAACTTGGTGAAGAGAGCCTCAACCTCCTCCTGGGTAACCTCGGGATCCAAGTTCTTGATGTAGACGTTGGTGAACTTGGCCTTCATCTCCTCGACCTTGGACTGACGCTCCTTCTTGGAAATGTGGTGACCGACGAAGACCTTCTTGTCGTTCAACAACATTCCGTTGACGTGCTTGATGGCGTTCTCAGCAGCCTCGTGGGTCTCGTAGTGAACGAAACCGTATCCCTTGGACTGACCTTCCTCGGTGGCGACCTTGCAGGACAAGATGTTACCGAAGGCGGAGAAGGTGTCGTGAAGGGCCTTGTTGTCGATGGAGGCATCCAAGTTCTTGATGAAGATGTTGCCAGTTCCGGTCTTGCGGAGGGCGGGGTCGCGCTGAGACCACATGATACGGCAAGGACGGTTCTTGATCAAGGTATAGTTCAAGTTCTCCAATGCACGCTCGCCTATTGAGTTCGATTGGAATGAGATGAGAGTTGTGTTTAGTGGAAGGGTACGCCATTGACAATGATCAATCTGTGTGTCCGATGGTAAATCGGCGTGTTGCTCTTGACTCTGTGTAGTGTTGCTGTATGTAAGATCTCGCTTGTCTCCCGGGGCAAAACAAACATTGGCTGACAAACACAGAGTCGTCCTGCAACTGCATAGATAACGATCACAACGCCGATCCAGCGTAGCCATATCGATTGCGCCCGATTCCCGATGGTCCTAGAACTGAGTGTGTTCCTCCAGTGTATTGCTGCCTTGGTCGCCGTTGTTTGCTTTGTTTGTATTTGTATTTAGTCTGTCGACATGGTCAACGTCAGTTTGTTTATCCTCGTTGCGTTAGCGAGGCGAATAGGATATTGCCGGCGTGCCAATGCCCTTTACTGGGTCAGATGATCAATCCCCCCGCAGTAAAATACGTCCGAAGGAAAGCTGATACGGTGAATTTCCCTTGGCAAGGGAACAAAAGGGCTTGTGAGTTCCATGGCCCTCCTTGCATTTTTTGTGGTTGTGGCTTTTGGGTCGAATCGAGAGTCTGTGAGCGGCAGTGTAAGCGCCAGTACGGGTGTGCGTGTAAAAGGAAGGAGTATGTTCGTTTTTTCCTGCCTGCCTGTCCTGTTCTCCTGTGTACGTGCCGTTATTTCCTGTGAGCGATGACCCATGAAAAAAAGTAAACAAACAAACAAACAAACAAACAAAACAACAAAGGGCTCTCGTATCTATGCCGTGGCAAGAGTTTTTTCTGTACGCACCATCAGCGACGTTGTGGAAGTTAACGTAGGCGTAGCCGAGCGAGCGACGGGTAACGGCATCACGGCAGACACGGATGGAGGCAACGGGTCCGACCGAGTTGAACATCTCGAACAACATAGCCTCGTTGACGGAGGGGTCGAGCTCGCCAATGTAGAGCGAGGCCGAGGCGGTGGGGGCAGCGGCGGGGACGGGAGCAAAGTGGGCAGCCTGGGCAGCCTGGGCCTGGGCAGCGGCGATCTGCTGCTGCTGCTCGAGGCTGAGGTGGTTAGCGGCGGGAGCGGCCGAGGTGGCGGGGGTGGCGGCGGCGGCCTGGACGTCAGCGAGGGCAACGGGAGAGGACATTATCGGTAGAATAAAGAGTGTCGAAGGAGGGAGGGAGTGATGTATGAGAGAGTGAGATCAATGAAGAAATCTGATGGGAGTGTGAGTTCTTGAGTCGACAAGGGGCGAGATCGAGAAGTTTTTTATGTTTTATGGATGTTTTTTCCTTTTAGGAGTGCGCTGGGCAAAGGCAATCGAAAAAGAGGTTTTTTTTGGTTTTTTTCGGGGATGAAAGGCGAAAGGGGGAGGGAAAGGAAGGAACGAGGGTTGAGGGCGAGGAAGAAGAAGAAAAGAAAAGACGGCGACGAATGATAAAGAAAAATAAAATGATTCATGGTGCGTGTGGCAGGTCGGTGGCTTAGCATCGCAAAAAACGTGGAAATGGATTTGTAGATACAAGAAGATAACTAACTACTGCACATGTGTCAGACGGCAGCCTGCTTCTCAGACTCCCACAGCACCCGAAGGGCCGCAGCGTTGATCGAAAGCGTAACATAGGGCCGCCTCAACAAAAGTTCTTGTACAGCCTTGTGCCCCCCCACCGGCTCATCCATCGTCAAATGCCGCAACCGTGTCAACGACTCCAGGTGCTGAATCAATCCCGCAAACGAATCATTCTCCACCTTGATGCCCACCGACGGCATATCCAGCACCTCGAGCCTACTTCTGCAGGCCCATGCCATCGCCCCCGAGAAACTGGCAATTGACAGTCGTGTACAGCCTCCAACTCTCAGCTCCTTCAACTCCTCCAGAGTCACCATCATCTCCAGAAAAGACGTGCTTGTGATGCGTGAGCAACCAGTCAGATCCAAGGACTGGATCCACGGACAATGTCGGGCTAACGTCGAGATGGCTGCATCGTGGATCAGTGTTCCCGAGATATCCAGACTGGTGAGAAGGTGGCATGTCTTGAAGACGGCGTCGAATGCGGGTGTTGTCACACTCTTAGAATTCCGTAGCTCTAGCATCCGCAGGCTAGAACCGTGCTGGGCAATGGTCTGGAGAGTCGAGTTCTTGTTGGCGTTGTTCAAAAGAACAAAGGTCGATAGACGAGGACACTTGGTAAGGAGACGACCAAGGGCATCATCTGGGATGTATGTGCCGATCAGATGTAAGGAGACCAGCGGCAGAGGGTTCTCGTACCTTGCGACACCAGCTAGATGGACATGCGACAAATCGGGACCGAGGATCTTGAGGTACTCGAGTTGGCATCGTGTCAACAGCGTCACCATATGCTCCTCACGCCAATCGCCGTTCCCACGTTCTTGAGTATGGACAATGATTTCGAGGTGTGTCAGTCGTGGGATCCGGACAAGACGTGCTGCGATCGTACTGTTGACGCCACGACAGAGCTCCAAAGTGAGATGGCCGACTCGGGGAATTCCTCCGCACAGAACATCAAGGCTTGCGGAGGTGAATTGGCAATGTCGGATAGCGAGCTCAGTCATATTGGTGCATTGGTGAGCAATGAATCGCATCTCTCGACCAATGAGCCGCATCTTGGCGTCCATGATACGGACCAGGTGAGCATGGTCGTCAAATGCGGTAGGATAGGCGTTGTAACGGTCTGCGGAGAATGGACAGGATTCCCAGAGGAGGACGGTGCAAGTCTCGGACCATTGCTTGCAGACTTGAGAGGCCACGACAAGCGAGGGTCTGTCCAGCTGATAGCAGATGGAGTTAAGGAGTTCGGGGATGGTCAATGGGTTCATTTGGTTGGAGGTGGATAGGGTAAGGTATGCAATACGAGGTCGAGATTGGATGTGAGCAAATAGTTGATAGAACGAGGAGAGGAGTGAGTATCTTGAGGTGAAGGAGAATTTGCTGGTCGTGAGAGAGAGCGAGAGTAAAGAAAGAAGAGAAAGGACAAGGAGATGCGATATTGCAATGAAGAAAGAGAAGGCAAACAAAACAAACGATGTCGCTTTGGAGGCAACATTTGTTTGATTGGCATTTACAATTTTGGTGACGCTTTTTGACCGTTGCGGGCCTGGTGTCTGTGTTGATGTGGATGATCCGTGCGTTCTAGTAGGGGAAGGAAAGAGAGTCAAGGTTCGTTCATGTCATTAAAATTGTGTAGCAATTGAATGATAGACGAGAGGATGTGTTGATTAACAGCAGCATGCAGCTAATGCGCTGAATACGAAAGAGGCGCAACGAGAATTGAATCCTAGCCACTCAGACGCGTCCGTTTTCTTTTCTTTTTTTTTCCGTTCCTTTTCTAGGGGATTGTAGATCTCCACAGGAGTTGTAGTTGTCCATCGCTGTAATTGATATGGGTGTATATGTGGATAGATACCATCTCCAGTCTAGTTCACCGTCGCTACAATGATGATGAGCCTTCGGTATCGCCTAATGGCCCGTCGTGGTACGATTCGATGAACGCCTTTTTTGTTATCTGCTCTCACGCATCTATATATATTGTTCATTACTGAATAATGGGGTTTTTGCAGATCAGCCTGAGGTCTAAATGGGACAATCTGCGCCAAAAGGCCCAATGCTGTCTGCCTCCCCATTGGTTTCTTTCTTGCATGCCCGTTTTCCCTTCTTGCATTCATCCCTTCTTTCCCTGGCTGTAAACCTATCATCCTCGTGCAGCAGTAGCAGTGTGCATTATTATTGCTATCATTTTCTGCATCCCTACCATCCCTCCCCCTTGTGACCACAGTCCAGCAAGTCAAGTCCCTGCCATCGTCCATCTTTATTTTGTTTCTCTTGATCCCCTTGTTTTTATATCCCCCCTTGACACACAGCTTCTCTCTTTCTTTTCTTTTCTTTTCTTTTCTTACCTCCTCCTTCTTATTCCTTCACACTTACAACTCCTTCTTCACATACTCCTTTTTCTCTCTCCTTTCCCTTCTCCTTATTCTTCTCTCTCGTCCCCCTCCTCCTCCTTTTTTTGTCGTTCTTCGTTTTTTTGTGTACTTGCATGCTCCATCACCCCGACCCTGCTGCCATTGTTCTCCAACAACAGCAACTCCACCAACAGCAACAACAACAACAACAACAACAACACTTAGTGAGATCATCCAAAGACTTCATGGCCGCTACCGCAAGCACATCCTCCTCCAACCCTTCTTCGGCCATCCAAGAAGCAGCAGCAGGCTTTGTCCAAGAGCGCTACACCCACAACCATCATCTCCAAGACTCGTCACTCATGCCACCATCACCCCTCATGCTCAACCCAATCATCGTCCCTTCTCAGTCTTCACTGCATCAACAACAGCTCATGTCCTCGACAGCAGGAGCACGCCAGCATCAGGAAATGCATCCACACCTCGTTCACCCTTACTCTCACCAACTGCAACACCAACAACACCTGCAACAACAACAACAACAGCAATCGCTTCAACACCACCGCAGTGTGTATCACTTGCAGCAACAGTACCAACGACAGACACCTTGGGAAGAACAACAGCAAGCGCAACAGTTACAGCAAGACCAGCAGGACCTGGTCGAAGTTACAGCAAGGGGCCGGCAAGGATCGATGGAGATGGGTTTCCAGCGTAAGCGCAGTCTGTCAGTGCCACTGCTGCTCTCCTTGAACCCGGGAGGAGGACAGGAGAACGGTGGTCATGTGCATAGCCAAGACGGACAAGATGGCCAATCCGGACAAGACCTCGACGGTGATCAGGATATGGATACCGACGAATTGGCGTCAACTTCGTCGTCGTCTTTAGCGGTTGGTGTCTCTCAGGACAATGGTAGCGACAACAATAGGTCGTCGCCTTCAACAGCCTTAGTTTACGACTACAGCAAAATGACCCTGCAGCGGGAATCGCTCTTGGCAACGTTACCCAGAAGCCATCGTCATCGAGCCTATGCAAGCAACGCAGGCAAGGCACCCCAGCCTGGACACTCTCGCCATACTCTGTACTATAGCGGCAACCACCATCCTCATGCATCCCCACGCCACCAATACAATCCCTTCACAAACCGCAAGTTCCCACCATACCAGTACTGGGCAGTTTCGGCACAGCGAGATTACCATCTCTCGACGATCGGTGTCCTCTCAGCGCCCTCGGGAGCACGATCAGTAATAGACCCATCATCATCAACACCAGGCTCAGGAGGCGCAGGTGGAAGTGGAGGCGGAGGAGGAGGAGGAACGGGCGATCTGTTTTTGAGAGCAGCACTTGGAGGCAGCAGTGGAGGAGGTGTCAACAAGTCAGTCTATCGATCCAGGTTACCAGTACACCTTCGCCACATCACCTCAAGAAACAACCGGCGACCGGCGATCTGTCTGACTCCGTTCCATGGTGGCGAGGGGCGTGAAGATGGAGATATGGACGATGTCAGAGACAAGAAGCGGCACTCAACATCTGTGTTATCTTCATTCACAAATGCCGTAGGAGGCTCATCGTCGACGACAAGTCTAGATCCACGGGACCAGGGTTCACCACCACCGTCAGCGGGACCAGGATCAACAGCCGTATCACCGTCAAAGTTCACAGATCGGGATGGATCTCCTAACCATGGAGGCGAATCTTCTTCCTCAACAAGCCGAGGGTCGTTGTCTGCGGCCAATCGGAAAAAACTGTCGGACTGGAAGAGGGTGACGGCTCTGAGTTTTGATCGGGAAGGCGATCCACAGCGTACAGGGATGGTGATGCGACTTGCCAGCAACGAATCGTCAAGCATCATGGCACCCACCACTTCCTTGTCAGGAGGTTCCTCTTCTTCGTCGTCGTCTTCACTACGGGGCAGTTCAGGCAATGGACGTCAATGGCTGAGCCAGCGAGGTGGACTTGCCAATTTGTTCCAGACCAATCTATCAGTCACTGGAGGAAGCAATGGGTCTGGAAACAATGGAGGAGCAGGAGCAGGTCCGAGTGGTAACAATGTCGATCGATTGGTAGAGGAAATGACCAAGTGGTCTGTGTAAATAGGACAATCTCCCTCTTCCCAGTCTAGTTGTCGTACATTCAAGCACTTGTATTAAAAAAAAGCAAAAAAAAAACAAACAGAACAATCGGGCCTTGCATATTTGTATCACGCTGCGTTTCTTTTTGTGTGTGTGGATGAAATTTAATTGATGTTGCATGCAAAGAGTAATAGTGAGGGTGGTGAAAAAGATGAAGAATAACAGTAAGAGGGTGGGAAAAGAGCAGCCGTTTTTTTTACTTCTTGCCGAACTTGTTCTTCATCTGCTCCATCTTCTTCTGACTATCCTCCCGCGTTGCAGCAATAGCCATAGCAACGGCCGACATGGGCTTGGTATCCTTGTTGTTGTTTTTCGTTCCCTTGTTTCCTGCTGACTCCTTCTTAGCAACCTTGGCACCATCGGTCTTGGCCTTCAACTTGTTGACCTTTCGGTTCTTGCGCTCCTGTTTCCGGTCGACCTCACCCGTCAACTGTGATGTGAAATCCTTGGCATTGGCCCCATCATCGTCAGAATCCATGAGGTCGTCTTTTGAGGGCTTGGGTGGGAGAGGCGTGCCGTTCTCAAGAGCCTCGGCAGCGGCGGCTTCTTCTTCCTCCTTGGCCTTCTTCTTGTGCTGGTCCACGATCTGGCTCCATGATGCGCCTACTCCCAACTTGATCACCTTTTCCAGACGCAACTTGTCCTATTTTTGTTTGATAGAGGGAAGTGACAAAATTGGATTTTTCGTTGTCAGTGAAAAGGATCCTGGATTTGAGAGAAGCCATAATCCTGTAGATGGTTTTTACATCCTGTATGTGTATGTGCTGTTCCCGTTACCTTGTCCAACAGGTTAACTTGTCCACGGATCAAATGCACAGGGAGCTTGGTCAAAATCTCGGGGACCTAATGATCAAAAGTACAAAAACTTTGTTAGGGCAAAACTGGAAAAAAAAAAACAAAGTAGCATAGCACAAAATCACTGGTTCATCATATTCATTTTTTGTGCCCCTCCTCCCGTTCTTAGGGTGGTGGGGAAGGGAGCCATGATTACCTCGAAGCACTTGAAATGGTACCAACGAAACTTTGCAAACTTCTTCTTCTCCTTCTCAGAGGTCCGCTCCATCCGGCCGACACGGAGGGACTTGTTGGGGATGACCTTGTTGCACTTGAGGCAGACACTCTTCTGTGACTCGGCGTATTCGACACAATATGTGATGACAACCATGGCTGATGTCTTGTTGTTGAAAGGATGGAGGGTTTGGTTGGTTGGGGGGAGGTCAAGGTTTGTTAAAGCCATGGAGCACCAAAAAAAAAAAAGAAATAAGAAAGTGTTGTTGAGTGGCTTAGGTAGGACTGAGACTGCTTCACAACCCATGATGGGTGCCTTGACCCTTGGGACAACCAACACCCTACAGTCAAGGTCGTCCTGACTCTGAACTCCATTACCGACACATTCATTGACTAGGACGCTGGAAAAAAAACAAGACCATGGATAACAGCTTTTTGTATGCTTCAAGAACATCATCTTACCATCGACAAGCAGTAGTCTCTCGTGTTTTGTTCACAGCGTCAGCGGCTCAAGCGAAATCAAAAAAAAAAGATTTTTCTGCGCCCCCCGACCACCAGAACTTTAAAAAAATCCACTTTTCAAATGCTACAATTGCACCAAGAGCGCTGTGATTTATTGTTCGATGTTCAAAAAGAAATAAAAGCATTGTCTGCAAAGAATTGCTATTGTACATATGCCATTCGTCCCAAAGATATGTGAGTTGGGGGGAGGAGGTGCGAGCAGGAGCCAGAGGTTGATGTTTGGTTGTGGACGGGGTCAGAGCGACTCTGAGGGGAGGAGGTCGTTTGATCTCCAGGGTTCCAGGGAAACGTCGGGGTCAGGGTCGTGATAGACGAGGGATCGAGGCCATTGGAGGCCTGGATGTCGTCGTGGCTGGGTGACTTCTTGATGAGTTGTTGATCGTCTAGAGTCGCTGGTCGGGTAATAGTCGAGTTGCCAACAGGCTGGCTCGTGAATTCAAGTCGCAGAATGTCGATTCTCTGTATCGGACGCGTCGGAAAAGTCATCGTCATCCTCATCTCCAAAGCCAACATGGTCCTCCTCTCCAAAGCCAACATGGTCCTCCTCTCCCTCGACACCCTCAAATTGGCCAGGAGCACACCTGTTGACCTCTCGTCTGTAGTGGCGGCGGAGTCCATCCTGTCGAGAGAAGGATTTCTTGCAGGTGTCGCAGACATATCGACGCTGGCCCTGATGAACTGATGTTTCATGACGCTGGAGGTCGTGCTTGCGGGTGAAGGCCTTCTTGCAGTCGTCCGCCTCGCAGACAAAAGGGCGCTCAGAGTTGGGGTCGTGGGTTCGTACGTGAGAGCGCAGGTTGAAGAGGCGATTGAACGCACGGCCACAGTCGGGGTGATCGCAGACGAAGGGTCGGTGGCAATCGCTGCTGGTGGGACGCTTCTTGCCGGGTCCTCGCTTGTTGGAGCTCCGTTGGGCTGGGGGCAGATTGTCCGGCTTGTCCTGGTTCGACAAAGGTGATAGTGGGCCGGTCTCCATATCGAACTGCTGCTTGGTGGTGGCAAATGAGGACGAGGACAAGGAGGAGGAGGATCCATTGTTCCCCCCATAATGACTCGCCAACGTCGGGCGAGTCCTCTTGAAGGGGGAAGCGGGCGCGGGGACTGCCTTTCGCTTGCGGTTGTGGATGAAGGTGGCGACGGGGATATAGTTCGAGTCGGCTTGGTGGTCGTCGGCATCGATCTCACTGTCGTTGCCTTTGTCGTTGTCTCTGCCAGAGATGGACGAGTGCCTTTCCAATGCGATCGAGGCGGCTGGACGAGGAGCGTCGTTGGTGGACTTGCGCTTTCCGCTGTAGACGAAGCTAACCACGGTGTTGGAGGATGAGGTTGCTGCGCTGTGGTCTGGGGCTGAGGACTTGACGTCGAAGAACTCCATATCCTCGTCGTCGGCATCGTCCTTGAAGTCCATATCGTCGTCGTCAGAGTTGTTGTCGTCGTCAAAGTCGGAGAAGAGGGGAGAGTTGGAAGAAGTCGACAAGTCGGAAAGGGAAAAGTGGGAGATTTTTGCAGTGTCTTCTTCCTCCTTTTTGATGGAGGACGAGGTGGACGTGATAAGGTTACACTCAGACTCGCAAAGCCCCCCGAATGTGAGTGGCGCAGGCGGATTGGGACTGGCATTAAGAAGGGTCGATTGGGGCGCAACCATGCCGCTTCCTCTTGACTGCATCACATGGCCAAGCTGAATGGGCATCGGCAACTGGAAGGGAAACATCGGTCCACCAGTACCAAAGAGGGGGATCTGGTCGCCGCATCCAAAGTCACCGCCAAACTTGAAGCCAAGGTGGGGCATCGCCGGAGTATCCAAGGAAGGACTGAAGGGCGAGCTGAGGCACGGGGTCGAAGGTGCGTCAAGGAGAGGGGTATCAGAAGCATGGCCAGGAGTGTAGAAGACATGAGTTTGCTGCTGGTGCTGGTGCTGGTGGTCGTGGAAAGGAACTTGGGCCTGGATCTTCATGGCAGCGGTGACATGACTAAGATCAAGGGCGGAGTCGTCCATCAGCGCGGCGAGGCTGTCGAACCCAAACGAGACCTTGTTGCTCGAGGCGGACGTTGACATGGGGCTGCTGAACCCCATGTCAGCTGAGATGAGAGGGTGCTCGCCAAAGGAGGTGCCTGCTGCTGCTGTCGACAGGTCGTCGGATCCAATAGCGTGCGATTGGATATAGCGCAGTTGCCCCATCTGCTGCTGGTGCTGCATGTCGAGTGCCAGGGTCAGTTCCTCGTCCGTCAATTGGTTCTGGAACAAGCCTCCCTGCTTCAACTTTTGCTGCTTAAAAGAGTCGCCAAAGAGGGGAAAGTCGAAGGCCGAGGGATCCATTCTCTCGTACAGGCAAAAGTCCTGAGGGGCGACGGTGTTGTTCAAGACCGCGATAGTGTTGACGTCGGGATTGAGAGAGTCAAACAAAGCAGGTGTTCCCGTGGTGATATTGGTGTCGTCAATCGAGGCGGGCGAGGCGCTGATGTCGACTGCAAGGGCCAGACTGAGAATTGGAGCTTGGGGGGTGTGTTGAGTGAAGCCATCGAGAGGGAAGGTGGCAGAGACGGGCGAGGCGTGGGTGGAGGGCATGTTGGAGGCAGTCCACGCGTTGTTGTTGGTGGTGGAGGGGTTGAAGGAAGTGGACGAGGTGTAGTCAGCCATTGAAGCGAACAGCGTGTTGATTCTATCTGTGTGTGTTTTTTGAGGGTGGCAAAGCACGGTTTGGGTTGAGTTGGCAAAGAGAGGGGTAAAAATGAGCAGTTGCTATGAGTTTATGTGAACGACTGAGTGAGTAGGGGAGCAGAGTGCTAGTGAGTACAAGCAGGGAAAGAAGGTAGAAGTGGAAGGAAGTGGAAGAAGTGAAAGAAGAAGCGGAGGTAAAGGAAAGGAAGGAAGGGACGAAAAGAAGAAAAAGGGACGGGGGGAGGGGCCAATTGACCCACCCTTTTTATACCCTTGGCGCTTTTCTACCGCGCAATTGTTACACGGGTGCAGCACGAAGGCGAGTGAGAAGGTGTGAGGGGTTATCGAGGGCCGTGTGCAGTTAGATATCGCTCCTTTTTAGTGGTCTGAAGGCAGAGCAGTAGAAACCGGTCGAAGAATAATTGGCATACAAATCGACACGACACTCCCTCAACAACAGAAACAAATAAACAACAGCTACCCCTTCGAAGGACATCCATACTATAGCCTTCTCGTTTGATAAATACCCCATCATGCCAGTGGGGAACCATGTACACCTTCAATTGCTTCACATTATCATACATATGGCAATTCTGCCAAAAAGAAAATAAGGTGGTAGAAAAGACATGATAACCAAATGCCGACAGTGCCGCAGCTGCAATTGGACCTCGTTTTTTTTCTTTCTCTATCGTCGTTGGTCAATTAGAGTGAACATGGTTGGTAGAGTTCCGATTCCTATTCTGCAATCTATCTTGCTAGGACACCTTCTTGA